CACGACAATAAACACCAAACGAGAGCCGTGCACTGAGCAATCCCGCACTTACCTGACGATAAGTATCTTCAATAGTGGGTATATAGGACTCGCGAAAAGTCCCTTTAACAAATCTCAGTACCAAGGAGCTCTTGCCGACACCCCCAGCCCCAAAAACCACGACTCTATAGTCGTTGCTCTGTTCGGGCATCCTGACATCTGCCGTGGTGAATGATTTAACCCCCGTTAACGGGGTCCCCAGTTAAATAATTTTAAACCAACAAATTCACCCCCTCGTTCAAGTGACACCACTCCTCGCCGGTTGACTTTCAATTGACTTGCCACCACGACGATCAAATCAGGATTCACTATTTCTCCCCTGGTAAATCTCCTTATATAGGAGAATGGCACGACGTAAGGATTTCTAGTTCTTGGGGGTGATATTCCCACCCACTTGCCACAACTTCTGAATGAAGATGATGCGACTTTGGCCTTTACAACGCCTCCTCACACACTTCTCTTCATCAGTTTCACAATCATCCCACGCTGTCTGTTATCAATGCCTCTCTTCTCCCAATCTACGATTATTAATTTATCAATGATAATGAATTCACTGTATCTTCAAGTGGTTGAGTTGTCTGGAAGACCGGATTCACCATAACCACCGGTGAAAATTCAAAAAGATATTGAGCACTTTTACATCTAATTTCAGATTTTCTGATTCCCCTCGTTATTGCACAGCTTCAATCGCTGTAATTAATGATCAACCCGAACGACTGTCAGGGCAATTTTCACACGTTATTCCGAGGGACAATGCTCTAGAGAAAACAGACGAGATCAATCGTGACACTCGTATACACACTGTTATCACCCAACACTGTCTCCATTCACAACAATTTTTATCAGCTATCTTCAATTATTCAGCCATCCGTCAGTCACTGGTACTAATTATGTGGTACGTTAATGCCCAATTAATTTCGTAGACGTTTCGTTGTTATTTTTGCCTTGAGTACTGTTTGTTTGTGGTTTGCAAAGGGTTGGAGGAGAGATATGGAGATCGGTGGAAATTCTCTGGATTGTGATTGTTCGCTGGTGGATGATAATTGCCTTTTGAGAATTTTTTTGTGATGATAAGAATTACCGTATTGGAGAAGGTCTGGAGATTATTCTCAGTGTTGCAGATATAGGGAAAAGACCATCACAGCACACCCTCACTTCAATCGCTTTTAGTTGGAATGATACGAGGATTTGTATCTGCGCCTGTGTGCGCGGTTACTTGCGCATTAAACTTGTCGAGGGATAACGCGTCGTGCTTTTGAAAATCAATAGACCTACGTTAGGGTTGCCGGTGATCAGAAAATGTTAATTAATACCTTGGAATTGATTTAAACAGCTAGGGTAATTCTTTATTATGAGTTTTCAACAATTTTTTTTTTTGCCTGTCCTTAAAATTACTGGAGGATTCGCGTGTTTAGAATTTTATTTATCATTACTGATGGTTTTTCATCGGGAATTTTAGGGCATCGCTTGGCGATGGCGGGAGTTAGGACGTCTTCTTCATGTCTCGATTTTTCATCACCGTGTCACTGCCTTCATTCTCTATGCATTCATATGCCCATCTTCTGTGGACTCTGGTACATGAAACAGAGGGAATTGATGGGTTTAATTTTGGATTTTTGGGTTTTTAGGTCTCGATGGAAATTTTAATTAGGAATGTTCGAGTGTTTTCAGGTTTTTTATTCTCAGGTATTCGTTCACCGATTTTTTACCGTTTTATTCGTTTAAATATTAAGAGAGTATTTAATATCGAGGGATGAAGTTCAAAAGGTGATCTGGAATTGACTCACCTGCACTCATGTCCACATTTGGTCGATCCACATTTGGAGCAGGGGTAGTGACACCCTGGACAATCCTGCCTCAGGCAATCACAGAGATTCATTCCATTCTGCATAAAAATTCCTGACTCATCGTACAACACATGTTTCTTGCTTCCTGGATAAAGTCTTCGTATCTGCTGAGTATTTTTTCGTTTTTCCCGCTCACTGCGTTGAGGATCGAAGTCTCTCAGAATTTTTTTCGCCTCGTTGTCGGCGAATTTTTGTTTGTTCAAAAATGTCCGAGTTCGTTTCTGAAACGTAAAATCATAAATACAAAATTCCACCATGTCGAGACAAATAAAAAAAATCATACCTTCGGGACATCATTATCATCAGTTGAAGAATCCATAACTCCAATCGCTATTTCTCCTCACCCTTATAAATCCACTAACCATAAAAAATCAAGATCATCTGATAATTTATAAAAAAAACTCGCCTGAAAAACTATTCACATTTTTGCAACAACATCGAGGGACCCCCATTTATAATGATTACAATTCACAAATAATAAATTCGTATTTTCCCGCAGAGAATTAATGAATATGCAATTACATATATATCCTTCAATAAAAGGTTAAATTAAAAAATCTGGCATGCATCAGTCATTTGCAGCCAATAAAATGTTTTTGTTATTGTTGACACATTTGATAACCTCACAGTCACATCTGATATCACTAGTGTAAAACCGCGAAAACAGATGATTTAATTCAGGCATGCCAACACTTCCGGTGATTATTGTAGTGATATCGTGAAAGACCCTAGAAGTCAAGCGGAACTAACCTCAACTGAAGAGAGACAGATGATCAAACATTTAAAAACGCCAACGGACGATCTTCAGAGTTCTACAGGGGTTCGGACTCCTGAGCACCTCAATTTATCAATTAAATCACTGTACCACAGCTGCAAATGAATTACAGTTGCTGCAAATTATCCTGTTGAATAATCTCAGCCGAATTTAGTATTAAAAAAACCCAATAAGTGATAATTGTAACTTAAATTGTGATAATCGTGGTAGTAAAAGTGTGAAATGGAGCAAATGCTGTCAACACCCTGTAAGACGAAGGATGAAGAGGATTCCAAGTCCCCCAGGAGTCCTTTCAAGACACCCAGGAAGCAGAACGACAAGAGGGAAAAGCACACCACGTACCATGCGACTGCTACAGGATTTAAACTCATTTCTAATCATATGACTCCACCCTCGGGGATTGCGCGATTCATGGCGAGAAATCCCTTCGACGCTGATCTCACGAATCGCCTGCACCTCTCGGTCATCAGTCCTACGATATTCAGTAAAGTTTCACCCAAGATGCAGGGGTCTCCTGCATTCGCTTGGACAATCGATGAGCTGGCGATAATGACACCGGCAGTGATCGATGAATTCCCTGTGCAGCAGAATCACTGCACAGATCCTGAAGTGGAATTTCACGCTCAGAAAGCTATTGATAAGTTCTTCAGTGAATCACAAATCCATCCGAGCCCCTGGCACACGAGGAAGCAGGCACAACCACTTGTGATGATGACTCCCACGACCAGACCAATCGAGGCCTTGACCATGAGTAGAGCATCTCCACCTGGCACAAAAGACTGTAAGTGATCGAAAGGCTTAATTCATTGTGAAGTTGTGATAGATGCCAATTTCTGGAATTATTTAAAGTCTTGTATTCAATTGGATAAATTATGAAATCCCATGAATTGTTATAATTTTTAACCAGTTGAAAATGAAATTTAATTCAGTGTCTTTCAATTTCCAGGCGCAACCCAAACAGTATTAACTCTTCCCCCAGTTCTCCCAGCAGATCTCGAAGAAGCGCTGAAGCCCTATTTAACCTACACTCAGGACCAGAACACCCCAAGTTCGGAGGACGAAGCGAACTCGAGTAACAACTCCCTCAGGAGAAAGCTCTTCTTCACTCACGACGAGTCAACCGAGGAAGAGGACGAATTGTCATTCGTACTCTCTCCTTTGAAGGATCCATCAAGTCCGCCGCAGAGTGGAATGTTCATGCATGGGACACCCCTAAGAGGTCGTCCTTACTCAATGCAACGAAACCACGGGACCCCCTACACGAACTCCAGAAATCTCTCGCCATTGAATATGTCACCGATCTGCAATCCCACCCTCGACATGTCCTGCCAGAGCATTCAGTCTCGTCGTCGATCAGTCACTCGTCTCGACTTCACAACATTCATGAGCATCGACGTATCCTCTGAGGAAAAAGACCTCCAGACGCCAACATCGACCCACCCCGAGACAATCTTCGAGGAGAGTCTGGAGACAAGGAAACCAGAGGTCGAGGTGAACAAAAATAATACGATTGAGATGGTTTCACTCCTCCAGGAGTCGACGCCCTTCAACCCAGCGATTCCCATAACAATCGAAGTGAGCAAAATCGACAGAGTTAAAGACCTTGGGGACTGGTACAGGAATGTTTCCTGTGAGAGCATCAATGGGCAGAAGCTTGGGACTACCCTCTTGAGGTCTAATTACTCCGAGCAGAGCAGTGCTTTCAATTTTGCACAGGACACTGGATACCAGACGTACAGTATGAATAATACCTCTGATAATCGCAGTATTACTCCGATTAAAAAACAATCCAATTGGAGCGAGAGGATCACCGCTATCAGTGAAATCGATGAGATCAAGTCCTCCAATTGGCAGGAGAATATTGAGAATATGTACAGCTCCACTCCGTCCAAGTACGGGAGACAGAGAGATAATTGACTGGAATAATTTCATTGCTCAATTAATCATAGGTTTGAGTAGGCGTCGAGTGGTAGAACATCGAGAGTTTTTTTTGTGTTTCCCCGCGAATTTTTAATATCATTGACTATCGGAAATTTAATCTAGAGTATTTTCAATAGTTCATGATTTTTTAATCTCATAATCTCCCTTTTAGAAATTTATCGATGAGCCAATGATATTGAGAAAAAAATCAAATAAATTGATTAATTACGGGAAAAATATGAAAAAACTCTTCCTTCTAAAACGATTTTGTAAAAATATCAAAATTGGCTTACAGCTAGATAAATCAATAATGAATGATACGAGAAATGAGTGAACATGATTTTTGGGGTGAATAATATGTGCAATTCTGTGAGCCTGATGACAACCCACTGTTGGCCGTACTGCTATCATTTTAGTCATTATTATTATTAATTTGTCCTGATGATGCCAACGAGGAGAAAATTGTGATATTCAGCCCCATGTAATACGAATGACATCACTCTACTTACGAGTTGAATGCGAGCACTTGCGTCCTGAATGGTTCCACTTTCATACGTGCTGGACTGATGAAATAATACAAAATATAACATGATTCGGTGATTTTATATGGTACAGAATAATACCCAAGAGACTGCAACGAAATCATATTATTCCTCTATTCGGCAGTGGAGACGAGCGAATTGAAAAATAATTTTTATACTTTTTATCATTTTTTAGGAGACGCGCATTAATAAAATGAGGCGATGAATACTTGACTTTACAAATTTTATTGCAGACCTGAATTGAATCAAATTCATTTATTTATTTATTATATAATGGATATTTGATTAAACTGTCAAATTGCTCGACTAAATGCATAAGTGCAACGAGGGAATTTGAAGTTTCCGCCAAAATAAATGCCAAAGTTCCACAATCTACCGTGGCTGTGCAATTTTTGGCCGCCAAAGGAATCAGAGGGAATCAGAGAAATTTACGAGAAACAAAGACGATCCGAAAAACCTCAAGTGCATCTAACAATTCAAGTTAAAACACTCTAACTACTCATTACCATTCCCAAACGATTCGGTAACACCATCAGCTGATTATATTTCTTTAATTGAAATTATTAATTATCCAGCATGAATCTTCATTGATGCAAGGCTAGTCCCCTGCTTGTTTGGTTATGGTGATATTTATTGGTAGGTGACTTGCATAATTCTAATCATCAATACGATAATTCACGTGGAAAGATGGATTCGGCAGAATACAAGTTCAATTGCACATTAGCCGGACATACCGAGGATGTCAGGGCTATTGCATTTTTTGATGATGGCACATTGGTGTCAGCATCGCGTGACAAGACCGCACGTGTATGGAGACCAAGCCGGTACTTATTTTTTTTATTTATCATAATTCCGCACATAATAATTAACTCGACTCTAAGAGAATAAAAGAATTAACTGACTGCAGCAGGAAATAAATAGTACAAATAATCAATAAAAAAAATATGTTATCTCTTCTACAGAGATGGCAGGGAATATACCGAGACAGAAATCTTAAAAGGGCACAAGAACTTCGTGAGTTCAGTGTGCGTTCTTAACCCATCCCCGAAGAATCCTCAGAGTCTCATCATCACAGGCAGCAATGACAAAAAAATCCGAATATATTCTCTGGGTGATGTGGATCCAACTCGGACAATATCTGCCCACGAGGACACTGTGTGCCATCTGCGTAGTGGTTACGAAGAAGGGACATATCTGTCGAGTTCCTGGGACCTCAGTGCAAAACTCTGGAGTCTGGAGAATCCAGAGGAGCCGAGACTGATTCTGCATGGTCACTCGCTGAGTGTCTGGAGTGTTGCTGACCTCAAGAGTGGTTTAATCATCACAGGATCGGCTGATAAAATAGTGATTGTCTGGTCGAGGGATGGAAAGAGCATTCACAAGCTCGAGGGACACACAGATTGTGTGCGTGATATAGCTGTTGTCAAGGAGGATGAATTTCTAACTTGTGCGAATGACTCGACCATCAGGCACTGGAGTGCACTGAGTGGTCAGTGCCTGGGGACATATTATGGTCATGAGAATTTTGTCTACACGATATCTGCTGTTTTAACTGGTGCCATAGTGGCATCGGGGGGAGAAGACATGAGTATCAGGGTGTGGAAGAACGGTGAGAACTGCCAGACAATTATTGTACCCACCACTTCAGTATGGAGTGTCAAAATTCTACCTAATGGGGACATTGCTGCTGGCTCATCAGATGGACTTGTCAGGATTTTCTCGGCTGACTCTCAGCGCCATGCCAGTGCTGAGGTCCTCGAGTCCTGGGAGAAGTGCGTCACTGAGCATCAGGCACACGCCAAGTTGAACGAACAGATTAAAATTAATCAGTTGCCTGATGCCACTGCTCTCACTATTCCTGGCCGCAAGGATGGTGAGACCCTCATGGTCAGAGAGGATGGTAAGGGAATCGCGTACAGCTGGTCAGCTGGTGAACAGACATGGGTGAGGATCGGTGAAATTATTGGCGCCAGTGGCAACTCCTCCAGGAGTATGTACAATGGAAAGGAATACGATTACGTGTTCTCGGTTGATATTCAGGATGGGGTACCACCACTCAAGCTGCCGTATAATAAAACCGAAGATCCTTGGCAGGCTGCCCAGAAATTCATTCATCAGCATGGACTCAGTCAGATGTTCTTAGATCAAGTGGCCAATTTTATCGTGAAAAATTCAAAAAGCACTCCAGCTCTTCAGCCTTCCTCGAGTTACGCCGATCCTTTCACCGGTGGAAGTCGCTACATTCCTGGTTCTGGACACTCAAATACTTCTAATGCAACTGCATCAGTTCCCAATCCAGATCCCTTCACTGGAATCACAGCAGCCTCTCAGGAATCAGCTGGCTCAGCCCCAGTCTACATTCCCCATCGAAGCTACTTGAGGCTGGAGCAGGCAAATGCTACTGCCATTCTTGATAAATTAAAGGAATTCAATGCCAAATGGAATTCCCTTGATGCATGTACAGATAAAATATCAGAGGAAACATTGCATGCTGTTGTGGATCTGATAAAAAATGACACTTCTGATGATAATACAGAAGGAATAACTGCCTTATGGAAAATCCTAGTGGATTGGCCACAGGAATTCTCCTTTCCAGGTCTTGACGTTGCGAGACTTGCTGTTCTTCATCAGTGCTCCAATCGACACATATGTTTTGAGAAGCTGCTCCCGATTGTCTATCGTCATACGTCTGCTGATGCTGTACCTGCGAATCAAATGCTCGCCTTCAGACTACTTGCAAATATGTTCACCCAAGAGACTGGTGAACAATTTGGTTTCGATTATAGTGAATGTTTTTTGAATCTACTCCTCAATTTGTCATCATTTGGCAGTAAAAATAATCAGGTAATGAGTGATAGTATCCTTTAGTAAAAAAAAAATAAGCCGAAATTAATTTTGAATGACTTTGGATGAAGTTTATTGAATAATTTCCTTTTTGTACACCACAGGTTGCTATATCGACGTACATCCTGAATTTAAGCATTGCACTCAACAAACGAGACGATTTACTGAGCAAAAATCGAGCCCTCAGTACGATATTGACAATACTGCCGAAATTCAAGGAGGTTGAGGGCATTTTCCGTGCACTAGTTGCCCTAGGTACTTTAATTGCTGGCACTTCACATGACGATAATCGAAGGCAACTCATTCAACTGGTTAAAAATTCCGAAGCTACTGTACACAATCTGAAAACCATGGCAAACAGCAAATCTATGCACGATCCGCATGGAAAAGTTGCCAAATGCTCGACTGAAATACTTGCTTTGATTGTGTAAATGTGAAAAAAATGTATATCCTATTTTTTTTCAACTTATGTATTCGCCGAATAAAGGAAATAAAAAATCCTGGCATATCACTGTCTGAGTCGAGTATTAACTTCTGAAAATTACAATAATTTTATAATTTAATCCGGATCATACTATAAATTCTGAAATTCCTCATTTCAGTCCGTGGTATTAAAAATGAATTATTTATTAAAAAAATGAAAAAATTCCCAAATTCTCCATATTTTACAAACTTTTCTGAAAAAATGAAGTTGATGATTTTGTAATTGTTTAAGAGTTGGAAATAAATAAACAGTTTACGGAATTCGTAGCTTGAAGTAATCCTACTCTCTAGAAATAAATAAAGGATATAATTACCTGAAGTGTGATAATCCATTTTGAATCTCCGATGCAAAATTCACGGTGAAAATGAATTCTGTACAATTGCATCGGTCAGGTAATACTCATTATATATTTTCTAAATGAAAGTTACGTCCAAGTATGTACAACGATGAATATGAAATTAGAATTTTTGCAATATACATAATATCTGATTTAATATTTTCCGGCCATGTGTGCCTGATAAACGTACAACAGACAACAGTGTACTAGTAGAATATTATTATTATATGTAGTAACATTAAATATATAACGTATGTGAATTTATACGATTATATCTATACATAACTATACATTTTCGTGATTGTTTTGTTTATATTATTCTGGTATTTTTGTGGATTTTATAGTCTTAGAGTTGAGGAGAAGAGGGAGATGGGGCAGAATGAATCTTTATTCCATTCTCATCATCTCATAAAAAAAAATATTATAAAATAATTCAACGTCAGAAGTTCCACCGAAATTTCTCAGATTTTCGCTATTCGACGAGGAGACAGAAAATATTTAGCAAACGAATGTGTGAATACATTTTTATTAAAATTTTTTGAAACATGAAAATTAAAAAAAAATCGCCAAATTAGTAATTACATGATTCATTATGCCCTGTTCACCCCTCCTTATACGAGGCACTTCACATCAATTCAAACAGCTGTAACTTTTGGATTGAGAATCCAGTTTCTTAAAAATATTCATGGCAATACAACCCCTGATTGATAGCTCTTGCTTGTCGACGCGAAGTGTCTCATACGAGTGAATAACATTTACATTACATTCATGTTAGTTATCAATTACTCATCGATAGACGATACACATATTACATTGAGATAGTTATGGTTTTCAGGCCATTACGGCATAGCGAGGGGGAATGTCATTTGATTTCCTTCTTTTCCGTATTTATTTTATATTTATAAAAATAAAATTTCATCGCATCCTGAAGAACTTGTCCACTCAGACGGAAAGAATATCTAGTAATGATTTATTTCTCGCAAACCAGTCATATCTCGTATATTTACAATACGTGCATTTGCCGGAGAATTTCAGTAGTATATTATTTCCGTGTGAATTACAATAATAATTGTTCCAACGTTTAGTTATGAAAATACATCGTAATTTTGTAAACAGGGAAATTGTTGATGATTTTCAGGGAATCGATTGAAGTTAACAATTGAATTTCACAATTCTCCCAATAAAACGTAAAATTCAATGATGGAACGTAAATGAGAGGACGTTATTTTCGAAAAACCTCTCGGTATTTCTAACCACCAGTGAAAAAACATCACGTATTAAAATCACCTTGCACACCACATAATGATCGAACCTATCGAACAATCTCTACAACATAGTCAATGATATTTCAATTGAAAGATTCCACTAGCGAAATCTAAAAAGTCCTTATCTACCTATGAAAAATCAATTTGGTTTTATTTCCTTAATAACTCTAACGCTTTTGTACAGAATAAAGAGGATACTGAATCGTCCTAAATATCTTTCAGTTTCTCAGCAGATAAAACAACTGGCGGAATGCCCTTCACAAAAAAATGCATTTACTCATGATCTTTCACTGCTTCAATGAAAGATGAGTCATATCTAGTTTCACGACGTACACTTTGGAAGCCAAATCAACAAATAACTTTCTAATTGCAATGAGCCCACGTGAATAACGTGCTCCCACGACTTTTATCGAACGCAAGGTGCAATATATATTCCAATATATACGCGTCAACCTTTTATTTTCAAATCACGTATGAAAGATATTTTTTTTTTCTCACTATTTCCTCCGAATACGTGACAGAACGGAATTATCAGGCTGCTTCCTCCATTTTAGATCTCATCCATCTCTTAATTACATCAGATAATTGACGATTATACCGAAGAAATGTCACACAGCCCCGATAATCGACGTCTTCAAAGATAATAATACGAATATATAATATACAGCATTGTGATTCAATAATGCTGAACAACAGGTATAAAATTATACTCTAAAAATACGTATGGACATCTTTGTTAATTGCTGAATGATTTGCTACACCGATACAATATCAATATTTCATGAATAAGTAATGCTCTCCATTCGTTCTTCTCAATATCAGATCAATCAAATATCAGATACACTGCTAGAGTCATTAACTATTGCTTATCCATTTTTATATTTTAATCTATTGCATTATCTTTCTACTGTCGAATCGCACGTCCATGTGTTTTTCTGCTCCCATCGATTATAATTAAAATAACATATCAATCATGCCACTAGGTAAATTGTACGTTGCATTACAATTAATCGCAGATTTTATTTCCATTCCCACTGTTACATCAATTTATCGAATACTTTCAAGAGTTCAATACTGCGATTACAACGAATTGGAACATTTATCAATCAAATTAATCAAAATAAGTATAAAAAAGAAGTCAGTTTTCTACTAGATCTCTCTGTTTTACGTAGAAGTATTAACAGTCCTATCTACTCTCTCCCTAAATCATGACGCATATTTCATTGATGCGTCATGATTTTTACCGTAGAGAAATGAGAACGAGAATTCAAAAGAAAAATATCGTATAGTAAGGTAGTGTGGAAAGGCGTATGGAAACACGAGGCAGGAAGCTGTGGTTTCTTCGACTCATTCTATATAACACGCGCGAATGTTCGTATCTAGATTCAATTTATCAAGGTGTCTTAATGTGACTAATAAATTGACAGGATTTTATTCTAAGGAACACGCGTTTATATAGAAACGTCAGGTTGTAAAAATTTTTCCCCTGACCTGCAGGAGTGGAATTACTTTAGGGGATAGATATGGATTATTTAATATGGACTTGGTAGATTAAATTAAAGTTCTAAATGTGCTGAAAGGAAATACTCGTTTCGTACGAACCTCGGGAGGATCCCTTTAATGAAATTAATTGTATCATTTTTTTCATTTCTTCAAGCTCCGGTGCGTCGGTTAAATAAATCGTCAGATAAAACGAACATAAATTTAGGTCAGCGGATTATTTTAACGCGAATTTATCTCAGGTAGGGGAATATCAAAATAATTTCTAGGTTTCGTCAGTGTCAGCTTGCATGAAGTAATTAATTGAAAATCCCGAATATGTACGTTTTCAGCGGATTCTTCAGTTTTATCTGTGAGAAGTGAAAAGAATGTAGCTGAGAGCCCTCAGGCTGTGCCCGGTTATTTAACATGAGTTTGAAACAAATTCCCTTGAATATGAAATTAATAAACAAAACAAAAGATATTATTAAACATGAAATTTCGCGATGAACGTGAATGAATAAAAAATGCTTTCATGTATTCAATTTCAAATCCATAAAAAAAAAATCTGAATTCAATAAAAAAAAAAATTGAATGGCTTTGAAAAAATTATTCCATTGAAGGGACGACAGCATTCGAAAGAGTTGATGGAAATATTTAATAATGAATCATTTCTAGATGAAAAAAATCTACCAAGTCGCCTCACTCACACGCGCACACATTTCCAAGTGAAAATTATCGGTCTGTATCGAAATGTTCGACCAGCGAACCGCTCCCATTTAATATGCAACATGATTAAACATTAGTACTGGCATTAATGTACAGATGAAATAAAAATCAACGACAAATGGGGCAGGGGAGGGACCTAAAATTTGTATTGGGTCCCCCCAGGCCCGTCTCATTCAGCTGGAGTACTGGCTGCCCACCTATCAAATTCAATTCCCGAATCAGGACTCAGGCCGAGATCCAGTGGACTCAGAAAACTCGGGGCTGGACAATTGCATGGCCCATTGGGCTGACAGGCCCCAATGCATCGCTGATTATTGCGTTTACGATCGTCACGATCCCTCAGCTCGCGCTCAAAGCTGTGCAGCTGCTCCATGAAATGAAAATTCGGTGCAACATTTGATTTTCTACTTCGCACTAGATTAAACGCGTCGTTCAGACTCAAATTGCACTTGTGCATTAGATATGCTATTGTTATCGTGACAGATCGCGATACACCGGCTAGGCAATGGACTAGTATACCCTTGTCCAAATTTCGTGCTTCCTCTGAAAAATTTCAAGACAAATTTACATTTTAAATATATTCTCATAATTCAATCCGTAGAGAATTCATGGGATTTTCCAGGGAAAGGATCAGAATTGGATGAAAAAATTTCTGGAAACAATTATTTTATTATCAATATTCATTAAATGCGAATTGAAACTCAATTATTTGAATTCACCCGATGAATTATTGGAAGGTGATGAATTGTTTATGAATAAAAAAGCTCGGATTTTGAGGGATCAATGAATTTGGTAATTACTCATTGTGCAGCGTAAATATTTGATGTTTTAATGTGCAACATGAAAGGGAAAAGACACAACGGAATGAACGAAGACATAAAGGGAAAGATATGACCACTAATAACCCATGAAAGGAACTGACAATTGCATGTACATAAATACCCATAACTACAAGCACAGATCTTATCCCACCTTTAAAAAAAAATGGTAAATAAGATAACAATGCTTTCATGTTCAACCGTTTCCGTCGCCCATGTAAGTACACTTTCTATGTTCCAAAGCGGATATCCGTTGTTTAATTGTCTACTGCGCAGTGGATATTTCAGTGTTGCTCACCATATGGGAAAATTGCTATTCATAAGAAATCCCTACTACTAGGCATTTCAGAGCAAACGCAGTCCTTTCGCACCGGAAAATCTATTTAAGACACGCCCAATCCGGATATTCAAACGTCAAGAGGAAATAGTATAATCGTTCTTGAATTGTAATCCATTCATGATCCGTTGAAAAAATATCCAACTTCACTTTCAATACACGACACTCCATATCTGGAAATCTACGAATAATACGCCATTTTGTATGAGAAACTTTTTTGCAGAGGAGATAAATATCTGCAAAAAATTTTCAACACAAAATTCTCTATCTCGCTCAAGTACCGAGATATTTGCGGGAAACTAATCATCCCTGGAGTGAAATTTACTTGTTCTGTTCTACCACTCTACAGAAGCATTCCTACTCAATTCCATTTACGACTTTTATACAATCAGCTCGATTGAACCTCGGGGGGGGCATCTGCACGGTGTTACTCACGGATTAAATTTTACGTTTACGTCGAATGCCAAGAGACCATTGAACTCCGTTTATTATGGTAACATAGTGGGGCATCAGAAGCATACAAACTAGGGGTCAGGTACAATAAGTTACGAGAAGGAGATTAATCTAACTTTCCTCGCTGAATTACAACCGCCTAATGATTCCACAGGAACGACCACCAATTAATGATTTTCATAAATTATTATAAATGAATTATCCGGTTGAATTATCCCACGCAAATTAATTCTCTCTCTCCATCAATTTTTTTCATTATTTAATTGAGTGATTTTTTGGGGATGAATTCTGCAATTCAAATAATAGACAAATGAATTCTTACCGATGAATTGAATAGCCTGTGGAAAGAAGCTAGCCAAATTCTGACTCCAGTGATCGCTGATGGGTATCTGCATGTATTTTATGGCACCCGCGCTTTCAAAAACATTTGGCAGGTCGGGTGTTACATTAAGAATGTACTGTATCCGATGGCGTGCCAGGGCCTCGTGATCCTCGCTGTTTGCTGCATTGCCGAGATATAGATGCGGTAGAATTTCCACGGGGAAGTCTTTATCCTCGTCTGGGCCTACTTGTAATCCAAAAAAAAATCAAGTCATTCTATCGTTAAAAATATTTAATTCAAAATAAAACCGTTAAATCATTTTAATTGCTACTCAAAAGTCAATCCAAAGAAAATCATTGAGAGTTAATCAATAATAATTTGACATTTCCCTATCAGACTTCCGCTGAAATGTTGATTTAATTATAATCTCAATTAGTATTCATAAATATTTTTAATTGAGTAATTAATGTACGTGTGGGCTTGAAGGAAAATGTCAAAAGAATTCTCGCAGCTGGGGGTAATTCATACAAAAAAATTGCAATGAACAATTAACAAAGACTGGAAATTGTTTTTGTAGCTAAAAATATTTCCGACAGAATCCATTTTTTTCTGGATCCAATTATCCAGACTGCTATCAGTCTGTTAAATTTTAATTGTACACTCGTGAATTCATATCATCAACTTATCAGTGGGCAATGACTCAATATCTGAGTCAACTGTTCATATCTTACCGACAGAATCGCAAGTGCTATCGCTATCACTGTCGGAGTAGGCTCTTGTAGGAGGTGTGGAAATTCTCAGCGATCGTAATCCCATCAGTTCTCCAACATTGGTATCCTGACCGGTTTGTCCCTCAGTATTTGCTTGACTGCCCTCACACCACTCTGGATATCGGTCTCGAAATGCTCCAAAGCCTCCTACAACATCAAGTTTCACACATCGATTATATTTCACTAGCGATTTTTTTTTTTTCAAATAATCCATTTCCCATCCGCCAACGTCAGACATTTTTTTAAGAATCAAAAAGAATTAAAAAATATTTCACCACCTGGCAACTCGGGCCCGCATAAAGCCTGAGGATTGTTAATGCCATCATTTTTTTTTATCTCTTTCACTTGCTCATTGTAACGAAGCTAAACTAGCTCAATTGATCGATTTATTACTGAACTTCGAATATTAAAAAATCAGTGTCCGTTATGCCCTGTAATAATTACGTTTCATTTTCATGAGTTTATTTTCCTCTCGGTGCGGACTTTGAAATTGAAATTCGCTCTTCCTTGAGAAAATTCTGTTTCAATTCAATTTATTTCTCCTTTGATGTTACAGAAATTCCCATTGTTTTTCATCTAGACCAGCCAGTGGTTTCTCCCACGTTTCCCGTACTAATGAACATCAGGATATAAATAAATAAATAATAATAGATTTCGTATTCTCGTCTGAAAGCCTTTCCAATTACTAATCCATCTTTTAATACAATTCTTCATTTTTATTTATAATTATATGTCACTTGAACTCGTAGCGGGTGAAAAAAAAAATCGGCTGATTCATCCAGAAAAAGACGTTTCATTCGATTCGAGGGGAAAAATCTATGGAATTTGAGGCGTCTCTGAGAATATAAAATAAATTCCTCGAGAATTCCAGAAAGCCAAGAATTTAACAATAATTTTTTATTTAACCGTCTCGATTTTTCCATAAAATCATTTTCATCATTCCAAAATGTCAATCATTCATTTCTAATTCCCATATCACTAACAATCTCAATTAATCCAACAATTGATGAATTTTATAAATTTAATATTGCATAATGTTATTATCACTGTAAAACCATAAAAATCATTGCAATGAAAAAAAGTGAGGAGTGACTCCCCGATATATCAGAACTAATTTCTCTCCAGTGGCTACGAAACCTGTCATAATCCCGCCATTTACGCGCGTGCAAAACAAAATGTTAATATATGTAAATTCCACCTACAGAGCAAGAATGAATAAAGATCTCTGAGAGGGTGAATGGACTGGCTATACCCTAGGCGTTCCTGAGTGGTTGGCCATCGAATCAACAGTGAAATCAGATGTCAAAGGGAAAAGAAAGGAAAGCCTAACGCCAACTCCAAATCAATATTTCATTCACAACTCCATGCCGGCTGGCTCGACCACCAGTTCAGCTGATATCTCACCGATACAATCACGTGATGAATACCCAACATTTCCGGTCTGATATGCCCTCGACAAACGATGATATCATCCCCGAGACATCCCACCCCCATTTCTCCTCCTCCTGAGATCAATAATTGTGTAATCACTGGATTTAATTTCTCCCGATTTATAACCGGAGAATTAAATTCCGTCTCATTGACCAATAGGGTCGCCCACACGATAATCCAACCATCCGTACACCCATACACACCCATAAACACCCATAAATCCAATGTAGATAAACATGAGACAGCCCCCGAAGTATAAAAAACATTAAAAAAATAATTCAGCAGCCAAGTGGTGAAAGGAGACAAGTTGCATTTGAGTTTTTCGTAAATATCTCAAAAACCAAGGGAGATATGAAATTTTTTGTCATGACCTTCCTTATACCTCGCAATTATCTCCACAAAAAACCTCTCAATAAAAATTTCATCATCTCCCGTAGATCCGGAGATATTCCGGCTTGAATCTTCTACTCCCCGAAAAAATGTCAATTTGTTTATGCAAAATTGAATAATTGTCTCACCAATGAGTGTAGCGACGCATCCACCGCAGTTCCTGAGTCGCCTGCTGAGCACCTGAATAGTTTCGCCCTGATGTCCTGGTGGATCCGTAGTATCCCCAACGAGGATAAAAGTCCCCCTGTTATCATCATCTCCATACAAAAAGGCTTCAACCCTGTTCCTCAGCTCAATAGATCTTATTGTCGCTAATAAGTCAACCTTGCCAGCAGCTAAACGCCTCAACATAATACTGGGTATAGCCAGAGACACTGATCCCCTGACATGAGCCTCTAAAAAGTCCGAATGGCCCCTGCAATCGAGTATCAGGAGCCTCTCAGGTCCACCCTGAGACCTCAATTCCCTGAAGAGCCACTCAACCCTCACAAAGCCCTCCTCGCCCATACCCTCCCCCGGCATTTTTACTCACTTCCCCTCATACACCCAAACCACCATAAAAATTCCCAAAATTAATATCCCCTCAAAAAAATAAACGATCAATTATTCACCAGAGACCAGAGGTGCGATTATCCCGTCTCGTTTTCCCCATTATTGATCGAGACAACGTATTTAGTCGGTGTATCACAACCAGATAAAACAAATACAATATTTAATTCCACCCTACAACATCCAATCCCCAACCCAATTCACTCCATCAACGACTAATTACTCTCCAATCATCAATCAACAATACATCATCAATACATCATCCTGCGTATTTATCATCCACTCATCCCTCACGCCACAATAGCCATTGACAATGAGAAAAAAAATAACTCGCGTCCTCTGATTCTCATGTTTTCAATCTCTGCTGGATGGATGCTGCGCGAATAATGGACCAGTTCACCCAATTTTCAATTTCCTTCCCCAGTTTATTATTTATCCTGCATTCCACCCTATCCACTCCAACCGGCACTTCATTCCGCCACTGATCTTTCACTTATGTCTCTCATCACAGTTCAGTGCATCATCACCGATAGGAGATGAAGAAATAAAAAAAACGATGGTATTAACAAATTGGAGCTGTTAATTACACCAGTCACTGGGAATTTGGAGGATCGGTCGAGCCGATGGAGATTGATCACTGAATGTTTTAATATTAATGTCACACAGCACTCCCACGGTGATATTTAACCGTCTTGATCAAGCCACAATTGTCCCTGGTTTATCAGAGGCTTGTGGAACTTGTCAAGTGCCCACGATGGTTGGAGCGGAGAGGCAGCCACACCTTGTCACTAGCGTCCTTCCTTGGAGAATGGGCAAATGGCGTCTGCTACGATCAGCGCAGAGAGGAATAATCGTGTTCCATTGGTTGAAAGTCACATGGTACGGGGCTTGCCACCAATCGGATAGCAGTCTGACGTCAGTTCATTGACAAAAGATGTTTTCATTAACGAGGCGTGGGTTGTGTTCGGCTGTTGGGGGGGACACGCAAGTGGTAAATAAGCACTGGAGGGCGAGGGGATTTCAGCTCGACATATTCTACACCTACAATATATTCGGGATTACTCCATTTTTTTTTTTTATCATCCAACCCCGGGTCGTGGTGATTACTCATTATTTTTGGGGGTTTATTGCGATTTTATGGAAATTCTCAGATGGATTCATCAATGGAGCTCTGGCGAGAGGAGTGGGAGTTGATGGGATTTTTTACCAAGAGAGAATCTTATTTCCTTTGAGGGGAATAACTCCAGACGCTTCTGACGATTTCTCCAGGGGTTCTTGGTGGGGGGACATCAATGGAGCGACCCGCACTCGGCGAGGACGAATTTTTCGGGCTTTTCGGGAATTTATGGGTAAATTCCTGACGGAGTGAGGGGAAATCATGGCATAGGATGTACGTGGTTCTCATTCTCCGGGAAAATAAAATCACCGACAAAAATAAAATGTTATCTACTAAATTAAATAACTGCACATGTAAGGACAAAATTATTTCCAATCCTCTCCAAAAATTATCGATCGCACAATTTTTATTTCAGGTCAAGTAAATTTTACGATCACCTGAAAATATAAATTAATGTAAAACTGGAGTAAAGTACTGGTTGAAAATAATTATTGAAAATAATTTTCAATTATAAATTGAAACGATGAGGGGAATCTTTTGCCAATGAGTCTCAGGTATTCATTGAATTTCTGTAATTAAATGAATTATGTACAGAATGAGAACTGGGCTGGAGATGTAAAGGAATCGATTGCGGGGGTGGAAAAGAGTGGGGGGAATAGTAAAGCCCGGTAATAGTATCTTTGGAGTTTGCTTGGGTATATGTCGAGGTGCGGGTGGGTTGCCGTTCATATATTGTAGAAGCGTGGGTTGGCATTCCATTCATTTCACGAGGATCACGGATAGGGAGGGGGGCAGGTGGGGGGGCGAGGGGGGGTTCAACGTTGTTAAAGATTTTTTACGTTTGATCGCCCACCACAACTCCATCCCCCCACCCACCGAATGTCAGTGCAATGAAGGCCTGGGTAGACACGAGATGTATACTAATGTTCAGAAACTCAACATATGGTTACAGTTTTTACTTTATGGATTTTCTCGAATTGGATTTAAGATTTATTTTTCACGGCCATTCGGATTTACTGGAACGTGGGTGGATGGTAATTGGAGAGGTTTTTTTCAGCATTATGTTTTTTCCAGATGATTATTTTAATATTAATGACGTGAATACACGTGGAGGTAATCAATGATCTGGGGGGACGAATTGGAATTATTTGGAATCAAAGAATTTATTGGGGATTTATTTTTTTTTGGATTTAATGGGACACTCGAGAATTTTTTTTTTTATGAGTTACTGTAAAATATTCAGTGAGTATTCAGATTTTTGTGGCGAATGGTTTTTCATTTTTAAATATGAGGGAAATTTTCAGAAACAGTTGTTACCTTGTTAAGAAATAAATTTATTGCAATAAACATTCTGCTATCATTACAAGTACACGTATAGATAATCAATGATTCGAGAATAACCGAAAGTACTCGATACAAAAAGATTATGATCGAACATATCGAGATAAATTTCCATCTTCAAGAAAATCAGACTGATGTTTTACTAAAATCAATTCCCCATCCGCAGATAGAACGAAAAAATGTCTGTTTGCAATAAGTGCACTAAAAACGTAATCTTAATTAAAATCTCTCTAATAAAAATCAGCATATCAGTCAACGAAACAACATCAACGCATGTTCAATAAGTAGTAGTCACATGATCAATTATTACAAATCGTCGTTGCACTTACAACTGACCTTTAATACTGCTGGGTATTCTTCAATAAAACATCCAGAGTTTTAATGTCAACCACACAATATCGACAAATTAATACTGTTTTCTCGATGAAGTTGTTCACTATAGTATTCGGTCAAGTTATTACATTCGACAAATATCTATATTAAATGAGAAATGCATTTAACATATCAAAGAAAGCAGTTGAGAGCAGCGAAATGGGTTCTAAATAATGTTTGAACAATCTAAAAATAATACAAGATCAATTATTCTCGATTGGGAATACTGGAGATATTTAAATCCAAACAAAACTGAATAATTGATAAATGAAAAATTGCTCGATATGAGTCCTCACGAAAATGCATCTGAATATCCATTCCAAAAATGAATAAAGTCAACCATCAACTTATCCACACGGACATATAAAAAAATAATCCACTTCACACCATAATTGACAAGTAACAATTCCTGGAAATGAGAAATATTAAGTACAATCACAAGTCTCAAGTGCCCAGATGAATAATTATCCAAAGTCCCTGAATAATTAAAATACTTTCTCAATTGACAGGGATCATCCAGATGTTTCTCGTCCTCCGATAAAATTTCCCCGTGAAGTGTTCGATATTTTATGCGTATCTTTGATTTTTTTCGATGATAATTGAGGACAGGGTAGATTGCTCGATTTGAAATTTCAAATTCGTCTCTACCCCGTTGACATTGTGAAATGATACTCGCCAAACGTCTCAGCGAGCCTAGTCGATCCACCTCCATAGTCTCATGTAAAGATAACAATTCCTCCTTAATCTACTTATCACAATTTTGAGGTAGCCTCACACACCCTCTGCCCTCGCTTTTAACGCCAAAGGCTTGTAGTAATGACAATGTCAATTATTATCACGGAAGCAATCAATCACACTGTTGGTATAAACACCCACTCTCATTGCCCATTCATTTTTTTATAACTCTGACCGCCAGTTACTAGAGCCTGGGGTGAACTTCTCTCAGTGGTGAATGGGAAATAGAGTCACTCGGATTCACTCCAACTTCGTCATGTTTATTCAGTCGTTGTGCTCGTCCTTCCTCTTTACTCCACATCGGACTGGACCAGAAACAATCATTTTCTCTTTCAAGTACTGGTAGGCTTTGAGACGAGCATCAGCGAAATCCTGATTATTAAATATTATACTCATTAACTACTCGTTAATCACTCGTCGTCGTACCGAATTGTTTACAATAAATTATGGAGCACTCACCCAGTATCCAAAAGGAATTTGCGAGTGTCGAGCATTGACAATACTCCACAGCCCCCACACCAGATGACTGATAATCGTAAAGACTTTAACTTCATCCATCAATTTCTCCTCTTCAGCTGCACTCTCCTTGCCGATGGTTCTCAAGTAATGTCTGATGAAGTGGAGCTATCAAGAGAAAATAAATCCATATTACTCCGGTGACCGCTGAGAAGTGGAAGTAGATAAAAAGCTACTATATTACAGAGACTTCATAAATTCCTCAAGAATTGAATTCCCAAGTAATTATATTTCCAGATAACTGCGATAATTCAATGATGAGTTGAAAGAAAACATGATAAAACCCACAACAAAACAATGAGATTCTACAAATTCCCACATTAACATTAACATTATAAAAAATCGAAAATGAAATCAGTAGTGAAGTGATAAAAACGTAGCAATTGGACTTGTTGATATTTTTTTTAAATATCTCGGAATCTAATCATTGTAAGCCCTGGTGACAATGAATCGAGACTCTAAGATATAATGGACATCAGAAATACTGATAAAAGGGTAAACTGCCCCCCAACGACCAAAACATACCAAGCAATGGCAATATCATAGCGCCCTTCAATTCAATTTAGTTATTCCCGCAGAATTAATGCCCGAACTATTTATCGATTTTGATTAATTCATTTGATTATTGAGAGTGCGTGTACAAGGTACTCTAGTGGTTGTTGAGATGTAGGTTGCTCGCCGAATTGTTGAATGGCCGACACCCTGGCCGTCTCTGTTGAATTCCACAAGGGGCCAGCATAATGTTGCCGATGCCATTATCACCCGTCATGAGTGAAGATACCCAGGCCTTCAGCCTTGTCTCAGTACTGAGTGGTCCTGTGAAACTAACATATACACACGCAACACACGCCAACGTCCCCCCTACCACCCCCTCTCTTTAAAAAAAATCTATCCCCCATGTGAGTACTGATTTTTCCCTTAAAATTATCAATTAAAATTATCCAAATGATTCAAATGATTGACATTATTCAAATTATTGCATCAGCAGCGTACACGTGACCTTACAGAATCTATTAAATCGATATCGATATAACAGAAATATCTCGAATGAATCGATGAATTTTTTTTACTCACTCTGTCAAAATTCCGTGCGTCACTCGGTCGAAAAGAATTTTTCTGACAATTCTGGGGGATTCCACAATTGCCAGAAAATTTATTAATGGATTAGTGACATAATTTATTACATTAATTCGCTAGTGATCAGTCTGTAAATGATCGCAGGTACGCCCCTCTTCTACCGAATGGTCAGTCGTATGGAATCAAGCGATTTGAAATATGATAAAAAAAAGTGATGTGTTAAGTAATTGGAAAATTGTCCTTACCCAGGAGCAATTTTTATTGATCTGGTAAAATAACTCTTGTCAACCCATCTGACCCCCCATCGCGCAACTTACCTTTTGCTCATCCGAGGGCTCGGCTCCTTGTCTCTCGTAGTAGAATGGATACTCAGGTGCTGTGTAATCGTACTGCCACTCGACAAAGTGATTTGCCACGTCGAATCCACGATAATTGTAGGCCGAGTACTCGAAGTCTATCAGCACTACGTCGCGCTTGCGGGTGTTTTGACGAAGGAGAATATTACCTTCCTGGGTGTCATTGTGGCAGAAAACAATTTCGTGCTTTTGCTGGCTGACAAGATTTCTGGAAAAGAAAAAATCATCAATCCTCTTGCCTTATCTACGTCATGATGCTGATTACGAATATCTCAAGGACCGACGTAAGACAAATCGTAAATACTCACGATGAATTACCAAGTCGAGTGCTAACGATTTCGATCTGATTCGATATTTTTTTGATAAAAAACGATTTATCGTTGCTCGATCATTTCTCCCGATAATTAATCGGTTTCTCTCATAATTAATTTTCATTGTCAAGTGCTTGAAGTGAGTAAGAAGATATAATTATTCGGTACTCACCTACACCAGGCGATCTCCTTTCCCAAATTCATGGACCTGATCTGATTGACGATGTCCATCTGCTTGGCATCGACTTCCTCACAATTTTTTAAGACATCCTCAGCAGTGCTCAGCCAATTTGCCATTGTGTCCCACATCCACGTGGGCTCTTTGTTCAGTGGCACTTGCATTCTGTGAATCTGTGCCATCTTCTCAGCAATCAGAGCACTCAATTCAGGATCAGCTAGCTCCTTGGTGAGGAGTGGACGAGCTGGTATGTACTCTTCAATTCTTCCACCAGGAAAAAGACCGTGGAGCTTTGGTCCCAGCTTTCTCTCTGAGAGTAGAGCAAATATAACGGACTCGGTTATCATACCCTCCACGGTTTTCTGTCCATGCATTGGACCGTAGAATCGAAGAAGCACCTGACGAGGTTCACCGTGTGCTGGTGCTGTATCTTCTGGCAATTGAACCAGGTACATCCAGTTGCTCAGACCACCGCTGCAATTAAAAATTCAATTTATGTTATTCACTATTCAAATATCTGGAGTGGTTTCAATTTTCTCTGTAATATTGGCAATTAATCTGTCAGCAATTGAATGACTTTGTTATAAAATATGATCTGTCAATTAACACATGCTCCTGTGAAATCATCCACAATTTTCCTACAACAGCTGAGTCTCACTGGTGAATCATTAAAAGTTCTCTTTTTCTGGAAAAACTGGTGACGAATAACATCAGACGAATAACATGAGATTAACAAACCTTATGTGCTTGACGAGGACATTATCAGAGTCCACATGCTTCCAGATGCCAGCCAGAGAGTCACGACAAATTCTCGCTGCAGTTGACCTCATCTCGGGGTTAGAATCGGACATCTTAAAGCAAATAAATTTTTTATTCAACCGAGGTTAACGAACCTTGAATCGATCACATTACACGATCACTTCAGTCAGTAATGATAACCCTAGCAATTATTCTTATCATCGTCAGAAAATTCCACGCGCGGTTTATTTCTAGATAACGAATGTATCAATTTTTTACAGTACCATTAATCCCATTTTTACAGCTCTATATAACCGAGTGGTGGAATTACTGCGGATCATTTGCGGATATTTGGTGTCTTATCGCGTGGTGTTTGCCGTTGGGGAATAAATCGGATGATATGCGAAACATTCCAAATCTTTTTAGGGGAGTATAAAGTGACAGCTGTTATTCAGCGGCTTAGGACTTGGATGGAGCAATTACTGGCACATGATATTCGAGGTAATGACAGGTGATCTGGAATTTTTCGGGGGATAATTAAAGTTTTCACCCACCCAATGAATTTTTCGTGGTGCGGCATATGGTCTACCTAATGAAATACGTACGGATTCCTCTAGTAATTCACTGTGCGAAATCCGCAGTCTTGTTGTCAATTTTTCAATTCCCCTCATCATCAATTATTTATTTATTATAGTCGAGATTTGAAGGGTTAAGGGAGCAATAAGTCGACGTGTCACTAGATTTCTATAGTGACCTGAAATGAGATTTGAATCGATTTTTAGGTAGTCAGGAAGGCTAGAAATGGCACGATTTTACACGAGTGCCTGCACGACGATGTCCGAGTGGTTTTTTGCATTTTTATACTCGAGAAAAAATATCGCAGCGGATTTTCGATATTTATTGTGCAATAATCACCGATAAATCGCATTAACAATTTCGGTTTTACCAGTTGCAAAAATTATTTCAGTTGAAAATTCATTTAATTCAGAGAGAAAATTACAATTAATTTTTTTTTACAAATTTTTTATTTATTTAAATACGAAAATCGAGAGAAATATTACAAGTGTTTGTTTTTATTTAATTATAGGTCAATAGGTCTATGGGCATTTAATTTTTTTCTTGGAATCCCTCCATTTCAGAGGTCGAGAATTTCTGGGATTTTTTTTTCCTGGAATCGACCCTTCTAATTGGATTAACTCGACCGATTTTATTTTTCAGAATTTTTTTCCTGGAATTCTACTATTCCAGAGGTAATTCTTTTTCTCTCAAATAAAATATTCGATAGTTCTCAATGAGTGTCTGGAATTTAGGAGCATTTTTTTTCCTGGAATCGACCCGTCTAATTGGATTAGCTCGACCATTCAAAAAATAAAATACGAATATTGAGATAAAAGTTTCAAGTGTTTATGTTACCTAAGTGGAGAGACAAATTGAATTATGCAACTCTTCTGTCGGCATTTCATTTCCGAGAATTTTTTTTTCGAGGCCAATGGCTTTTAAATTTTTATTCTTATTTCGGTGTGTTCATCGATTCGTGAGTGATTTTTAGGAGTTCAAGGTCATTCTGAAGAATGAATAATTTTCCCTAGACAGGTGATCCGCGAAATTTACAAATTTACATTTAAACATTCGAGTATCCAAAAATGTTTTTAAAAAAATCGAGTGCTTAACAATAATAAATAATTCACTTTACTCCAGTCATATAATAATTATTATTTTTTAATCAACATCGCGAGGAGAAGGTTATACAACACATATGATGATTTCGTTTGAAAGGCCAATGTCCAAGAGATTGAAAAATCTGAAACGAACGAAACTGATGACCTCAGGATGATCCCATCAAAATTCAGAGTTGAAAAACATTCCAATATTCGACTTTCAAACTGACACGTGGCATGACCTGATAGTTTGTTTACACATTCCTGAATGCAGACAGTCTCACTAACTTAATAATCAGAAATGGAATTGAAAATAATTCCTTCAAGAATCATTAAACGCTCCGAAAAAAATATCAGTAAAAACCACTTCAACTTCAAAAATGGTATTCCAGTCGTCAAGACATTCCCCGTAGATAATGAATTCTCTAAAATAAATCCATAATCACAAAAAAAGCTGAATCAATTAATTTTTTCAATGAAAGTCTTGATTTTCAGAACCCAAGAAATAAGAGATTATCTCGATTTCTTGATAAAAAAAATAGGAGAATAAAAAAAAATCCCGAGATTACTCATCGCCGATAAGAAAAACGAACGTCGACATATCAGAGCCACGTACCTCCGCTGCAATTACCAATGCGTCATTTCATATCGATCTATCGCAGGTGAAATACCCGAGAATTTCTCAAGTAATAAATCGAAGTAACAAGTGCAAAGTCCACATCACAGACGAAATTCAATTTTAATTCACATACCTTATTGCTGACACCCATTGTCTTGACAATATTGAGGCTTATGGAGCGAATTTCTGAGATTATTCTGGGCATTCACTGACTTTCACACTTCACTCTGCCACTGGAGTTGTCTGAGGAGCATCAAAATACCCAGAGAAAAAAGGAAAGGCAGAAGGTACTCGAAATATTTTTCCAAGTCTTCAAACTCTTCGAAGAAGTAGTGTGTTCTGTTCGATTTATTTCGTCAGCTCTCGCTGATATATGCCAGCTGGGAATTATTGATATTGGAGTCAAGGTAATGCACCTGTTCAAAACGACACACTGATGGTGAATGAGGGATAAATGCGGATAAAAGTGCAAGGGACCAAAGTTATTGCTTGTTGGTCACGTGGTGAGATTATCCAGAGTGGGGGATCTGGCATTCAGCCAATCGTATGATCCAGTCTGACTTTTTCACCAATCAGCTGAGCCCATTGGCAGATTATTACTATTTTTATTTATAAATCCGAAAGCAACATCAGTCCGGTAAAACGAATTTCAGGAACGCACTCGAAGAATTTCGAATGAATCACATGTTTTGTTGATGATTGGAGAATCCTTTCGATTTGAAGTTTTAAGGAGAACGAAATTAAATTTTAGTACTGCGTTTTATCGGTTCAATCGATTTTTTCATTTGCCTGAAGAATTGTAAATTTGTTTTATTTTTTTCATTAATTTCTTACAAAATTCTCGTGAAGTGATGGAAACTGGAGTTGGGTAATCGTCATCCTGACGTTTGCTTGTGGTGATAATCATCTTTTATGACATTTTTATGATAATTCTCTTATTATCGTGGTTCCATGATTGGACAATCACCGGAATTCGTCACTTTATGATCAATTCGGGGAAACCCCTGGGGGACATGCTTCAGGTTATTATTCAAAACAATCAGAACTACAGATAATTCAAGCTAGAAAATTGGACTTGATAATTCGCACGTAATTGTAACACGTTCTACATTCTGGGGGGTACAGAGGAATCAATATTTTTCCAAGAAATTCTCATTCAGTCGTAACTAAGACAATTATATACCTCCAAAAGATGATCCTTGAATAAATACTCGTTATTATTATTCTAGTGTAAAAACTAGTCCAGATTTTTTTACCACGTAAAAATAAATTCCAGGATCAATGAGTAATCAGTCAATTAACTGAGTAATCACTGTGCATGACTTTTGGAATTGAAACGTAATTAGGGAATGACGTGGTCGGATAAATAAAAACTTTAGAGACCAGAATAATTTTTAGTGTTGACCTCCAGAAATTGAATTCTTCTTCTCGACTTTTTCTTCTCTTCGGGAATAATTCGGGGATTGCAATTTCTCGAAAAGACGCGTGTTATCGAGTTCGAGGTCTCTTCAGATATTTCGAGGTCAGACTGAGGTACTCTTGTTGATAAAAATGAATGTTTGTTTCGCAATATATTGTTATCTCCAGAGTATTTTTTTTCACACTAACATTGAAACATTCAATTGTAAAACAGAGTACTCCAACTTTTCAATGAAGTACTAGTAGCAACAAGTCTTTCGATAACAATCTCCTACACATTGCAAAACATCCTGAGTGATTTAATACGTCAACACTCGATTAATATTCCAGTGGTTTGCAAATTAATTAATTATTCGCAATAACAGATCATACTCATGACTGAATTAATGACAGGTTGGAATGAATAGGTGTTTACACCCAATGGTACATTATTCTGATAAAGAATTAATTTCTTCATGCACCTGTCATGATTGTAGAATTTACCTGAAACAATGACACCAATTATCAACATACCCATACACTGAAGGTCGCAGGTCTTCAATAAAAATAATAAATAGTCCCTCCTTTCCCCATTTTGAGTTAGTCTAGCTGTGGGAGTAGACAGCACCACTCGTTTTTTCCCCATTGAAAAAATATTTAGGCGAGAGATGTTGTTGAAAATTTTCCTGATGGCTTTTGAAGTCCTTGGGTAAGAAAAATCACATCACGACTTACGTAACGATAGAATTCACACATGAAACTCGTTAACGACAATTAGCTGTATTTTTCCTCATTCATTAGGTTTCTTGAAAACCACGAGGAAACAATCCTCTAATTAATCCATTACCATTCTGTGGTTTTATTCCGTTTAAACAAAAAATAATGAACAATTAGCTCCTCTTTGCTGACTTATTCGAAAATATCTCCGGAACTCGGAGAGATAATTCAATTTTTGTTAATATCTTTTTCGTGGAGCTAATTGAGAGCTACAAAAAAGATATTACAAGAATTTCACTGGCTCTTTTAGTTTGACAGATATTTTCGAAAACTCATCTCCTTTCGTCAATTTTCTACTGTAAGGAGTTTAAGCAAATACTGCAACCGCTTTTTTATCAATTATTTATAATTAATATAACTGATACGGCTGTTAGTCGCTGAGGAAGTCGGCGGTTTTTGATAAAACATGTACGTGATTGCGTAAGGCGGTCATAAGATATGATCCAATGAGTCCAGTATTCTCTGTATAAAAATTGAGACATTACTTACGCTTATTGCGTAATAATTTAATTGGATATTAATTTTGGAATTGGAATGCAGCGTTTTAATAATTGATAATTGAATAAAATAAAGATTAGAGATGGGGAGAGAGTTGACTCCAGTTCAATGGATGTGAGGGCCTAAATTGGTTCAATGAAATAAATTACCGAATCTCGGCTTTCATTAAATTGTCACTGTATTTGTTGTGTATGTTTATTGGATGAGTTGAGATAAGCATTCAGTCGAAACAAGAGGCTTCCTCTCTTCACTTCGCAAGTATCAGTATCACTATCATAATTTCCTTTGGTGAGTCAAATGTTCAAATCATTGAAAACCAGAATAAGAAATCGGAGTCACTCATGACTTTTCTTGTAATTTTTTCAATTTGATTATCTAAAATTATGTGAAATGATTTAATTACTATTTAAAAATTGTTTAACAGACTCTTGAAGATGAGCCAAACACAAACGGCAGGGATCACAGTGCAGTCGTGGGGGGCGATAGATGGGGAAGAAATCAAAATGTTCACTCTGAGGAACAAAAATAATCAAGAAGTGGATATTTTAAATTATGGTGCTACCATCAGAGCTATTCGCACACCCGATAAAAATGGAAAAGTCGAGGATGTTGTTCTAGGGTTCGATAATATCGAAGGTATTAAAAAATCCTGAATTAAATAACAGCAAAATTCAACGAGAAACTCCTCTGATTTTTTTATTGAAGGGAAATGTCTCGAACTTTAAAAATTGATTATATCCCTAGAATTCCTCTTAATTAAATCCACAAATAAAAAATATTGACAGGCTATCTAAAATCGGATAATCCGTATTTTGGAGCGACTGTCGGGAGAGTTGCAAATCGAATTGGCAATGGGAAATTCATCCTGGATGGAGTCGAGGTAAATGTCTCCAAGAACAAGGCACCCAACACTCTTCATGGAGGTTTCAAAGGTTGGAATGCCAAAATTTGGGAATCAGAGATTCGAAACAACTCATTGGTGATGACATTATTGAGTGAAAATGGTGAGGAGGGATTTCCAGGGGCTGCAATTGCGACAGCGATCTTCAAACTCCATGACGATGGGACTCTGTCCATCGTCATGAAGACTTGTGCTACCAAAGCCACTCCAATCAATCTCACTAATCACAGCTACTTCAATCTAGCTGGACACGTATGTCACATTAATTTAATTTAATTGATGGCACGAGAAAAATTATTGTATATAAATAAATAATTCCAGGCAACGAATGCATCTCAACTCTACAAGCACTCGATGATGCTGAATGCAGATCGTTGGACAGTGACAGATGCAGATAGCATTCCAACTGGTGAAATTAGATCTGTCGCAAATAGCGTAATGGATCTGAGAACACCGAAGATCCTAGGTGACGTAATTCCCAAGGTGCCTGGTGGAGGATACGATTACAATTTCTGCATAATCGATGGTGAGAATAATGCAAACAGGAAACTAGTGGCAAAAGTCGTACATCCTGAGTCAGGCAGAACCCTTGAGGTCCATACCAATCAACCTGGAGTGCAACTCTACACCGCAAATTTTATACCAGACACAACGACTCCTGGAATCCTCGGAAAAGAAGGGAAAAGTTATTTCAAACATGGAGCTTTCTGTCTTGAGACACAGAATTATCCAGACGCTGTCAACCACGAGAACTTTCCTGATAGCATTCTGAGACCTGGAGATGTGTATCATCACACCGTTGATTATAAATTCGGAGTTAGCGCTTAATGACTGCATTAATGATTCATTATCGAATTAATCACTCAGTGCAATCAAATAATATTTATCTAAATGATTGCAATATTTTTTATTATCTTAATGGGTTGTATCGAGAATAAAAATTTGATCGTGACAATAATTGTGTCGATGAATGATTGAAGAGCAGAATTGACATATTCTGTACCTCTCATGATTTTTTAATGTGTATTGAGGAAAAATAAAGGAATCCCATGTTTTTTAATTGAAAAATATCTAGGTGTCTTATTTATTTAAACTAGAGTGAGGTAGTTTGAAATACTCAAGAGGTCAGCGATGGGGAGAGATTGACTTCTAAGGGATTATGCTTCTTCTTGACTAATCCAGAGTCAATGCTTTCCAGCAATCGATCTTCACGTTGATCTTTCACTGGAGCTGTTGCCGGTGTATAACGATCAGATAACCAACCCTCCACGTAATATCCAGCAAATCCAACGACACCAGCAAAAGGAAGTGTTACTATCGGGACGTATCGTCTCAGAACACCCATCACCCAAGGCCACATTATCGATTATTCAATGACTAGAATTTTTCGAGCTAGAAATTGATACACATTCAAGGTTTAACCTATAATTTTTTTTTTTTATTATGAATACATACACAAATTCCAGAGCCGCACGTTTTCTCCAGGGAATTATGCACCGAGATTAATCGTTTTTTTTTCTGACTGTTGATTTGATGATTATTGTTAAACAGAGACTTCTGGGGAATTTATTTCGTAATAATTGATGATTGTTGGAGGTGTGAGTATTGTTGCGGTGATTTAAAGGTTATTGTAATAGTTGAGATGTACTTTATCGGTCGAGATGAAATTTTTTCATTCAATATTTAATTTGATTTAAATCAGTTCGATAAAAAATTGTAAATGAAAAAATATTTTGCAGTCATTAATGACACGCATATTCCAATTTTTGTCATTTATTGAAAAAAATTCTCGTCTCGCCAAAAATAGACAATTCTCAATTCTATCTTTTATTCTTGTTTTTATCCATAAATAAATGACGGAAACACCAATGTAATCAAAAAAATGTAATTGTATTAATCAAACGACATCAAAAAGTATTCAGTGCCATAGGATCATCCTCATTTCCCTGGTACTCCAAAATATCGATTCTGGTTTCATTCTGGTGCCTCTGCTTATGAACTTTCAATGAACTCATCTGTGAAAAAGTTTTATGACAGAAGGTACAAGAGTACGGACGTTCCCCCGAGTGAATCCTCTCGTGCCTTATGATATGACTCTGATGGTAGAAAGTTTTATCACATATTCGACAGACATAGGGCCTCTCCTTGGTGTGAGTCCTCATATGGGACTTGAGATCAAACTTCTTGAAAAAGGATTTCCCACACTCCTCGCACACGTGATTGCGCACCTTCAGGTGATCCCTTCTCACATGCTCGTTTACCTGGGAAAGAGTTGGATAAACCCTGGGGCAAATTTCACATACGAATTTCTGGGGTCCATCGGGCCTGTGATTACTCGCCAGGTGTTTATTCAGGGTTGACTTCCAGGCGAACGTCATGCCACACTCTTTGCAGTGGAATTTCTGCTGATCCAGGAAGTGGGTACCAGTGTGCTGCTTCAGATTCGAAGCTGTCGAGAATTTTTTCTTGCAAATCGTGCACTCATACCTCTGCTCTTGACTTTTCGTTTTCTCAGTCGATGGCTTTTTTCGTGATCTCTTGGGGATTGTGTTTTTGTCATTTGCCACATCCTGGATGTTCTCGATGCCATTGGTACTTGAATCCTCAGCCTCTTGGGTCCTCTGGGGATTGTCTCCCATATCAGTACTGTAATATTTAGAGCTCGTTGCATCATCCCCGAGGTATGTGGAGGGGTCTCGGACGAGCTCGAAGAACTGGTCCCCTTCCTCGTGCTGCACCAGCCGTACACCTGGAGTTTGGCTCTCCTGTGTGTACCCGATGATTTCCTCGAAGGTTGTCAGGAAGTCTGAGGGCTTCACCTGCTCGAATTCCGAGTCCTCTGGGTACCTCTGAGGATCACCAGTATGAGTACTTGGAAGATTAAAGGAATTCTGCAGGTCCCCTAGACTGTGGAGGTCCAACTGCTCCATCAGATCTTTGTTTATCAAACAAATCTCCACAGATTCTTCCAGGGAATTCGCCCGGGACTGGTCCAGATCTTTTTCAGATAAATAATCCATGTCCAGTTCGAATAACTGCTGACCCAGGTCCCCATGTATTAATCGCAAATTCGTGGATTCAGCTTTCTCATCTTGGAAATTATTCAATTTACATCTGTGGGCTTCAAGTAATGATTGACTTCCAAATAGCATTTTGCAATAATTGCATTCAAAGTTGTTGTCAGCTCCAAAATGTTTTCTCTCGTGCTGTCGTAGGAGAACAACAAAAGGAAAAGTATCTCCACATATTTTGCAATAATGTCGTCTCCTCATCAATTTCCTGACTCCAGTGTCTCTCTCCTCTCCGACAAGACCATTCAATTTCCTCTCATGAATGCGTTTGTGTCTCACCACTGAACTGATTTGAGTGAATCTTTTTCCACATACTGAGCAGGGGTAAGGCTTCATCCCAGCATGGATTCGAGAATGTCGAATTAAATTGGAGACGTGATTGAATTTACGGCCACAAATATTGCAAACAGATTGATTCGTCCCAAGATGTATATTCAGATGAGTATTTAAATCGGTTTTCCTGAAGAAACGTTTCCCACATATTTGACACGTCTGAGTTCTCTCTCCAAGGTGAACACTCCGCTGGTGGTAATCCAGCTGAGAGGCTCGGTCGAACCTGAGATCACACTCTGGACACACATGGGGTCTCTCCACCTGCTCCTCAACGCTTTCATGACTCAATTCCTCTGAAATTGAGGAATTTCCCTGAACTTCATCTAAACTCGATAATCCACCACCTAGTTCACTCTTCTCACATTCGACGCTCAACATGTCACTGTTAATTATTATTCCCAACAAATCACAGGTATCACTAACGACTGTCAAACAATTCCATATTAATCAGCTGACAGTCCCTCAGAAAAAACAGTCATGTGGTCGCAGTATAAATGGAGTCACCCCAACACAACGAATATTTCGTTCAATTCACGATAATCAACATGTGGGTGGAGGGTAAATACTCGTAAATACCTGAAACTGCAGTCGAAACACTCAAGGTTACATTTGTAGTACAGGTCAGGTGAGGGCGCCAGCGTGAGTGCCCTTCATGTGACATTGCTGAAGCATAATTTTGTGTAAAACTGTTGGCTGAGGAGATCAAAGCTGCTGTCGATTGTCAACGGTTGTCACATACCCATCTCACGTTTGTTCATTGCTCCAGTGCATTATCTCTTCGAGAGAATCAATTCGTCATCAGTTTCTTGGAAAAGAGGAAACATGGTATTGAATAAACTCAGCATCGACAAGGTGGACGTCACCGGCAAGAGGATCTTGATGAGGTAGACTATTGATTAATTCCACGAATTACTGTCAAAAAATTGCAGATGCATCTGTAAATTATTTCTATCCACATATATCTACTCTTTCCACACGACTTCGCTCGTGAATACAGGATGACACATTCCAGGGAATCGGAACGATTTGCTATTATTATTTCAGAGATTGTGAGAAACGATTTAAGTTGAGAGTTTTGATTGATATTTGAGTAGAATTGAATAGAATGATCAATTAATAATATGGGGTATTTTATTCTATGGGGTTCTTCGTCTTTTCAGACTTGACTTCAATGTGCCTATGAAGGATGGAAAGATAACCAACAATCAACGAATTGTGGCTTCTCTGGATACGATTAAATATGCATTGGAGAAGAAAGCAAAGGCGATTATTATTATGTCACACTTGGGTCGCCCGGATGGTCAGAGGAACTTGAAGTACACGATGAAACCAGCAGCTGACGAGTTGAAGAATCTTCTCAAGCAGGAAATTGTTTTTCTGGATGACTGTGTGGGCTCTGCTGTCGAGGCTGCTTGTGCTGATCCAGCACCGGGGTCTATTATTTTATTGGAAAACATGAGGTTCCACGTGGAGGAGGAAGGCAAGGGTGTGGGACCCGATGGCAGCAAGGTGACGATAAAAAAATAGTCATTATCATTTTCATGTTATTATTGTAAGTGTCTCTGATACCAGGTTAAAGCTGATAAAGGTAAAGTCACAGAGTTTCGTGCTGCCCTGAGGAAACTCGGAGATATCTACGTGAATGATGCCTTCGGAACTGCCCATCGTGCCCACAGCTCGATGATGGGTGATGGTTTCGACGTCAGAGCCAGTGGATTTCTCATGAAGAAGGAACTCGATTACTTCGCCAAAGCTCTTGACAATCCTGAGAAACCTTTCCTCGCGATTCTCGGTGGTGCAAAAGTCGCTGACAAGATTCAGTTGATCAATAATTTGTTGGATAAGGTTAATGAGATGATCATTGGGGGAGGCATGGCATATACTTTCCTGAAAGTCACTAAAGGGATGAAGATTGGTAACTCCCTATTCGACGAGGAAGGCTCAAAAATCGTTAATGATCTCTTGGAAAAAGCGAAAAAAAATAATGTTCAGATTCATTTGCCTGTGGACTTCGTGACGGCTGATAAATTCGCTGAGGATGCTGCTGTTGGGGCTGCTGACATCGAGTCTGGAATACCTGATGGATGGATGGGTCTCGATGTTGGACCCAAATCCAGGGAAATTTTTGCTGAACCTATCAAACGAGCTAAGATCATCGTGTGGAACGGTCCGGCTGGAGTCTTCGAGTTCGAAAATTTCAGTAAAGGGACCAAAGCCCTAATGGACAATGTCGTGGAAGCAACGACTCGTGGAGCTGTCACAATAATTGGTGGTGGTGACACAGCCACTTGTGCTGCAAAGTGGAAGACTGAGTCCAAAGTCAGTCACGTAAGCACTGGAGGAGGTGCCAGTTTAGAATTGTTGGAAGGAAAAGTATTGCCCGGTGTTGATGCCCTTTCCCCATTATCGTAAGGAGATTGCTGTCAAATTAATGATCAATATCATAAAGTTGCTCGCAAGGTATTCCTCAAATTTATTGAGGAGATAAACCATGAAGTGTTGATCACATTCATCAGTACGTGAATCCAGAGTAAATACAATTATCGAATGAATCTACAAGATTATATAGAATTGGAGGTTCAAATAAATTTGCTAGTCAGCAAATCACAAATTCATAGGCAATTGTTGATTAATACGAAAAAAAAGTATAAACAATAAATAACGTCAGAATATTATCAGGAAATTGGCATGTGTTTTAATGCGTGATGAGTTCTTGAATGCACTTCATTACAACTCTCCTGTGAATGTAGAAAAATAACTGGCGATAAATGAAGGTTCCTAAGACAGTCTAAAACTATCGAATGCGATCACATTGCTATGTACAATTTGATGCCTCTCAACATTAACTGTCGATTTGTCATTATTTAAATTTATTACATTATACTACAGTTCTGGGGATCGACACCCGGTGGAAGGCCCTGTCCCATCATTGGATTCCCATCGTTATCGAATTGGAATAAATTCGGTTGTTCGCCGACTAGATCCTCAGGGGGGTGGCCAGAATTTTGCATTTCTTGCATGAGAGCCAGGATTTTGTCCAATCGCTGCTGTTTCGTGGATTGCGAGTCGTCCTCCTTTTCTTCCTCGAATTCTGTACAGACCTGGGGAGCATTGCCATGGAAAACAATTATTCTGCCTTTTTTAATTTCAAATCAACATGGTAAATGTGGAATAATTACTTTCTGCATTAATTGAAATTGTTTCGTAAACCTCGCAAGTTCCTCTGACGATAGACTCTCTCTTTTTTTATCCAACCACGCTGGGTATTTACCCGCTAATTCCTTGAGCGCTGGGTAGAGAACTTCTTTCGATAAAAGTGACTCTACCATGCTCCGCATGAATGGCAGAATATCGCCTCCAGATTCGTCGAGTGAAGTCTGACCGAACATCGCTGCTAGATCTGCCTCGGTAATCCCTGGTCCAGCATTCTAAATAATGTAGGGTAATGTAGCATTGGCAAACTGACAAAAACATCCAACAATTTTAGAGAATAAAATTGATTATTCTTAATATTAAATAGATTCTGATAACTCGGAAGAATCATTCAGTCGAAATTCATCGGTTTTCAAAGAGATTTTAAATGGTGAAAATATCTATACCTGCAACGTTTCCGATGTCGCTGAAATATCTTTAAGAGCCTGTGCAATAGCCGACTGAAATTCATTTCCTTCAGCATCAGCAGGAGCATTACTGGATATTGCATTAGCCACTGTTTGTGCCATTTGTTGCAATGATCCACTAAAGTCCGAAGCACCACCTGTAAAAAGAACAATAAAAAAAATAATTTCATATGCGAATTACTCGCAAAGAAATTCAAACCCACCCTTTTCTATTAAACTCTGTAAATTTTTTTCAAACTGATCAGCTGTCTGTTTTATAAAATCCTGTGACCAGGTCTCATCCACGAGGTTCTCCAGAGACTCATCATCAGCTGGTGCCTTAGTACTCGCTGGAATATCATCTTTTTTTGTCACTGGCTGCGGCAATTTGTTGAAGTCCTCAAGAGCACCTGGAATCAAGTAAAAAAATCCGACATAATTATCTACTGGTTCACTACATTAATTATTCAAAACGTTAGAAAAGATCTCAATATCATGCATCTTTTGCTTTTGAGTAAAAATAGGTCGGAGTTAAAATAGAGGAAATACAATTTGTTTTTAATAAATTATGAATACTTCGAGACTCAAGAATATTAATCCTCCAAAATATCACGTGATTGCATATTCACTTAAAAAATGAATTAACATATTTCATAATGGACTTTATACTGCAAGTGAATAGTGAGATAATGGGGACAGTTTTCTATAATTTACGTTGTGAACGATAATAGTAATTGGTGTTGATGGGGCTGAATGACAATTTTGTCTAATTAAAGTACTCACTGTTTAATAACTCATCCAACTCTGCGTCATTTGCCTGATCACCTGATTTCTTCTCCTCAGACATTTTTCACTTTCTTACAACGAATCTCTTTCGAGTGCAAATAAAACAAGACGTCAGTTGTCTTCAGCCCGATATTATGCAGGCAGAGGAAGAGGATACCATTGGTTGTTTAAAAGCTTCTGGGAATGACCTGTAGGTGCGACAGAATCTAAGAATTCAAATAGTGTAAATTGTTCGACTAGGATCAGTGAATTTAAACTACTCCCAGTTATCGATGAATTTCTCCTGAATGCGAAAATATAGCGCAATTTTCATATAAATCTTTTCTTTAGACAATATATCGTTCTACAAAAAAGGTTATTACAAAAATTTCTCCACCTCTCTTCCTTTCCAAGATATCCGACGATAACTGGGAACTCGTTGAGTTGAAAAAAATTTGGAAATCCAATTAACGATTTCTCTCATTAATCGTCGATTTCCTCATCATTCGAGTGGTCTGCCAGAATGTTTGACGTAATTTTCTATCGAGGCTGCTATTTTAATTCCCGACGTATAGACACTGGACGACATTCGATCCTCACTCTGGCCAAAAATTCATAATCACCCAGACAGAAGCTGTCCATCAACAATCGAATTATCCAACACATTGTTCATCATTTCGTTTTTATTCATCATCAATAAGTCCTCAACAATTATACAAAGGTAAAAAATTAAATATCAGAAATATATAATCGATTACGACGATCGGATCGTCAGAGCGATTTGAGATCCCTTCATTATAACAGTTTTTACCAATCATCCATCAACACTGTAAATTATTCTGAGAGGAAAAAAAATTCAATTTAAAATTTTCATAACATCCCCTGAATCCGGAGTTGCTTCTCAAAATCAATTGAATTTCTCTCCGCCTCACAACATTAACTAATACCCAAAGAAAAAAACAATGTCTAAAAATATGAATCTTGCATCGTTATCACAATCTATGGAGAAGTAAAACCGTTTCGCCTACAACAATAAATCATACCAAACATCATTTAATGCTAGTAAAAATCATAAAGAAGATAGCGATGTAACGAGAGAGGCAGCTGAAGAGTCCTGACGACTTTAGGTAATTTGGTTCCACAAATTTTCCGGACAATCAGCCGACACTGATGGGTGAGAGGTAGAGGAGTCCTGGCTGCCTCCATGACGAGAGCTCTCTGGGCGTCGGTTAAACTGCTGGAGCGTCTGATCATGCAGGGATCGAAGCTCTCAGCGGCTTCAAGAAGAGCCCTCAGCAGTCGAGGTTTGTCCGCAGTATTCTGGAGGGAATTCAATATCCCATGGGGATCCCGGAATTGTGTCTTGATGACAACACGCGCTCCATACTTGAGGAGAAGGCTCACTACCTCCACCGAGGGATTCTCGTTGGATGCCACGTACTCCGCGAGGACAGGACGCAGTGCTGGGCCCTCATCACTCCTGATAACCAGATTTGGATCTGCTCCTCGCTCCAGCAGCATCATCAGCACCTCCAGACGATTCGGGATGTTGTCTGCACATGCCACATGCAGAGGAGAACCTATTATGGGAGATGAGGCATTCACATCCGCACCTGCCGAAAAAAAATAATCTTTGTTTTATTAATTATTCAATAATTATTCATATTGAATATTAATATCGAATAGCCATGACCTGCAGCTAGTGCCAATGGGCTCGTTAATGTTTTGTCAATAAACAGAGGCTTTTTGCGGGATAATAAACTTTGGAGACGGCCGATGGAAATAGAATTATGATTGGAAAATTCGGGTGCTATTTTTGTAACGGCATTCGAGAGAAAAACAGATTGTGAATGGAGATGAGGAGAATACGAGTTTAATTAAATCGTTGGGTATTTTTATTTGTCCCGTGACGAATGATCACGATGAATGATCGTTTACCTGCTTGAAGGAGCATTTCTACGATTACAGGATCTCCTTTGAGAATAGCAAGGTCCAGGGCCGTTGGTTTTTGATAATCAGGTCCCAGATCTAATCTCGCGCCTTGTTTCAATAGCAGATTAATGACAGTGATATCACCACCAAGAATGGCATAATGAAGAACAGTCCTGTAGTCGTGTCTGGCATCAGCCATTGCATTGACATCCGCACCGTAGCTCAGCAGGAGTAGAACCGATGCGATACCCTGGGAAAATACCAATTATCGTAATGGTCAGATGAATTTGTCTTTGGGATTAATAATAAGCCAAGGCTCACTTGCGGTAATCTTGCGGCCTTCATCAGTGGTGTGAGACCAGCACGATCTCTCGTATTCGGCTGTGCTCCAAATGCCAGCAACAACTCCATGCAGTCCAGATCCAGTGGAGATACTAAATTTATTTCCGAACCGAAGAAATAACGCTTGTTTGGATTTGCGCCAGCTTCCAGGAGTGTTCGGGCCACTTCTATGTGACGATTTCGCAGGGCAAGGCGAAGAGGCTCATCACACAGCATTGTTCTTCATTAAAAATCATTAGACAATCAGATAAAGTGTTATTTCGTCAATGATTAATGAGGGGAGAGCTGGGATACCTTGGAAAAAGTTCTCCGGTGTCTTCTCGGTGATCCACCTTGGCTCCAGCCTTGATCAGGAGCTTGACGAGATCCAGGTAGCCGTGCTCAGCAGCGAGATGCAGTGCAGAGTATCCGCATTCGTCCGTTGCATCGATATCAGCACCACGTACGATAAGCAGCTGTGCTGCATCAGCATATTTCTGCCAAATAGCATAGTGAAGTGGCCTCAATCCCTGGGTGACTGCATCGTTTGGTTTAGCACCACAAGCAAGGAGAATTCTTATCTCGTCCAGTGATTGCATGCGAATTATTGAGTCTGCAAGCTCCCGCTGCAACGGGTTTGCAATGCACTCGGTCGGCATCTGTCAGCATCAATATGTCGAAATGATTTTTTCATTGGGACTTAGTGGTTTGAAAAAACAATGCAACTCAGCAGCGGTGATGAACTGGACTCGAAAAATCCATCACCATTTTTTTAATGATTCATTTATTATTATGGATCAAGATATATGCAAGAGATCTAATGAATTATTCTTTGAAATCGAGAATTGGGAATTGAATCTCTGAGATTATTGTAATTTTTGCAGAAAGGTTTTATTATATTTTCATCAGCCAAATTATGAGAGAAATATTGAAAGATTTTTTGGTTTAAAATTAGGAAATTGCTTTGAGGTAAAGTGGAAGATAAAATTGTTGACTGGAAAAAATCGTAGAAGGAACTTTTTCGAGTGCATTCTTCGCGGTATTCCTGCAGATGAAGACATAAAATCGAATGAACGTGATTGATCCACGAGACCTTTTATTGGTGTTTTATCGATGAGCATGACGATAATGACAATTTTCATAAATTCACACTTGCCAGAAGAATTGAAATGAGGGATCGTGAGTGCCGAGAGCTCCACAAACTCATGATAACACGAAAAACTTCAGGTATTTATTTATTTATCGTTGATATCTTTCGGATAATTCTGCTGAATGCGTTTCAGCAACTTCAATTCTGTTTCTAATTGCCAGGCCCACGCTGACGTCCTATTTATTCGGCTCAGTCAAAGGGTAAAGCTATTTCTAATCATCTCTCATTTATTCAACCATCAAAAACTCTATCGCAATATGTATTAAATAATCGGATGAAATAATTCAGATTATCACATGATCAACGATTAAATTAATCATTTCTAGATGATCAACACGTTTCATGCATTTTTATTCACTCAGTAATCGAATACGCACTTCATTTGAACGGAATAACGTTAATCGAGCGTAAGAAACCTGCAATAAAATGAAATAAATGGCAATTGAATATTGAAAAATGAAAAATCAATCGAGAGTTCGTGCATTAAAAAATAATTGTGATATCCTCTGAATTCAATCGGCACTGAAATTATTTCTCTTTAACTTCGATAAATAAAAAAATTGAATATTTATCGAAAATTCCCAATGAACATAAAAACCAAAACTGCGTCATCGTTATAACTGCAAGTCTCGTAAACTAGTCCAGAATAATCCCAATGAGAATTATAAATTTTTGGAACTTATGCCAAATGCTTAGTACGCAGTATTTCCACCGCGTTAAACTTTTTCACTAAAATAAATATTCATCATTTCCCAAAACAAAACAAAACTCCCTCCCCAGAGTATCCCCACCACAATCGACCGATCTCCACTGTCCTAAATCAGTAATTACGAATTACCAACCGATTAATTCAATGAGAAAACGAATGGAAACCAATTTTCGAAAATCGGTTTAATTAATTTTAATTTGCAACCACATGTCCTTTAATCTTGTTGAAAAGAATCATGAGCCACTGCCAAAACTCAAAAATACGTTGCACTCACTATTTAAAAATAAATTTAAACATGCGATACACATGATGAGGACAATCACAATTTCTTCACATTGAGGAGGAATCGGTGTAATTTATGGTGAATAATCGTAGTTATTCAGCTTACGCGATTTTTTCAATTGTAAATATCGCGTCGGGATCAATCGATGACGATGGGCTATCGATTTCTTTGTACCTCCGGATCTGATCTGCCTGCATCAATCATATGCATCAATCATATGCATCAATCATAACTGTTTACTTACTTCGAATACGGTACGATGCTCCAGCATGTAGAAATCGTGTTATGAACTGACTACTTCGACGGAAACACGCTCCTATTTAAAGCCATAGAACCTCTCTATACCGCCAAAAATAACACAAAGAGAAGATGATGATGTCGAAGGAGCTTGCGCATCAAATTCACAGCTTCACGTGCGTTTTTTTTCGTCGGTATCACATGTAGTGTTGCAATTTTTCGGTTTATTCGCATGTGGAAATCCTCGGGGGGCTCATAAAGCTGATGATGATGATGATGACGATTATTTGGGAATTTTACTCGGGGGTGTCTTATATAGAGAAAAAAAATCAGAACGAAGACGCGCGCAAACTGGCTTTCACGAATTTCGGGAAATCCCCTCAACTTTTTATTTTCTCGAAAACTAGAATATTTGAATGGGATTAAATAAAATATATTGATTAAATTGAATTTTCCTCTCCGAAAATTATAATTTTCACGTCATGACAACGAAATTAATAAATACTACGAATTCTTTCGCGTGCGGTTACAATTGATTAATTCAATTGATCGAACGCGCAATTATTCAATAATTACCATCTTTTTAGTATTTAATTTCCTCTGCAATTCGTGCAATTATCAATAAAAGTTGACGTTGGATTTTTCTCTGAACGAGAATGTTCGAAATAAAGAGCCGAACTATTCCATTCCGGGAATTCAATTGGTACCAAGCACAAAGCTCAAGCTCGTGCCAAAAAATGATGGCAAATCCAAGGTGAGGGAAATCCCCCGAGTGTCTAGGAGTCCACGTGTCTGGAGCATCAGCATTTCTGTGACTTCTGGTTTGTTCTTCCTCGTCAGGCATTAACGGGTGGAATTCTCTCGTTGATTTTTCACCTTTTTCTCTCCCTCGACTCTCTGTGCCAAAGGCGATCGTTTTGTTTTGGGACAAAGTGGTAAATTAAAATATGAATACAACACCGTCGAGATTTCGGGGCAATGAACTGTGAATTTTCGTTTTGGATTGTGAGCTTTTGGTGACAGTGAGAAAGGTCCGGAGAATATTTTAGCCATGGTCATGGATATTATTGTACCATCAGGCGGTTTTACATTTTTATCCTCAAATTATACATTTCTTATATCTTTTGATTCATTTCTTACTTCGATACTTTTTTTTTGTTCACTAAAAAAATTGATTAAAATTAATTAATTATAGTCTTATCTATTGGATAAATATGCCAGCATTTTTTATTGATCAATGGAGGTTTTTTGGTAGTGGGGGATTGCGAAGGGAGACCAATTGATTTCGTATCGATTATTTCGATAGTAGATCGAGAATTTTCTGGCTTTTTCTCTCGATCTCTCGATGTTCCTATTCTCGAAATTCTTGCCGAATAATCATTACGATATTTTCAAATAGTTCTCGCTTCATTATTCTCACTACAAAATTAATCTGGCACGTTTACGTTAGGCCAAGAAGTGACAACATTCACTTGAGGACGAGCGTATACGTCAAGTAGATCAATCCACTTCTCAAGTTGGCTTAATTCATTAAAATTATAATTATACTGTAATTTCTTATTTTTTTTTTATCATTCCGGCGGTCCTGGATGTCCACTTTGAGGCAGAACTGGATGATGAATCCTGCACTCGCTGGCGATGATCTCCTCGAGTCACTTCCAACACCGCAATTTTGCTCTTATCAATGCTTTTCTTTTGCTTTTTTTCTCTTATTTTGTTTGACTTTGTTTATTAAGATTTTGGGGGTTTTGTCAATTGTTGAATCTTGTTGCGACGTTAGGAACATTTTCATTATTCCCACCACCTTTAGGACCGTCGGCCTGTGGAGAATAAATGCGCACCAAATGTTAAACCAAATTGAGTATTTCAGTGAGGAAGTGGTAAAAAAATAAAAGGCGAGTTTTATCTTTTCATTTTGTAAATATCGGAGGGGATCGAACAATCTGTTTATTTATAAAATTGAATAAATTTCGGACATTTTATCGGGAATTTTTCTCGTCAAATCATTCGTTGTTGGTGGAATGGGATAATTTTATTTTGTTTAAGATCGATTAATCGGGAAAACTATGGATTTTATGAGGAAACGTGAAGAGAGCTTTTCTCTCGGAAATTTGATTCGCTATAAAAAAGGTACCGATGTTTTTTTTCTTGAGTGGAGGGTTTCTAAGATAAATCGCGGATTAATGACACGTTTTAATTCAACTTGGGTTGATTTGGAGTAGCGATAATTGGAATGAAGATATTTGCAAAATGATGGGATTCGTCTTCTTGTACCACATTCCAAATTGCCAGCATTTATTCGACGATATTTTTAAAGTATAATAATAATTAAAAACGTGCCTCGTGCTTGTGTTTCTCCTGCGTAGTATGAAATGTTTGTGTTGTCATTTGTGATGTTCAAGTCCGAGCAATCACCCATCCAGTCACACAATTTTGGTGCCAAATCAAAAGAAATACAATAAAAAAAAAAAGAAGTAACGGAAATAATAATAAAAACGAAAAATTTTGGTCGATTTTAGAATTAATTTTTATTAAGAAATACTCTGCACTTATTCAAATGCCTTATGAATCATAATTTTTTTGTCTTTTGTTGGTTTTTTTCTTCATCTTTATGGTAATTATTGTTTATAGCGCTGTCCTATTCACTAATTAGAAGCATGCTTCACTAACACATCTTACATCATCTTAAAATTAAAAGTAATATATCCTTAAAACACGATTTATGTTCCTCAATTAAATGTTTATTTGAATTTCATTAATTTCGTTTGTTAACGTCTGTCCTCCAATTATTATTAATCGAACGAAAATACTTGGGTTGTCGCGAGATTAACGATTTCGTGTTCATCAATTGTCTGATTAATACGACAATTAAACTGGAAGATTAATGAAGATTATTATCTCGCGAATTAAAGACATTTTCTTTTTGGATTATGTGATCTTAATTGAACAGATTATTTTGAAAATATCTCCAGATATTTCATCCCAGAGTGGACAATTACCGAGATATTCCCAAAATATACCGTACGAAATTCACTTATCTCTATTAGACTGAATATTCATCAATTTTTTCTCATTTATGTAACTGTACATTTTAGAAAAAATTCAACTGTCAGGCTTTTCGAAGACTTTCACTACAGAAACCATCTGTATTTAATAACTATTTTTTTCAACTCTCTATAAAATTCACTGACACAGTAATTGAGTAATCGATCAATTGAGTTATCTTTTCTCTTCAACGAAAAAAAAAAGTCTAGTATTTTGGGAAAGATGTGGAAACCATTTTAATAGATTTCGCGAGTGTTCTCCTTTATGTGTGAGGATTTAACATGTGCAACTTTCATCGTTCGATATTATATAGTTCTTGTTCTTTGTTTAGTGTGAAGAGTGTCCCCTCTTCATTCGAGGGAACAAAAAGCCTCGTAAGAAATAATACAAATAAAAAAAAAAGTATATGTGTAAAAAAAAAATTGGAGAAAACAGTACATATTCAGACGATTCCGACGAAACGACGGGAATTCCACGAGTAAGAGTAATTTAAATCATTTTCGTTGAGTCATATAAATAAACCACAATGTATGGGTTGTTTTTTTAAGACGCTGGAGAGCCTGTGGATTTTATTTCGGGGGGAAATTAATTTTGTGCTCGAGTGAAATAAGTGAAATCATTCTAGAATTCTGATTAATAAAAAAAAATGCACTCCAATCAACCACAAAACCCCCAAATTATATTTTACAAATTCAACTTCAAATTCACTGGTTAACGAATGAAGCAGCAAAATACCATGAGAAATCGTCCATTCACCTCGTCATCTCGTAAAGTTAACATTTCACCAAGAAATATCGAATTTACACAACTCTCATTCTCTCTCTTCAAATTTTCCAATGAAATTCTACCCCTTCATTCCAGAATAATATTCTCCAATACCGCAAAACCACATCTCCAGCGTGAAAATTCTATCTACAAAATACGACGATGAGTATCAGTCATCGAAAGATCATCCGACGAGTTTCAAGAAAATTAAATACGATCTGCCTCACTCGTCTAAACTACCCAAAAATCGAGAGAATAAAGAGGTAAATGGGTTGAAAAAAATGGTTGAATGACGACGAGACCCCAAACTCCTCACTCCCCAAAAAAGTAATTTATCTCTCGCCGCCTGAAGAAGTAGTTCGCTAAAAAAAAAGTTAATGATAAAAATACTAGACTGAGTAAAGGCCATCGAGATAAATCCGTAGAAAATTATTCTGCATTGGTTTTTATCATTCGTTTCATTAATTGAAAATACTGGTAAAAGATCTATAGATCAGTTTGTGAAATCCTCAAATCATTAATGATCATCGGTTGATTGGTATTTTATGTACGAATAATCGTAATGACATTCGAAAGAAAAACAAAAACATCTAGAGGTATTCGTGCTGTCTGTTAATTTCCTTAATTTTCCATAACTTTTTTAATTTAAATAACTATTTTGTTCTCGATTATTGCATTGCATGAAAAAATATGGCCTCTGAAATTCTATGTAACAAAGTGTGACACCGCACGAATTGTCTTCTCACTCCATTATCATTTCGTTCATAACTACTTCTATTGGCTTTCCTTCTCATCCAATTTGTACACTAAACATGTAAAAGCATTTTACTCTAGGTCATGATTATTTTCCGAGTATTCGCGATGTACTCAAGTGTGTGAACTCTAATATATTCTTTGACTTTCCGAAATTGTTCACCTTTTAATAACGAGGGCCCAGTAATTGTCGTGTCAGTGATGCAACAATGAAATGATAATAATCTCATTTCATCATTTACCCTGAATTCAAACGAATCGCATAGACTACTAATTACTCAAGTAATGGGCGTAAACAATTATGAGTAACTCTACTAGTACTCCAAATGAGAGGTAAGAAGTCGGAAGAACTAATGCTAATCACTTTGTGAAACCATCGATGAGCGCCCCTTTTTTAATTAAATAAATAATTAAAGAATCATCGACAGTGGAGTCAATTTGGGGAGCACTCTGTGGTCCCATCAGAATAATCATGCTTGGTCCGAGATTATTCCCAAGTCCCAGTCCCACTCGACTACAAAATAATCTCAGTAAACGCGTTTGTTAACTTAAATGAAGAAAAATGTGAAAAAAAAATCATAGTAACAATCGCACACGGACCCTCTAAAATTAATAATAGTAATGAAAATGAAAAAAATCCGTTACACACACACACCGCGTCGATTAAACCGGATTATGCGTTCAAACAAGTGTTTTCTTTCTATACAATATTTCGTATTACGTTGCTAATTATTATTAATTTTATATCAATTGTTTTCCTGTTTAAATTTTCGGGATGGAAGTGTTTCAGACGTTGTCTGACGTTTTGTTTTTTATCGTAAGCCTTTGAGATTTTTGGTGATAAACCTGGACTCGAGTCGAGTAATGAACAATTCGAGCATTAAGTTCAAAGTTTTCCGGTCTTGTTAATTAATCATTAAGTTAGGTGATTAATGGCTTAATTAATTTCTCGTTCAGCGATTTTTTTCCCTTCGTTTTCCTCTTTGTATTTTTTCTTTTACTTTTTGTTATTGGGGGTGACAAACTCTGGTTGAGCTTGTCTATGGATTTTTTTTTCATCAGCTGGTAATATTTGGGGGGAAAGTTGACTACTGTAGACTCGAGTTCAGGCTCTCTGGCAAACGATAATTCATCATGTGAAACGGTGGACTCGCTGGACTACCCGGCTGACTGTTGGACGCACCTACGTTACTCGAGCCACGACCACGTTTTCGCCTCTGTAAGATACCCTTTCTGACCATGTAGAAGCGTATGGTACTGATCGGAATGTTGTATTTTTCGGAAGCAACTTGAAACGTCATTCCACGAGCCACCATATCAGATGCCTGCTTTAGTTCGGCCTCCGAGCGACGCTGTCGTCTTTGATATCCTGCAATTATTATAAATTAAAATTCACCAAATCATCTGGAATCGATTAATCCTCAGATAATTATTATAACCTGCATAATTCTGGAGATAATAAAAATCTGAGACTAAATAACACTCTTAACAATTTTCAATTACTGAATTTAATTCAATTTTAGACTGAGCAAAATAATACACGTTCGAATTGTTTCCCAAAATGTTCTTTCCTGGAATTTCGAGGGATTTACCTTCGATAGCTGGAAAGGGGCTGCTCGGAGTGCTGCAATTCGAATTGCTCGTTGGTACCATACTAATCGAATAAGGCTTGTCCTGCTGCGTGAATTGTTCATCGGGTTCCATCTTGACCATTCCAGGTGTTTCCGTGAGTGTTGCCTCGCATGAGCTCAACGCCTTTTCGAGGTGCTGTAGTGCCTCGGTGTGCTCAATATTCATGAATGTCGAGCTGTTTGGGGTTGACGAGTTGTTCTGATTGCCTGTTGCTGATGCGTTGTTTATCGTGGCTGGTGTTACAGTGGCGGGAGTGTCGAGGAAGGAATCGGTGGAGTTTATGGCCGGGTTATCGTCATTTTTGTTGTAGTTTGGCTGAGTCTGCTTTGAGGGGGATGATGGGGTTGATGGGGTGCTGGAGGAGCTCTGGGCTGTTGGACTCTCTCCTTGGGCAGCCTCTCGTCCTTGTGATGACAAGCCACGAACCTGAACAATTAACAATTTTTTATTTATAAACATTCGTAAGAAATTTCTCTCTTTTCGTTCATCTTATTCATTTTATTATGAATATGTGGAGCAAAAATACGGGTCAAGGAATTTTCAGTGAAGTTATATCAAATTCATAAAAATCACGATTTAATTAATTCATATTTTGGTGAATCGCGAGAGAATGAGATTTAAATGGTTTTTCATATTATTCAAATTTCGGAGGTCAACAATCACTGCAGGTAAGTCAGGGCTCTATAATTCCGCCATTATCTCTTGTAAATTTTAGTTAATGTCAGTCACGAAATTTCACTCCAGGTCATATAACCCGCCATCATTTTCGTTCGTAAAACCATTATTGAGAAAAGGGAAAACAAAAGTTCATCTCAAGTAACGACTTTTGAGTTATAAAATTACGAAATTATAACAGCACTGAAAACGGCGCCATGGGTGCCCGCCCATTGGCCACCAGAGCACGTGGCGTTTAATAGCAATAATTGTTGTTAAAATTGTTAACAAAAATATCCTTTTCTGAAAAATGATAAAGAGTACTCTCAAAATTTCTACATTTTCGAACGATTTGTGACGAAATAGCAATTGACATAATCCGTTATTAATTAGATAATAAAGTCTAAATTTTAATGCGCAGTTGACCATGAAGACACGTGGGAATATTTAGGCTGGAGAAACTCAAATCAATAATCGATGATTTTTATCATCATCGCAAGGCAAATATTGATACTAGGGAGACAACGATTTTTATTGTTTCTGTTTTATTCGATGGCGTTATAACGCGCGTATTTGACGCCATTTTGTTAAGGGCAGACCCTCCTGAGATTGAAATATTGTAATTTTGGGATGAAAAATTGAAAAATGAAATTCGGCAAAGGGAGAAGATGTAAAAAATCCGAGAGAGACTGGGTACGAGATTTAATAATAATTGAAATAACCTGAAGGGCTTCAGCAGCTTGCATGAGCCTAGTGAGCTGCTGCTCCTCAACGTAGACCTCACCCCGGTACATGAATTCGACGAGAGCCTGCAATTCCCACATACGCATATCCCTGAGGAATATAATTGGATGGGTGCAGGGTATTTCCAGGAGAAGTCTCTCCAGGTAATCACTGCAGGCCGAGAGTACGACCTTGTGGCACTTTATCGAGCCACCATCGCAGGCAAGTGTCACATCGACGAATTGCTCTGAACTGAGTAACTTTGGAAATGCACTGTGCATATTCGACTGGTGAGAATTCCAGGATACGCAGAATTGCTGACGATTGCCACCCGGGTAATTGCCCGGTGCTGGCAAATTGCTACCTGTCTCCATGGTACTTTCAGCCGAGTCAGGATCCTCAAGGTAATCTACAATATCAATCATCGAATTAAAACAATTAAAAGAGTGAGACTGGCTTTCTTTCGATTCACAGGAACCTATTTTGACAGAGTAAACTCTATTTAATCGATGCCTCAAAATTACCATTTCACTAATTACCGATTTATCTCGAAAACTATCCATTTGTGGGAAAAACGTAAGAGGATTTTTTTGTAGCTGATTAATTACCAGCGAAAAAAGCTCTTTTCACATTTTTTTCTGTAATCGATAATTTGGTTGATAAATCGAGAAAAATTCGGGGGTGATTTTAGTGCTTCACTGACGAATTAGATCGTCCTCCTTAAAGTTTCAGGGTAAATTACTCGATTTGTTAAACTCTTTAGAATGTTGTGATAGTTTCAGTGATAATTTCAATAGCCCAAGCACTTTATTGATTAATTAAAAAAAAATCTTAATTACCCATCAATAAACAAAAAACTCCAGAACTCAATCACACTCCTCGATATTCCTGGTCACTCTTAATCCCAAACTGTTGAACAAAATAGAAAAACATAATTTAAATAAATCAATGAAGCATATAAAAAATTCAAGACAAGGGGTCTCACGTGACCATAAATGTACAATTGAGCAATTAATAGATTAGATGAGCCAAATGAATTGATTTGCGCCATTTTAACACGACGCGATTGAACCAGTCCTGCTCCCTCCAAAACCAATACTTCACCACAAACATTAATTACAACATCAATTTAAACTCATCATTGCATCCGAAAAATTCAAAATCTCACTACCAAATCATTCAATTCCAGGAAAGCCCCTCAAATACTCATATTAAAATTCTTCTTAATTATCCCTTGAGAAATCAATAAAAATCTGTAAACACCCCCCAAAAACCCCCCAAAAAATAAACCCCAAAACACGAACCAAACAATTCACCCCAAACCCATCACAAAACCTCCAACATGGCTGTCCCCACGAGTCCCCAGAATTAACAATAAACCCACCACTCATCACAACCCTGAACTTGCCCTCCAAAGTCCTCCCTCCCATAGAAATCATCAAGCCCTAAAAAAAAAAAAATCCCCAACATGTGCCACCCTCAAAACCCCCCAAACAAACCGAAAACACCCTCCTCCCCCTCCTCCCACCCCACAACATGTGCTCCCACCCCTCCGCGGAAAAAAAAATCTCATAATTACCAATCAAGACAATTCTCTCCAGTGAAAAATATGAAAATAAATAAATAAATAAAACAACAGGGAAAAAACACCTCCTCACAGGTCGTCGCAATTTAAAGAAAAGAAAAATAAATAAAGGGAAAAACCGATGGTAAAAAACACCGCGAAATCCGGTACTTCAACGGAAAAAAATTAATTGAAAAAAATGTAAAGGCATCGGTGAATTTACAACATGGCTGTCACGGCATGAGAATCTTCCATTAACAATAAAATACACCCGAAAAGCGAACACGGGTTCACGCGAGGAGAGCGCCGTTTGGCTGAATTAGAATGTGTTGAGGGGCATCCATACCAAGCTCTCCTTATTTTACCCCCTCCCCATTACCCTCCCCTTCCATTACCCTCCCCCAACAAACCGAAAAAACAACACACTCATAACAGCGTCAAATGGCAAATTCTACGTGTTCAAATCACCGAAACTCATCCCAAAAAACCTAACGGCAGCTTCCAAGGAGGAAAGTAAAAAAAAAAGACTCCCACTATCGCTCGCATGAGCACCGGAATAAATTAAGAATCATTAAAAAAAAAATATGACGGGAATTCTGATGTACAGGCGGTCGGCGTCGGTAAACTATGAACAGCGATTTTTAAACAAAGAATGAGAGAATAAACTCGATGATTGGAGAAAGAGAGACATAATGCCAGAAAACAGAAGGGACACTCGGACCTTGAGAGCCCCACCGAAAAACGAAAGACGAAAGATGAATAAATAAAATTCATGGAGTATGAAGAAAACGGAGCCCCTCAGGACAAAGGGACAAACAATAATTTTTGATGAATAAATTGAGCGCTGAAGTTACGGGTATCGACGCCGTCATGGGGAATTGTAACGACCGATCGTGAATATTCATTATGAAATTTTAAACACTCGTTGGTTTAGTAATGGCAATTAATGGTAAAAATGCCAGACGTGTGGTGGACACGAAGGTGACAGAGACAGAGAGAAACCCACGCGTTCGAAAGCGCTACAACACTTTTCGAAAATCACGTGTCGGCACTGGCCAACACGGACGCTAACAGGTTAACCAAACAATCATCATTTTTTTCGGTTGTTCATGGAATCGATGAGAATTTCCGTGTGAAAAGAATTGATCAGATCGGTTGAAAAATCTCCATTCAAAGCGTGTTCGTTAAAGTTATTAATTTTTAGAGACGCCTGTCTGAGATCACCTCCCCTCCCTCATCGATGTGTGTGGGGGGCCCGCCTCTGAGAGCACAATTTTTATTATTATTTTTATTATTATTCACAGGGCGAGAGAAATGAGGGAATTTATTCACTTCCATTTTCCCTCGAACATACAATCACTGGTTATCACTTGTATTTTGTCGTTTATTTATGTTTTATGATATTAATACGTACTTTGTGGCACTCGGTGATTAACAATGTGTAACACTGCGGTGAAAATTGTTGTAAAATGGTACGCGTCGAATTTTAGTGGTTCGTCGTCGGTAAGAATCCCTTAAGAAAACATGCATCCGCCGAGATTTGCACTAGCTCTAGGGGAGCAGACTCGATTCGTCGATTTTTGGGGTGGGGGGTTGGTAATGGAGGGGAGGGAGAATTATGGGGGAAAAATGGGGGGTTGGAGCGAATGGGGGCACTCGTGGTGGTTTATTTATTTTGGGGGTTTTACCGATTCTTTTTCCCGGGATTTTTCCGATTTTATTTGTCTTTTTCTTCTCACTGTTATTTTGCCAATTTTTTTTTTTTAGGTTAGAGAGGTTAGATTGAGGAACACACGCGTTGGCCACCCTTCCAGTACGGAGGAACGTGGTGATTAATTATTTCGCTCGATATTATATTTATTATTGTTGTAATTATGTCGTAGTTGGGTTTGCTGTGCGCAGGAGACGTGCGCAGATGGGTTTTTCGGGGGTTCTGGGAAAATTGAGGAGTTTCGGGGGGCTCCGGGCGGTTTTGAGGGGTTTCGTAGATTTTTGGGGGGGAGAGGGGTGAATTTTTGGGGGGATGGAATTTTTGGGGTGATTTTGAAACGGGGGTGAACGGTTGTGGGAGGGGAATTGAATGTGGCGGGTTTACAATGTGTTTACTTCCGGTTTTTCGAAATTATCTTTTTCGCTTGGGAGAATTGGCGGCATTGCCGACGCCATGACAGCCCACGATATTTGAATTCAATTTTATTCGCGTACTTCTTTTTTATATTTAATAATAAATAAAAATTCAATTGAAATTGGATGAAGTAGGAATCACAAGTGCTGCGATCAACGATGCTATTGAAATTTGGCGCCACTGATCCGCTAGTAATTTCGGTGGATTATAGGAGTACCTAGGTATTTTTGGTGGGAGCCAATAGGAAGAGTCGGAGGTCGACGCCCATTGGTGGAGATGTAGTGTGAAAATCGATCCTCAGGTACAAAGAGGATTGACTAAAGTAGAGGCTCGTCAACTTGATGGACACCTCAGCATTGCGTGTTGCGCCCTCCATCTCTTGGGGTGCGGTACTACGATGCCGCTGGGGTCACTCAAACCCCCCGAACTGAACCTCTACTTTAGTCAATCCTCCTTGCTCAGGTATTTCATTGTCAATGTTTTTTCACCGCGTCGGAGAGATTTTTTATTGTTTATTGTAGATAAAATTAGAACATGGCCGGCTACGACACGCATAATGATGGGCCTGGATTTGTTGGGATCAGGTTTTGTCAGGAGTGCAATAATATGTTGTACCCGAAGGAAGATAAGGAGAATAAAGTGCTGATGTACGCAGTGAGTATTTTTTCAGTGATAATACAACCTATAAATTTTTTTGAATTTTGGGATTATTCTGGAGTTATGAATTGTTGAAACATGAATTAATATTTACTCTTACGAAGGAATCATGGATACACCAAAATGTAATCATTTTTTGGACATTTTTCAGTGCAGGAATTGTGATTACAAACAACTGGCTGACAGCAATTGCATTTATGTCAATAAGATTATGCACGAGATTGAGTAAGAATATTTTGAAGTATTTTCTGTTATTGTGCTTTATTCCTCTTACTCACATCATTGATTGTATTTATTTGTCATCAACTTCCAGTGAATTGACACATATTGTTGCCGATGTAATCTCTGACCCAACACTTCCAAGAACCGAGGAACATCCTTGCCCCAAGTGTAACCACCGAGAGGCTGTATTCTTCCAGGCCCAAACCCGAAGAGCCGAAGAGGAAATGAGACTTTATTACGTCTGCACCTCGGTCCACTGCTCTCATCGTTGGACTGAATAAACAATTCTTCACATTTGCCTCTTATTTAATAATTAATTAAGTGATTTCCATAAGTCTAAAGCTCTCCTGTAAATAGAAAAAAAAATAAATTGCACTTTATAATTTGATTGGACGTCAAACTAATTAATTATCCGATTGAGTAAGTGCCCTTTGTCATTGAAATGAAACGTAATATGCAATGATTTTTGAAATAAATATTAATCAATTTATAATTAAATTTTACTTTATTTATTATTGATTGAAGCAATTTCGTTACAAAAGTCAATCAAACAGGACGCACTCCCACAATCGTCGTATTCCTCTTTTTCAATTGAAAAAAAAATTATTCACCATTCCTCTACAACACCAAAGCCAAATGAGCGAGAAAAGAAATACTACGAATAGACCAGAGTACTCTTCCCTAGGTACATAGTATTCATTTTCCATACACACCCCTATACAAATATTACAACGAGCGATTGCAAAAGTCATTGCTTTATTATTCCTCTACGTAGATTTTATCATTCCTCTACTTAAACCTCAATTACCATTCCAGTGAAATTATTAAACGAGATAGATAAACGACGAAAATTAAAATGCGAAAAAATAATTGATAGAGCTGTATAAAAACTACATGTCCTTACATTCACGACTCACTCATATTTCGCTCTCGTATAATTTTCAATTCAATCAATTACCAATTATTTCCCCTTTCACTTTTTCAGTAATAGTAATATTCATGATAAAATGCTAATATATTTTTTTATTACACATATCGTTTTCCCAGGGACTGAACACTGGGAAAACATCATATATTTAATAATGTTCATATTATTATTTATCTAAAGTGTAACGCTAGGATCTTTTAATTTTTTTTTTTCAATTTTTTCTTCCTTTTTGTTCGTTTTTACTGTTTTTTTTTTTTAGATTCTAAGCCGCACCGAACGAGACACACTGACTTACCATTGTTCTCTCTACACCGTTGGACAGATTATGATCTTCAAACCAATCATTAATTAAGTCTCGGCTTACATCGTTCGTTATCGAAAAAATCTTTATCACTAGATAGAAAATCGTCTTTTTATCTCTCTTTTGGCATTTTTTCTTGTTTCTCTCAATCAACCTCTCTCTGCCCTCCGAATTACGAACACAAAGTAATGGTGTTTTATTTAATATTGGATTATTCAGAATAAAAAAAAAATGATTAGCAATTTGCGTACGAGATCCTATTTTATTGCACCCCTCGTACATTAATGAAGAGATCAATTTGATGCTCGAGTTATTGAGGTAACGAGAGACCGTTACCCCGAGGCCATTCGACTTTATCAAAATACGGAAATGCAAGTTTTTTGTAATGTCGATCCAGATATCGATCTACGAATAACAAATTCATTTTACTGGAAAAACGGTGGAAGTAGGTGATTACAGGAAATCAATCGTAACTTCAAAAGATAAATACATCGAAAGCAATTATTAAAAAAAAAAAATGTCACAAAATTTTGAGTGTAATTTCTCGTAAAATCGTTTCGTAATATTTAAGTTTATAAATTTAAGTTTAAAATAAGCCCCCATTCCATTATTTTTATATTAAATTCACGAATGCCTCCAGAATAACTAGATTCACGTGAAATGTCAAGAAGTACTCACTGCAGATGATAAAATAACGGGCAAGGCTCCACGCAAATCTACATCCCCCGTATTTCATTTGCAATCCACCTCCTTCCACCCGTATTACAGTTTTGTCTTTCAATATTACAATAAATGTTGAAAATTTACTGAATCATATAGTCGGTGTCTCATCAAGTGTGGATACTATGAATAATCCATCGATATAATCTATCTGTACACTCACAACCGTCCAGATACACAATAATATTAACATATTTAATATGGTACCTTTAAAAATATAAAATAAAATTTATATCTCTCAACTGATCTATTGCATCTCTAATCCTGTAATTTATTTTAGCTACATGTAGCTACTGATCTAAAAATCCTCGACAAATCAAATTTTACTGCTCGATTTATTTATAAATTACTTCACAATGATTTTTTTTTCAATTTCGTTACAATTCGTCTACGAGTCCATATTAAATATATTTTACAATAATATTATCAATGTACATGAACAACGTATGATCAACACCGCAGTACTCATTATGCTCCCGTAACAATCAGCACAGCGCACTAGAATTCATTTGATTTGAAAAAATCATTTATTCAGGAGGAGAGAAAATTGGTGGCAAAAAAAATTCATTCAATACCGAAGTGAAGTGGAAAATTTTATGGAGAAACTCAGATGCGCTGATTGTTCGATGATTGAGAATAGCAAATGAGGGTGTTGATAATTTATTTTTGTTAAAAATTAAAAAGACGTTGGGACGTGAATTTTAGAGTGTCCCGATGTGTGCGCCGCCCTGGTACCTGCTGATAATTAAATTTAATATATTTCACGGTTGGAGAACATGGGGACAAGTGGAGTCACTCAGATTTCAAACATTCATCATTTATTTATAATTTTTTACTTTCTTGAAAACATGTTCACTCATCTATCGTCGATTATCAAGAGGAAAACCCATCACCACGAGTTTTAAGTCGTGGGTTATTGCATCTGACATTTTTCGTACGTTGAAAATTCATTATACTCTCGTCTCGTCTCGTATTTAGCTATAATCAACCTTCAATGTACGATAAATTTCACTCCAACAACTCGGACTTTGAAAACTCGCTGAATTTCCCTCCCTCCAATTACAGAATGTCTCAAAGAGTGATGTCTCAATAAATCCGCAGATAACTGTCAATTTTTCCATAAAAATCCACCACTTTGGAGACTATTCGTAAATAAACCGACGCATTCAGAAATATTAAGAGTTAATTATGAAATATTTTGTCAATTATGCATCAATCTCGAGAATAAACGACTCCAGGTAAAAATGCCTCTCGACATTTACCCCAGAACAGTGAAATTACCGAGATAATCGCCGAATAATCCAGCCCACTTTCTTTTAAACTCTCAACCCAATCAACAAAATAATCTCTAATCACTCCGAAATAATATATGAGTCGTGATAAAACCCCAATCATAATAATTCAACTGAAAATGAGAAAATAAACTTACACGGTTAGATTATTGGTAGAAATAATTAACGCGAGGAAGGTTATTCCTTTTTCTCATCAGTAATTGGATTGGAGGGATTTTGTGACTCCGTTGCAGTCTCGGTTTTACCAGTGGCATCAGTTGCATCTTGACTCGAGTCCGAGCTGTCCTTGATCTCCTCCTTCTTCTTATCATCGCCTCCTTTTGATTCTTCCGCTGAATTTTCCGACTCTTCCGTTGACTTTTCATCCTTGGAATTTGTATCGGGTGTCTTTGAGTCCGACTGATCCTTGTCAATATCGTCGCTCTTGTCACCGTCCTTATCCTTGTCGTCCTTCACATCGTCCACCTCCATCTTCGGCGACTCGTCGTCGTGCTTCTCATTTTTGTTATTCGCTGCCTCCTCGTCTGTGTTGTTGTCGTTGTTCTTGTCTTGTCGCTTTGGACGTCCACGACCACGACCAGTACCGGTGCCAGGACCACTACCAGTCGTTGATTTCGACACTGTCTCACGTTTTTCCTTCTTCGGTGGCGATGGAGATGGTGTGGTGGAGGTCAAACCACGCGCTGAACTTCGGGTGCGTCTCCTTCCCTCCACCTCAACGACTGTTTTGTCTAGACCCTTTAATTCATACAAAATTCATCATACGTAAACAATAAATGAAAAATTACAGCTTCAATAGGAAAGTTGCCCCTCACGAATTTCTCCTTCCCCCAAGCATTAATTATCCACCCCCAAATATCCAACATATAATATAATATATAATCACCATATAATTTCGCAACCCTTCCCCCAACATCCGAGTGAAAGTTACCCGCCCCTAAAAATTTCCAGAAGCCCCACAAACTCATGATTATAAGGTATTGCGTACAATTTCAATCCTTTGTTGAAAAAAATTCAGACACGAAAAAATTGAGTGGAAAATGTATTGATCGATAAACAAATAAATTCTGAGTGACGGGCGTCCACTAAACGGTAAACACCCGCCATATGTTCAGTCGGGGTGTTTGAAAAATGGCGCCAATGGCCACTCTCCCCTACTTTGCACACCATTTCCCCCCCTGGTACCCGATGCCGAGCAACAACAATTGGGAGAAAGGGAATATCCCGAACCTTCACGATATAAAAGCAAACGCTTCCACAAAAATGGAGGGAAAACAGTTAGTGGGGGAGGGCAACCTTGACCAAGCGATAAACTATTTCTATTTATCTATATTTTTGGGTATTTTCCTGTGGCCCATAACGACCTGAAATTTGGGGATTTATTTACCTTCATAATTGCCTCGCCCTCTTGAGCTGTTCTCTCCAACGTCGACAATCGTTTTGAACCCCCTCGCTTATTCTTCGTTGGCGTTGGTTTCTCCTCCGTTGCCTGTTTCGAAAATTAAAATATGAAATGCGATGTTATTGCGGTCCGACGCACTATTTTATGGCATGGAAACCCGAGTCCCAAACGTTTTATTTTACTCTCAACTTAATTTTTTAGAGGTGCAATGAGTGTGAGCAATTAAAAATTATTTTCTTAGCCCAGAAAAATATTATCACCTCTCGAGACATCTCTCAAAACTTATCTAAATGAAAAATCTCAAACTCCCATCCCTGCTAATAAAAATCAAAAATTATTTCTTCTCCCAAAAAATTGAAATAAAAAAAAATAAATATTTCTACAAAACCGGCAAGAATTCCCATTCTCGATAAATTCCGATAACTCCTATCGAAGAGCATTGAACTACCTCCAAAGACCATTAACCCCTGAGTCCCCACCCCCTCAAATAAAAATCCAAAAACCCAACCTTAAGTCTCAAAATTCCACTCACGATAAATCAAAAAATCGGATACATTCTCGTTTGGAAGAAAAAAAGAGGAGAGAATATTGTACCACTGGGGATATCGTAGCAACTTGATTTCCCGCCTTTTTGAGTGCCATCCCGCCGGCGTGGATTCGCTCACCTCTCCCCCCTGACCCCCTAACCCCCACCATTATAAACCCGAGAAGCAAACAGTGAAGAAAACGAGAAGAGGAGAAAAAAAAACATCCACCATCTTTGCCACGAAAGGACGTAACATTGAAACAAAAAATGCACGAATTTATTGTCACCACGAGCCCCCCAATTATCCCTCCCCCCTCCAATTACCGTTGAAACACCGGCGATCGTTTTGATTACGAATAAATTACTGCGACTGATGTCTCAACGAGGATTAATTTCCAGATGCACATATTCTATTTCACATGTTAAAGAGAAAAAAAAAAAATTGTGAAAACGTTCGGCACGCGCCGCCTCGGTGATATCCCCCGATGTAAACTCGGCTTGATACCCGAGGGGGGCAGGCCAAAATGATACACTTAATAAATATTATTTTTCACATTTCACGTATCCTGGGACTCACCTTGGGTATATCATCGACATTGTTGTCGTTCTTACTATCTGCCTTGATATCAGACATTTTCTTAATTATGATGTTATGGGTATAAACACGTTTAAATTAGGATTTTTTTATTTATTGTGAGACGAGTGGAATTACGCGCTGCCGACCCGGTCACCCACTGTTTATACGAATAAGCAAAGATGGCGGTTAGCGTGGGTCACGTGACATATCGTCAAATAATCGGAGGGAGAGGCGGGAGTTAGAGTGACATCTGCCAGTCGGCTGGGGTCATTCCATTCACACACTATGCGCATGCGTATAAAAATGGCGGGATATCATTCAATGAAATTGAATTGAAATTAATGTTTCCTGGTATTTTCCGGTGGAATTAAAGCGATTATGAATAAATACCATTTAATTAGTGATTGAATTATTGATCTTTATTTTGTACATGAAAAATTGTAAACGAATGAAAATTTTTTGAATATCACAATATCTGTGGAATTATGTCATCAGTGCGTTGGCATTCTTCGGTACCAGAATCTAGCCCGAAAATCATCACTGCAGGTGAGAAAAGCTGGAGCAGTTGGCGAGTGGACGATCAATCGGACAGGTCCATTATGCCCCAGGGACAATAATTGCTTCCTCGAGGCATTCCTGGAGTTCCAGGCACAGAGTGACGTTGTGGCTTCATCAGGGAACATGACGTAATCCTCAGTATGATTGAATATCGCCTGAGCCTTGTGCTCCTGTTTACCAGTGGTTCCAGCTCCAGTATAAGCAATCAAGCATCTGCTCGTGGATAATTCCCACAATTTGATCAATGAATCTTTCCCAGATGAAAGCAAATACTTTCCATTCCGTGTAAAAGCAACAGAGCAAACTTCGTATGAGTCATGGGCCTTGACGAAGGTATTGATACACCTATTGGAGACACCATCCCATAGCTTGATACTGCCATCCTTTCCAGCAGAAGCATAAGTCTTGGCATCGGGTGAGTACTTGACACTGGTGATGCCAGCGGTGTGCTGATGATTAGGAATACTGCAGACAAAACACTGCGCAGTGTTGATGTCATAGAGCCTGATTACGGGATGATTAGTCCCGACGATGAGAAAATCCCCAGTGGGATGGAACGAGAGACACCTGATCTGATCAGCATCTGTGATGGTCCTGAAGGCCTTCTTGACACTGGCCTTGCTGAAATCAAACAGCTTAACACTGAAGTCTCGACTCCCTGACACCAGGATGGGCTCACGTGGATGGAATTCCAGGCAGGTGACCTCCTCCAGGTGATCGTACAGAGTCCTGATTACAGGATGACCACCAGCCTGATCACCAGGTGCCATTTCGTCTGGTGCTGATTTAGCAAGCATCCTGTCGACATCCAGGATCTTTATGGAGGCATCAACTGAGCCTGTAGCTATCAGCTGTCCATCAGCTGAGAATGCCCCAGCCCTGCAGTTACCCTTGTGCGATGTCACGTAAGCTGTCTCGTATTGGGCTGGCTCTGGTGCCTGTGTCTGGGTCTCAGTCTCGTACTCCAGGTCTAGGCCTGGCCCCAGGGAGTTGTCGAAGCTGGAGAATGACTGCGCGTGGTTGTTGTTTGTTGTCTCATTTTTTTTCGATCTGTCTGGCTCGTGGACTGTACCCAGTAGCATCAGGTGCAGGAGACGATCAGAGGGGGGACAGGGGGGCTCTGCCTGGATCAGGTTTGACAGCTGGACAGCTAGGGTCTGGTGGCCATCGTAGAATAATTGACTGAAAGTGGAGGTACGGTGAAAACAGGTCAATGAAATTAGTCCATTCATTGGAGACGAATAATTGGAGTAATTACCTGATCATCAAGCGATAGAGTGTCTCCCTATTTTTAATTACATTTTTAGGATCAATCTCTGGGTCTTTCATGACGATATCCTGACCTGTCATGCTTTTTTGCCACTAAACAACGCTCTTCTTCGCTTCAATTTCGATAAATAAAATACTCGAAAATGTTGAGAGGTTACAACTTGTTTCTTGTTTGTTGTCAAATATCGACTGGCCACTGTATCCTCCAGGGCCCTACAATCCACATCCATCACAAGAATTCGCAACCCTGATTGGCTCAGAGTGGGTACTCCTAGGGGAAACAGCCAATGGAGATCGACAAAAATTTTTGAGCAACAGAAACGTCACGTGGGAGTCAACTATGACAGAATGGCTGATGAACGAGAGGATAATAAACCAGAGGAACTCGTCAATGTCGAGGGGAAATCCTCAAAAAAAATTTTTGATGATTCTGAGCATGTTCTGAGGAAACGACCGCCTTATGTCTTCCCCAAGAGGAGCAAAGACGTTTATGCCACGAATAAAACCGCTTTCAAGGTAAATTATTTGGAATTCTTAACCTCTACGATTTCAATTTGCTTTTCGATTTTTTTCTAGTGTTTATCTATTTTTTTTTAATAATTTGACGAGCAAAAATCACTCTTTTAATATTTTTTAAATTTATTTTGAAGGCACAATTAAATATCTGTGAGAAATTGCTAGATGGAGGAGAGCCAGAGATTATAATTCATGGATTAGGAGCTGCCATCAATCGAGCGTGCAATCTAGCTCTTCAACTCAAGAAAAATTCCAGTGGCACATTAGATATTGATACACGAACATCAACAGTCCATCTCATTGGTAAAATCCGCATTTATACGAATGAATTATTTCCATCTTGAACTGAATCCTCATTCGAAATTCCAGACGACCTCGAGCCATTGAAGGATGATGTAGACTGTGAAGTGAACAGTCGCAACAACTCCGCAATCCACATAAGAGTATTTCGAACAGTGAATATAGGTCCTCTAAAATATGCCTAAGGAATCCTGAAAATCCTGAAGAAAGCTTCCACCCATTATTGCACAGAGTATGTCTTCCCTCTGATTTCCAGTGATATAAAATACCCAAAGAATGATTTTCTCACTGAATGAACTCGTCCACTGGCTGGGCCTGACCATTTTTGAGATCTGGGTAAACCTCGTGTCCTTGACGATATTCACAGTCCTTCTGGCCCTGAAACTCGATGAAAACTACTTCCTTGGCTTTTCTGGATGGTGGGTAGTCTTCACTCCCCTCTTCATAGCAGACGGCCTCAACACGTATTTTTGTGCTATAATCTTCATCCGGATGCATATGGAGGGCATGATAAAGGTCGGAGTTCTCAGGGCCCTCTGGAGTCTCATCTCTCTCCTCCTCGTTTTTGTATTTAAGTATCTTCTCTGCAAAAAATTATCGGGCCAGAGCAGCCTGGAGTACTCAGAGGTCTTCAGTCCTGTCTTCATTCTTCTCCAGCTGATCGCTGTGAGGGCCTGTCAGCTCCACTGACCTAGGCCTCCAGCCGAGGAGAACATCCAAGTCTACATGCTCAGCGCCAATCCTGATTTGATAAGCGGATACTTCGCCGCTGAGTTCAGATGAAAATCATTGTCATTCAATTATTGCGGGGAAATCATTGAACTGTTTATACTCTTTAGAAGTTAAGAAATATAATCTGTAAAATTTTTTTATTATTAAATCGTTAATGTAATGGAATTCCAGTGTGTTATTGTTTACTTGGAAACTTCGGGGGGGAAGAAAAATACGGAATATCAATATCAATACTCGAAAATTAATTTTACTAATAGAATTCTTCAAAAAAAAAATTGTAATTCCCTGAAGTAATGAGAGAAATGAGTGAAGTAATTTATTTAAAGAAAAAATATTGAATATTTGGGAGTCCCACAGGTGTATAAATCAAAAAGAAAATTCTTGAAGTGAAACACCAGAATAAAATGAGAAACGTTAAATCCCTTACGAATTCCCCAGAATATTTTTCGAGTTCTTGCATAAATTCTCTCACACATACCCTGCCCTTCCTCCCACAATCAATACCCCAACATTATACCCCCAATTACGAAAACCCGTCAACAAATCTTTTCAAATGCACACTGACGTCATTCCAGTGAATCTAGCCATCAGCTGACACCAGGGCTCGTCAAAAGAGGGCGAGTGATCGCGAGAGACGCGCATCTCCGGGTAGACAATTCCCGATAATTCCACGAGGAAGGGGTAGTACAAGTTGCCGAAAGTAGCCCCAGAGAACTCGAAGAGGGGATAGTCCTTCCCGAGCCCTTAGCATCCCGCAAACCGTCGATCTCCAGGGGGAGGAGGATCTCCGTTGTTCCATCGGTTCCACTGGGTTCCCGGTCTTGTCAGTGTGCGGTGGAAAAAATCCGAGAACTCAAGGAGTGGGATATAAAATTGTGGGGTATCCAAAGGTGATACATATCCGTAATACCGAAGTAACCAAGTGGTAAGGCCCCAACATCGGTGCGCCAGTAGATAGATAAAAGCCAGCGACTCGAGGCCGCGCCAGTGCGATTTTATCGAAGGTCGAGGGTTGGTGGTGTATCAGTCAGTTTTCAGTGGTATGATCATTGTTACGTGCCTCACCATTTGAAAAGGAGAATAAAAATACTGAGGGAATCGTAAAAGTACAGAGATCCAGTAAATCAACTGTGAAAACCATTCTCTGTACCAGTCCATGTGCTCCAACTGAAGATGCTCATCAAGGAATTGTGAGTGAATTATCAACATTTATCTGTCTTCGAGATATTTCTTATCGGGTTAACGAGGGGGACGCGTGACTTGTGCATTGGATTTTACATTGAGTCACTTAGAGATGATTTTTTTTGGGACCGAGGTAGTCCCTGGACGAGGGGTGGAATGGACGTGATGCTTGACCTCGGGTTTACCTTTACGATTTGGTATATATTTTTTTTTTTTTGGTGAGGGTTCCTTTGGGTGAGGAACAGTTTTGACGGATCGATGACGTTTTTCTTTCTCTTTGAGGTGGCATGTGGGCGGGCAACGTCGCGACATCCGGTCGAATTTAATTGTCTCCGCGCGCTATCGATTTTCGGTTTGACTGAACATTTCCTGCACCATGGGATCAACGTGACACGCGTTGTCTCAGATGTTTTTTTCTACTTGTATCTTTTTGTCTAATTTGTTTTTGTTTTCACGGGATTTTGAAACTTACTCATGGGATTGACGTCGATTTTTTGGGGGAACGTCCAAGGACAACTTTCGCCTGACAAATTTTCATTTTGATGTTTCAATAATTCTATCATGTTTTTTTATGTTACAGCCGCGTCACCCTGCCGCTCACGGTCGAGGAGGTACGTCATAGTTCTTGTGCCTCTAATTTTCTTGGGTATTTTTTTTTTGTTTGGAGACGTGGTATTAAGATTGGGTGTATGGGTTTATCACAGCACGTACGTGACAATGCATCTATTGGTGATAGTTATTCCAGCTGATTCAGGGGATCACGGAATATACGGGTTAAGGGTATGATTGAGTGTCAAGTAATTGATGGGTAATTTTCAGGCTCTAGGATTTTTGTCATTGCAGGTAATCATCGGGGGGAGATTGTGACCATTTTTTAAAAACAATTTATGTTGTTTCATTGTGACGTGGAAATACACTAATAACTCATATACCTATTACGTTATTGAATTTTAATTGTTACGTGTGATTGCCTCAAAAGTGATTAATCCCAAAGAATTTCTGTTAATGTCTATAATAAAATTATAGTCAGCTAAAAAAATTATCCACACTATTCTGTTATAATAGGAATTTAAAAGATATAAAAGAGGAATTCACAAATTAATTCATGAATTAATTTCTAAAAGTAATTCCTATTAATTCGTATATTTATTTTTGAAGAACCTGATGAGGCAATGGAAACGGAAATTCTCTCAAAAAATGAGAGATGTGTTGTCAGAATGTAAATTCAATCTTGTGAATATTCCAATCCTTGATTAATATCTCGAGTAATTAGTGTCCTATTGAATAATCATAGGACTCATGCAACCAGCTCGGTGGATCATACACAACCATAAAAAAAAATTCGTTGTGCTAATGAGGATCGTTCCCACTGGAGAACTAAATGGGTCAATTAATGATTTTCTATTCGTTCTGTAATGCAGTACCAAGTGGCTCAGCTGTACTCCGTGGCAGAGGCGAGTAAAAATAACACAGGTGGTGGTGAAGGCATCGAAGTATTGAAAAACGAGCCATTCACGGATACACCACTGTTGGGAGATAAATATTCGTCCGGACAGTACACATACAAGATTTATCATCTTGCTAGCAAAGTACCGGCTTTTATCCGGCTATTATTACCAAAGAACTCGTTGGAGATCCACGAGGAGGCATGGAATGCCTATCCATACTGCAGGACAGTCATAACCGTGAGTTTCATCTAATTGAAGTATCGCCTTACAAACGGCAACATCTCTCTAGCTTCAATTTACCTTTTTCCCCAGAATCCTGGATACATGAAGGACAATTTCTTCATCATGATTGAATCATTCCACATTGCTGATACGGGAAACCAGCAGAATGTGAGTAAAATCAAATATTTCAATATGGAATTGAATATTACGGAATATTATATATTTCTTGTGGAATTTATTCTGCAGGTACACGAATTATCTGCTGATAAACTTAAAGTGCGAGAGGTGATACACATAGATATAGCCAATGATCCAATAGCGAGTGCTGATTACAAAGAGGACGAGGATCCAGCGACATTCAAGTCCCAAAAAACTGGTCGTGGTCCGCTGGTCGGAAAAGACTGGAAAAATAATGTAACCCCTGTTATGACTTGCTACAAACTCGTAACATGTGAATTCAAGTGGTTTGGCCTGCAGACACGAGTGGAGGGTTTCATCCAGAAAGTGGAGAGACGTTTATTCACCAATCTACATCGGCAGGTATTTTGTTGGATTGACCGCTGGCATGGACTCACAATGGAGGACATCAGGGCGATCGAGGATGCTACCAAGGAGGAGCTCGATAGGGTAAGATATTTATCTGTATCGACACTTTGAATTTCTTTTTGTATTCTTCGAGGATTATCTCTTTTATCTCTCTACAGCGATTATTTTTGTTCTTCAGTCGATTTGGGGATTTAGAAGGAACGCGGGGATTTTTTTTTTACTGCTGAGTGTTGAAATAATATCGATGTATTTATTTGCAGCAAAGACACGAGGGAGAGGTACGAGGCATGCGAGCAGACGATTGAGGTTGCTGTCGAGGCATCTAGATACTATTAAAAATTGCGTTAAAAATAATTCTCCCTTACACCCACCCCGAGGAAATCCCAGAGATGAAAATTACCTAAAGAAGAGAAAAAATCTCAATAACAAATTAAAACTCCCCTCCATTATCAGAGGACAGTCTCAACAGAGTATCTCGTCTTAGATTCAGTGTCTATTTCTATTACTTACGAATTTATAATTTATTTTACAATTTACTAAAATTGAATGGGATTAAAAAACTTGAACAGAGTTCTAGATTAATGTACCCTAGCAATCAATTGAATTAAACTTGTATTACCGTGTCACGTGAAAAATTGAGAATGGAAGTTGATTTTGGAGGTGAATAATTGGTGGTATACAATGAGACTAATGAATTGAGCAAATAAATACGTATGACGAGAGAAAATCAATTCCACTCTGAATGATGATCAATGGTAGATAATCGACTGTTACGATTAATTCATAGTCTTTCAGGTGATCAATGAAATATTAACGTTCCTTAATTGGCGTAATCAGGCCTGCGAAGTGCTTGTCGTGACTAGAGAGAATGAATGGAGTTAAACGAGAAAATCATGTGGATGGAGTGTGAAAATTGGAGGAAAAAAAAATTATTCATGTTGCCATTACTTTCGAGAGGAGAAAACTAGCGAATTATTGCTTCGTCAATTGCTTAAATGCGACTGTAATCGTAGTGATTTCAATATTTAATTTCTTAAACAATTGTTTGAAAGATTTAAATTTAATAAATTAATTGGGTCAACGTGCCGCATATTTTCAGCCTCATGAGTCGAGATGAAATAGGAAATTCAGGGATTAATCAATAATATCCCAGGAGTGTTGGAACACTCATGAGTTATTTTCATACAATCACTGAATTCAGTGTTCGTGAGTCCATCGAGACGAGCTGCGGACATTGTGTTGGGAATATGAAAGTAATTATCACGTTGAATGATGAAAAATTATCCATGAAACATTAATTAGTCAGTCTCGTGCTGTGTCAATAACAATAAACCAATTAACACTTTGATGACGTTCGATGTAGGATCGATTTAACCGGAAAACAATAAATGATTAAATTCAATCTTAATCATCTTTTCGTGAATGTTTTCACTTCGCGAGTTGCGAATTACTTTTGAGAGAAAATAAATAGATAAATTTCAGTGGTGGAGTGAAAATGGGAAATCCCTGGGAATTCGAATTTGACATTCTTATCGATTTATCTCCGGAACTATCAATTTCAGCTAAAAACGCTTCCAGGCTTTTTCAGAGACAATTAAATCGTCAATAAAAATCGTCTTTTGACATTTTCCTCTGAAACCAACAGTTTTGAAGATACATCGATGTTTAATAGAACTGTAAAATTCCAATTGTCTCACTTTATGGCTTCGTTACTGAAGTTAATTGATAATTCTTCAACGTTACAATAATCATCGAGTGCCGAGGCTACTTTACCGTATTCCTGGTTGTTTCAGTCTACCATTAACGATAAAAAGTGAATAAAAACCCAAGAAAAAAAGCAAATGTATTATTCTATAAATGTAAATGAGTAGCATCAAGAAAACACGGAAAAACTCGAAAAAAAAAAACGTAAAACATTAAGAAGTTCTAGGCGATTAAAATTATGTGGAGCAAGTAGAGGATTGCGGGGCGTCGTTGTACATAATATGTGGCATACAATGAAATTCAAGATGGGATGGAAATGACATTTCGATTAGCTTCGCTTGCATTCCGAACGGGAGAGTGCTGTACGATTCACCATGGGTAATTCAATAACAAAGTGGTAAAGTGATTTATCTCGAAAACAGTGAATTCAGGAGAAAAACACCGAAGGACTTTTTTGTAGTCAATTAAACACCAGACAAAAAATGTCTCTTGATATTTCTTCCTAAACTCAACACCTTTTGGATAAATCCGAATGTAAGAAAATCCAATTATCGAATCATTCGAATTATCTCATTTTACCTCTTTGGATGCTGAAGTGACATTAATGAGATCTCAACTTACGATATTAGTGTTAATCCAGATGATTAGTCACCCCGAAGAGTCCTGGTGACTCGACAAGATGAGAGAATAATTAGTGGAGGTTTTAGAGTCCAACCGGTCTAATGGCATAACACAATAGTTGTAGTGATACTGGAGGATCATGAAAAAATAGGATAAGTGCACACATGTACACGATCATTAGATCCGGTTTAATTGTCTTTTGCACAAAACAATTATGATGGACTGGAGGTAACAGTGGGGACCGTATCGGTACCTCTCCAAGTGGTACGATCAATTTGAGGCAGTGCTATATGATTTCGATAAATTTCCACTTTTCATTTATTTTATTTACTTATCAATCAATCCAGAAACCCGAGATACTGAAAATTCATTAAAAAATACTGATCTCTATATCGATGGATGAATAACAGATTAATGCATAATGATTTTTCGAATCGAATTTTTATGGATAAAAAACAAAAATTTAGTAATGAAGATTGATATAAAATTTGGGCATTTTCGTTTGTCTGTTATTAAATTATCGGTATAATTTATGTGGAGATCAGTACGTGAAGTCGATCGTTTTCTCTAGAATTGAATTTCACTGTGGCCGGTATGTTCCAATTACCAATGTCCTAAAATTAGATTTATCTGAATAGATAGTTTAGAAATTCGTTTCTGAGGATCGAGAGAATTGAGGGAATAAACTGATAAATTGAATAACTTAGGTATGAAAATTGTGGGGTCGAGTCACCCAACGCTGCCAAAGGGCCGATGATAAATTAACGTTTAAACCAATTTTGAAAGGATTCCCTAGAGTCTCGCGTATGAATATGTATGTATATATTTATATATATGTATGTATACGTATTTAAGCTGAGTTGTGAGGAGTGAGGAAATTATATAGGCTATAATGTCAGTGAGGTGGTCATGAGACTAATAAAAATCGATGAATATACTGCGTATAAAGGTTTATTGATTTGTTTAAAAATAATAGTACAGTCTTCCGCTTGATCCAGCCACCCTGTACAAGTTTAATGAGTTCGTAGGATTACGTTGCACTTCCGGAAGTGATTGATGATATTTATAAGCCAGCAGTGAAGTGGTTAAATTGCAGAGCAGATTGATGACTCCATTTACCTCCATCATTTACTTTATTACACGTCATCCGCAAAAAATTTCATTAAAAATATATAGGTAGAAAAATAATTATCAATTATCTTGTAAAAAAATTCTATAGAAAATATTCCAATAGAATTGTCTAGCGAATTCTTATTATTTCCATTGAATCAATATCACGTTGATATAAGCCCCACATATCTGAGGAATATTTCCAAGTCCAAGAGAGATACCAGATGCAACGTGACCTCATCAGACGACATTAAAATAATTTCAATTAAAAAATTAATAGGTAGTGGCTTTGCAAAACCTGCCACTCAGACTCCGAACTCCTTGACGATAGCTCCAGCAATAACGAGTCTCTGAATTTCCGATGTGCCCTCATAGATCTCCGTGATCCTGGCGTCCCTGTAGTGTCTTTCAGCTGGCATATCAGTGACATAGCCCATTCCCCCAAGTATTTGAATGGCCTGATGGGAGCAGAAGGTTGCAGCCTCAGATGCAGCTAGTTTAGCCATAGCAGCCTCCTTGGAAAAAGATTTATGATTATCACTGAGCCACGCAGCCCTCCAACTCAAGAGCCTTGCACTCTCCACCCTGAGGGCCATGTCAGCAATTTTTTGCTGTATATTTTGCATTTTTACAATGGGATTGCCAAAAGCCATGCGTTTCTGTGCATACTCGACGGCACATTCTAGAGAAGCCTGAGCGATTCCCAGGGCCTGTCCAGCGATTCCAATCCTTCCAGTATCGAGTGTTTTCATGGCAATTTTAAAACCCATTCCAGGCTCCCCCAGGAGGTTCTCAGAGGGCACAACAGCGTCCTCGAAGATCAGGGAGCATGTGGGGCTCGCTCGGATCCCCAGCTTGTCCTCCCTCTTGCCAAATTCGAGCCCCGGATGTGGGGATTCCACGATGAAAGCACTGATCCCCTTGTGCTTCTTGGACTTGTCCGTCGTGGCGAAGAGGATAATCCTCTCGGCGACGTCACCACTGGTGATCCACGATTTAGTCCCGTTAATCTTGTAGCCCTTACCCTCAGGCTTGGCAGTGGTCGAGGCTGCCCCAGCGTCAGACCCATTCCCTGGTTCACTCAGGGCAAAACATCCCACTCTTGAGCCATCGGTGAAGGGCCTCAAGTGCTTATCCTTCTGCTCTTGTGTACCGAAACCATTGATTGCACCGAGGTACAGGGAATTATTGACACTCATTACCACCCCACAGGAAGCACAACCCCTTGATATCTCCTCCATTGCTATCACGTAAGCCAAATAATCCAGACCAGCACCTCCTAGTGACTCTGGTATTGCTATCGCCATCAGACCGAGTTCACCCATTTTTTTAATCTGCTCCTTTGGGTATCTGTGCTCCTTGTCCAGAGTTTTTGCTATTGGCTTCAGTTCTCCTTCAGCGAAGTCTCTGGACGGATACACGTGAAAAATATTTTGTCAATCATCCAATGATGATCCCAAAATTTATTGATTTTAACAGAAAACAGGAAATCATTTTTTCTCTTCGAAATTTTATCGACTACTAAAAATTTGATTAATGATTTCACCACAAATCGATTTTCTGGCGATAAATCAATATTTAATATAACAGGAAAATTAAATTATTAATATTATTAATATTATTCATAGTAATAACTCATACCAATTATTTTACTAATCTTAATAAATTGATTATTGTTAAAGAATTTCGGTTATCGTTTTGTTTATTCTGATTTTTCAAGAAGAAAATAAATCGTACGAATTTACATGACTTTCAATATTTTTACCGGAAAAACAAAAACGAATTAAGATAATTATATAAGTGACCTCCGGCTTGTTTGTTACTTGTCTGTTTATCTACATGAATTACTCAGCCTTTTCTTTTAAGGCAAGTATCTTTTTTTTTAATTCAATTCAACAATGCATTTCCTGTTCTTCATTATCTTGCATTGACCTCTCCCCGAAATTTTCCATCCGACAAACAACTGATAATTAATTATTAAATATTTACCTTACGGTCTTCTGGAGCATCTGGTGGGTCTCCGGGAGGGAGGACAAGGAGGCGATGGCCCTTGTCCCAGAATGAAGCCTGATCCCTGCCCTGAGAAGATCTAAAGAATCAATTGTATCGACAAATAAAAAATCAATAAATAAATTAATCGAAGAGTTCAAGTAAAGGGAAAATACTTACCGGAGAGTTTCAAGCAGCTCATGTTAATTGAATGTAACCTCGTGAGAGATAAATTCAAATGAAGAATCTCGAGTGCTCACTTGTAAAAATTCCACTCAATTATGAGGATTTTTCTTTCATTGCCGCTGAGCCACCTCTTCACAAATTTCTACAGATCAAATTGTATACAGACAACTCCCTCGCACGATGATTCCACGAATTTCCAGTGCATTTCGTTGCGACTATAATCCATCAGATGACGGGGTCTTTAAACTGACATTTAAACCCGCTGACGTCAGCTGATCGATAATGTCGTGACGCGCGCCGATTTCAAACGACGCATGACTCACCCGGCTGTTCGATAAAACGACAAAATCACTGTGTGATTTGGGTGCTGTTATTGTTTGCGGGGGTAAATAAATAATTGTTGTGGAGATGTCGGGGTCCAAGTGTGTTAAACCACCGAGGAAGGCCTACACCAAGGAGCCCAACGAGATGACACATCAGGAGAAATTGAAACTCATCGATGAGGAGTTGAATTCGTTTTACAAGTAAGAAGATAGATTGAAGAATTTTGGAGTTCTGATGTCACCTGAGAGATGAATGTGTGTCAATTCGTATGTTGGTCGATGAAAAAATTCGATAACACAAAAAAAATCACCTTCATCCCCTAAATATTGTAATCAGCTCCTGGGGCGTGTCCTGGGGCTAGTCCTGTGGTGACAAACAAATTATTTATTTATCTGGAAAAAATTTCATCAGGAAACAAATGGTGGATATGGGTAACAGATTTATTTTCCCTTGGAAAAAGGTATTGCCAGCAGGCGGGGTTCACCGAGGAGGAGATGGATATAATCTGTCAACCCTTGGTGGCGGCGATGCGCCGATCGTGGCTCCAGCTCGTCCTCCGGGCAACGGTGATCCTCGTGGTGATCGGCACCGTCGCCTGTGCTGCAGCACAGCTCGACTTCGTTGGTACTCATCTGTCCGCGATCACTCGTGTCCTCGCGGTTAAAATTCTCCCCTTCTGGAACTGGCAGTACCTCTACCGCGAGAACTGCATGATGAATAATCCATTCTACAACGAGTACCCGATCACAGAAGAGGATTGCGTCGTAAGATATACAGTTAATATACAGTCATTGATGATTTACAGTTCGCTAATTCGCGAAGATGGAATTACGATGTAATTACGATGTAATTACGATTTTTATTGAACCCCAAAAGAGGATTTAATTCCTCTCCGAAATTATGAAAATTCAAGCAAGTGGATATTTTTATTCTCCCAGACGTGTGAGGCAGTGGAAACGATAGATCGTCTGTCCGACGTGCACTACCGTCACTTGGTGGATAATTACCTGAACCGAGACGCCCCGGCGATAATCACCGACGCCATGGACTCCTGGGGTGTCATGAACACCGATCACTTCTGGTTCGACAACATAACACACGTAAGACACCCATAAATCATCCTCGAGTCCTACTGACTCCACCTCGACTATTTAAATCCCCAGCTGTACCTCGGGAACGAGCGCCTGATGGAGACGGTTCCCTGTTCGTTGACCTCGAACCTCCGGACTGGCTCCTCAGACCTCGCGGCTTTCCTCCGGAGGGTTCACTCCCCTGAGGTGGCTAAATGGTTCGTCCACTGGCAGAATTGTGACATCAACGCGGTGAAGGTCCTGAGGAAATACTATCAGCGCCCTTATTTCCTCTCCAGTACTGTCTCACCTGCACACTTCAACTGGGTCCTCATGTCCTCGGATTACAACAGCCCGAGTTATAAAAAAGTCGAGCTGGACTCCGGCCTGATCGCCCTGGCACAACTTCGAGGCGCCACCCAGCTCAGACTCACTCCTATCAATCCGTGCAACAGCTCCTGTCCGGAATTAATTGCAGATCTTCATCGAGGGGAAATGTGTAAGTCCAGGGAAAAATATCGGAATGGAATAAAACCCCTTTTCTCATTAAATAAAAATATTATTAATCGTTTATTCTCTATCGAACTTAAAATTGAAATCGCATGATATCTTGGGGATTTTAATATGAAAATTGTTAATAATTATAATTGAATTATTATTTTCCAGTGGTTTTTACCAATCTCATGTGGAATCTGGAATACGCACCCATGAGAGGTCTGGACAATATTGCGATCCTGACTGAGACAGTGTGGGACGAGGATCCATAAAAAAATCATTAAAAAATCAATTAACAGCAATGAAAAATTTGCAACTCAACAAAAAAACTCGATGTTCATTACCTCTCTGTACTCACCCCATCCCCTTTCGACTCTCAAAAAAAAAAATTCAAACTTCTAAACCCATGTAGAGTATTAAAAACTCGATAACATGAATAAAAAATAACGCAATGATACGGAATTTATTTACTCCCCGAGTCATCTCCTCTGAAATCACCACAAGTAACAAGAAACGAGATTGATTTTTTTATTAATTAATCGTTTATAATAACATTTTATTTATCTTTCTTCATGAATTATTCGTCAATATTATTTTCACTCTCTCATTCTCTCACCCTCTCCCTACATTATCTCATTGATATCCTCAATAATTTTCTCTTATCGCAATTGTCTACCGAGGAATTGATAATGAACGTTCTCACGCGCAATTTTCATTTAATATATATATATATTTTTTCATAGAAAAAACAAAGCGTAAGGTTAATCAATTAGATATACGTCAGCGTGGCGATTTTGCATTCATTATTTGTTGCATCATATATATAATAATTATATATAATTTCATTTGTTTGGCATGCTTAAAATCGACACGATATACATGTATTAAAAGATGTATATGTTATGGTGTGGATTCATATTTATCGTTTATGTATACATATCGATTGCTACCTCCTTCGTCGCCTCGTTTATTATCGTCGGTTCTTTAATTTGTTTAATTATATTATTTGTTGTTGTCATCTTTGTCGAGTTTTTAGTGTCAATACGGGTGTATGACGGCTCTTGCTTTATTGTTATTTGGACACTTCATTTAATATATAAAAGACATTCATTTTTTCTCTCATGTCTCGAGTAATTTAAGATGAACTCATTGATCAAATTAATTATTATCATTTTTATTTATGCTGCTCTGTTGAAAAATCAAAGTCTGTCGATTTTTATTATCGAATTCATTTGAGATTTATGGTTGAATAAATGAGTTTCAAGGATGAATATCGGATTCAATATTTTTATATTCGAATTTATGTTATTAGGTACGTAGTACGCGTAACAACAATAATATTAACAACGATTAATGGCGGAGGTAACGATGAAATTGGACGTTGGGATTAATACGAGAGATTAAGAGCTGATTTTTTCATTCGATTGAGCCGAGATGAGTGCGAAATGCCAAAGGATATATTTGCAATTATTAAACAATATATCAACGGTTGTCCCGAGTGAATTATAATGTTCGTCATTATTGTCTAACGCACATAATCCTCTGATCAGACGGGTAATAATTAATCCAGCAATAGATAAGATTAATAATTAAGTTTTCTTATCATTTTCCATTTTATTTCATCGAAGCGATAAAATTTATTTGCTGGATAAAAAATAAATGCGAATAATTTTTTTTTAGTGGAGAAATTTATAGAATGATTGGAGGATTTATTTTTCGTTCCGGAGAATTTGATTAGTTAGGTTTAAGAAGGGAGAATTTTTTTTTGGTTTCGACGAGAAATTTCGGAAGAATATTCCTAGAGATTTTTTCATCAAGTCCATTGAGGTAAATAATTATGATTCACTCTTACGTGCAAGAAAGCCAATCCATTGGTATTAACACTAAAAACTAATTACTCGTCAATCAATCGCTCGTCATTCAGTTCCCCCCATTCGAGCACTGGGGGATTGCACATGAGAGAACCCAGTGGTCAGTATTTCACATTAATCTCATGTGTCACTTCCACCCCCTCGAGCGCGTTATCTCTGATATGTACCTGAGGACGACTATGATAACAGCAGGGGAACAACTCACTTCCTCGATTTTACGAGCAAAGTTACAAGATCGAATTACCCGAAAACCATTGATTTTTCAAAAAAATACATAGAGACCTTTTCCACCGAGAATTGTCTCAGCTACAAAAAATTCCTCTACCATTTTTTTCCTGCATCGATAATTCTCGAGAAAATCGACAGTTAACGATGCGAAATATTTTTCATTCTCATCACATCATGAACTCATAACTCCGGGCTCATAACCCCGGTGTTCAGATCATAGTCGCCTCACCATTAATTATCGGTTCTTCCATACACCCGAGCATTTCGATAGCTCGATAACATCCCAGTGTGATAAAAAAATAATTAATCACCGAACATAGAAGAAAAACAGAAATCCAACGAGAAAGAACTTCACCTTTTCCTAAACGTTCTACAAATTTCTGGGCACTTACGCCCTTCAGTCACCGTCAATTATTCCTCTCCCCCTTTCCCCTATGCCCCCTAAATTCCCCCTCCCTCTGAATAATTGAACTATCCGACAAAAGCCACGATTTGATTCCACAAATTTTATTACCACTGGTGATAAGAATTCCACCGAAAAGAATTTCCCTGAAATAACAATAAATAAATCCCAGCAACAATTACGCTGATAATTGAATTGTCAATAGCCGATTACAGTCGATATTCGCGATAACTAATCCACTACCCGATAAATTTCGTATAAATGAAGATGCGACTCCTCGAATCCGCGCATGAATTTTAAATTCTCCTAGATATAAGTTAGACTCGAAGAAATCGACAGAATGAGTTTGGGATCGAATAAATAATCGATAAGTCACCCTCTCACTCAATGTACAATCACCCATACGCATTCACAGGAATTAATCAATCAATAATCAATGAATTCAGCGGTTAATTGTCCTCACACTTGCTCCACCCTCGCTCCTCAAACAATTATTAGTTTTCAAACGCATAATTACTCCACATCCACATACTCTGACTCTGGCGAAAGAAAAATAAAGGTCGGATTATAATTTGTACAAAATACGATTACAAGTAGCGTTGTAACAACAATTTGCAATAGTTAAATATAATATGTATATTATGTATATTCTTTATTTATAATATGTATAATTTTTCATCTTTATTTATAACTTCATCATTTTGTTAATCTATTTATTCATCAATAATGCATGTAATCGAGCTTGAACGATCGTCTTCGTCCTTTCGCCTTCCCAATTAATTAACAAATTAGACACTCTCCCTATATCAACAAAATCTAAACTCCATTAATATATCATCAACTGGTCGCTCATTAAATTCTATTATAATTCCCATAATCAACCAGAAACGAAAACGATCGCAGCAGTCAAAAAGGAATGTCATGAATTCTAGATTTGTTTATTCACTCAATGGGATATTAAAAAAACCGTAAATTATTGATAATAACAGGACTAGGCGGACTAGACGCTCGCCGCCACCTTAATCAATAAATCTATCATCTTTCTCCCCGGAATTATTTTTCAATAAAATAAGGGACAAGTGGGGTAAATAGGGTAAACAATTGGAGAGATCACTCGATAAATTATTGATTACAGTATTATCGTTAATTAATAAGATATGATTATTGTTTGTGTGGGGGTGAGGCATCTCAAGGCACACCCGCCTCCCGTTCATTCCTCTCTACTTTATATTTTCTCTCTTTGTTAATACTTTTTATTTATTTTGTTTAAGACAGCTCCTGTTATCGATAAGACGAGGTGGCAGCTTCCAGCACCTCACAACGTCAGGGCCACCACCCTTGACCCTTGTGCGCGGTTAATTATTTCTTTCTATTATTAATCGATTAGTCGATCGTTGAGACATTGTCAGTCAGTCGAGAATCGAGCGAGCCCGGGAGAGCACTCCATCGACAATTATTTATTGAAAATTTATCCTCCAAAATACCAATTTCTCATTAAATTACAATAATTTTATCTTCTCGTGAATTTATTATTGTTTTTTTTTTATCTAAAAAAATCGACATTTTTCCATTTTAATGATGGATTAATTAAAAATTCATGTAATTTCAGGGAATTTTTCAGGAGATGAATTTTTAATTTATTTATTCCATTCATCTATCAGTCAGGATGATTCAGGGTAATCACTTATAAATAATAATTTATACTCCGGGGATTTCAGGGGATCATTCGAGAAAAATAAAAAATGGAGCAACTCTCCACGTGCTACCTTGTGGTCTCTCGACCTTGAGCATTTCACTCAACATCGTCTCCTCGGTGGCTAGATTGATCCTCAGATTACACGCAGGCCGAGAGAATAACCGAGTGTCGTATCCCGGGGAATTAAGAGTGCCTGACAGTGAAATCGATTTCGATGGATAATCCCAGTACAAAAATCGAGTAAATAACACCGCAATCCTTCAAATAAACTAGCATTTCCACCCCTCAAAGCGACTAATCAATCACTAATCAATCATACAGATAATTTGATCAACGCATCGAAATAAAAAATGCCTGAAACAGAAATTTAATTTGACCATGATTCCCATCAAACCCGATTTCCTTAATTCTCAAGTATTCTCACTCCTCGACGATGTCTCCATTCCCCATCCCCAAAACGTCAATTGATTACATCTTAATCGAGGCGGCAGCAAGAGCAACAGCAGCTTTAATCGATTACATATAACTTACGCAATATTCACTGAATTATTTCCCCGACAAACCGACTGAACGAAAAAAAAAAAAACCCCGATAAAGTATAAAAACGTGAACATAACATGATGAGTAACACGTTCGATGAATGAATTATTTGTCACGAGACCGTGCTGATACCCAGTCTTAAGACCATTAAAACAATGGCTGAAGCATTGGCTCACTTGCCCAGGCCAAATTTCATAAATATGAGCTCTTTACCTTTGGAGAGAATATCCCCACCAGCACTTGCCCCCGCCATTTCCGTAAATTTCTGCATTAGATTTGGCCCAGCGCTTGGCGGCTGCTGCTGCTGCTGTTGGCTCTGATCCGGTGGTTTTTGAGCTGTTGGAATAACCGCTGGTATACCCCTCATTTGTTTACTCGTTTGTGGCCCCTGTCCTCCCTGCTGGGGTCCATACTGTCCCTGCTGCTGCTGCTGTTGAAAATTCTGCTGGTATCCCTGTGGCTGCTGCTGGTACCCCATGCCCTGCTGATAGCCCTGGATATTCTGCTGCGGGTGCTGTTGATTTTGCTGGCCCATGCCCTGCTGATAGTCCTGGGGATTCTGGAACTGCTGGGGACCACCCTGGAGGCCACCCTGGAGGCCACCCGACATGTTACTACCAGCGCCCCGATTGCCCACGCCTCTCCCCCTCCCCTGCAATTTTCCATCAGTTATCTGATTTAATTTTTTCCCTCACGTTTTTTTTTTTGACACTACTCAATCACTCCTCATTTATTATCGGTATTATCTGGAGTTGGTTTTTTTTTTCAAGTTGCTAGTTTTGCTAGGTTCGAGCGAGATGTTCAGACATCGTGTGGTGTGTGAGTCGTGGACATTCAAAGCTAGTCGTGTGTCTTCTTGGTTTGTTGCCATTGTGTTGGGAATTTGCTGGGCTTTTCAAGATTCCAAACATAATATGCAAGTACAAAAATTGTGGGTTAAGCGGTGGGTGGGACGCATGCCGTGCGGGTTCGTCTCTCGTTTCGGATTTTTTATTTTTGGATTTTATTCCGTTTTTTTTTTGGGCCTGAGGGTGGCAGGGGCTCCAGAGAATTTCTCGGTTCAAAAGGAGTTCTCTGATTTATTTAGATTGAAATTTCCAGGAGTTGAGTCATTTGCAGAGTGAAATTACCGGTTTCTCGTAGAATTATTAGAAATTTTTTCGGATTATCGCAGATTGTTACGAATTGTATAATTGTAATTGACGGATAATCGAGAAATTCTCATTTTTTATATCTGTTCGGGGTCTACAATTCGATTGATCGATAACCGCAGGACTCGACATTCATAGCAGCGTGATGGAGGGCACGAGGTAAGCGATTAATTGCGGAATTATGAAAAATTACAGACAGTTTGATGGAACGATATTACCAGACATTACTCCTCAAGGAAATTCCCATCGAAAAACGACTCCCACCGATTTTAATCTTGAACCTTGAGTAATTAAATAATTACAAAAGCGCAGAAACCTCATATTTTCCACGTTAATCCCATCAACGATTTTCTTTTTTATGAAAAAAGGGGAATCCTGGAGGAAAGGGTGTAGAGCATCTCCAAAAGGTGGAGAATATTCGGAAAATAAATGGCAATCCAAATTATTGATAATTAATACGGAAATTCCATCGAACTGTCGTAATGAAATAGGAAAAAAAATAGATTGAGTTGGGAATAGGGTGGACTGATAGGTCGGAGTGGACATACTCACCTGCTGCTGGAGGTGGGGTGGTCCACTGGCCTGCTGATGGGCACTGTGTGAACCCATGACACCTGTACCTGGACCACCGTGCTGATTAGACGTTGTAACAGTGGTGTAGCTGTGGTGATTCGCTTGTTGGTAGGCTAGATGCGGTGGATTGTTTTGTTGTAGTTGGTTTTGTTGTTGTGGTTGTTGTTGTCTAGAGTCTAAGTGACAGACAGGGACAGACACAGGCACAATGCAGGCATCTAGCAACAGAGAAGAGAACAGAACCGTGTTGTCATTCATGGCTCATTTTTTTCTTCTATTATCTTTTCGAAATTGAATATCAACTTGACTCGTTTCACCGACATCGAAATCGGACAAGTCCTTTTACCCTCATCATCTCTAAAAGAACTTGTCCTCGTAAATATCAGCCCTTCACAGCTAATTATATTTAATTGACACGTCTTGTCGTTCGCAAGAGTCAAACGAGTTAAATTTCTACAATAATTACCCGATAATTGATAAAATCATGGAGATAACGAATTCGTGTGTCCATTTCACTTGTACTGTATGAAATTTTTTTTTTATTTTTTAAGATTTAATTTGAGACTAGCTGTTGGTTTGATGATTATTGGTGAAACGATGGAATCGTAATCGCCAGTGAAATGGACAGGTAAATAGTAAATAGTAAAATGGCCAGCATGACAACACGAGACGAACGACAATCATGTGACACGACGACCATCGACCAGTTCAGGCACACAGAGAGAAAGATATAATAAATATATCACGTAATGATAATTCAACGAAATATCTTTCTTGACACATCGATGATCAATTATTGATCTGTTTAATTTATTTTTATATAAAAAAATGCAGCAACACGATCGCAGATAATAGTGGATCCTCGAGATAAAAAAATATACAATATAAATGAAGATAAATAAATCAGATATATCGATATATTTTTGTACAGAGAATACAGTAGAGAGACAGATAATTAATAGAGAAGTATAACGGAGCAAGGAAAATGCTCGAAGATAGATAGACATAAAAAATATACATACATATATATGTTTCGGGGATATATATGCATATATTATCGGTTATTAATAAAATACACTCAAAGCAGCGTGGTGTTAATTGCATTTTGTCGTGTGTTATCTCTTTCAGGTGTTATTGAATAATTATTTATTTGCCTATGTTGCATGTTTTTGTTCAGGTGTGAATTTCAACGATTGTTTCTTGCTTTTGTCTGTTGCCAAAACATTTAGGTGAACAGTGAATCTGAAAACAGTGGCTGTTACGCTACGATCCACGATGATCAAACGATCAAACGATCATACGATCGATCATTCGTATTATTCAATGGATTATTTATTGATTCATCCAGGAAATTGGCCTGTGACCCTTTCAGCCTGTCGTCTTGGCACATCGAGTCTCGTGTCTTGTGTCGCTGCTGTGGGATTTTTTTCCATCAATTGGAAAATCACCTGGGGTTTTTTATCGCTCGATCATCGACGGAGACGGGGGAATTCCCGGGATAAATTTGGGGGATTTTTTCTTTTTTTTTCGTTGTGGGGGATGTATTAGAATTAAAATTGTGTTTTTTTTTTTGGAATCAATTGTTATTGTGGTGGTGGATTGTTATTGTTTTACCTTTGTTGCGGCGGTGCCCTGGAGTCGGGGGTTCTCGTGGTGGCGGGGGTGGGCCTCGTGCACCCGGACCCTGGCCTCCCCCTGGTGGCTTCCATCCTGGCTTCGTTTGCTGACCTTTACTTGGGCCTGCTTCTGTCACGAAATTACTTGGTACTAGGCCCCGTACACCGTCTAATTCACCCATGTAGAAGCCATCGTCGTCCATGTCACCGTAAATGTAGATTTCGTTTCCCGTTTGGAAACGCAGCTCCACAGCCTGACAACACATTTATTCCAATCGGTTATCCAATCAAATTTATTATCCATTTTCTTTTTCTTATTTTCTTATTTTATGATTATGACATTATTATTATATTATAAATAATGTCTAAAATATTGTAATCACTTCTTTAAAACAAGGAATAGAGAGTAAAAATGTCAGTATTAAACATGATAATTTAAATGATTTTTCATATTAATAACAATTTATTACAAAAAACGAATGAATCGTATGAATTTTTCATACCTCAGCGTCGACATTCGGGGAAACGACCTGGGGATCGTAATCGTACAGAGCGATCATCTTCTTGACGGGCATGTTGGTATAGATATCCCCCCACCTGTCACCCTGGCCCCTCCTGCCCTGTCCCTGGGCCTGGCCCTGAGGCCCAGCCGGTGGATTCTTCACTTCCTCAACCATATTGTGAGGTACATACCCCTGTCTACTCCGACATTCACCCCAGTAGAATCCGTCGTCGTCCTTCTCCCCCCAGACCTTTCCACAAAAATCACCCCATGATCCAACTGCAAATCCACTTCAAGCCCTATCATTTTCTCAATGACCCAAAAATACTCTCACTGAGAAATTAAACTTTCATTTCAATATCTCCCGATAATTATTCTGAATAATTCATTATAGCTAATTAAATTTCCCAAGAAAAAGAGACTAAACTATTAGAATTGTCAATTATCAATTGACAAAATAAAAATCGAAATTATGAATTATGAATTGAGTGAGTTGTGACAATTGAAATAATTTCAATGAATCGACGAATTTATTACGACTAATGGAAAATGGAAATTGAATTTCTCATTGATTTTTGATTACCTTGATGGTATCGCCCTCGGAGAAGGGCAATTCGATGTCACAAGCGTCAGGATTGGGTGACATTGTCGTTGGATCGTAATCAAAGAGCGCGATAAACCACCTGACCCTCTTGTTCATTTGTTGGGGCCCAGGATGATGAGGATTGCCGGGGCCCTGATTCCTCCCACCCCTGAACGTCGGTCCTCTCCCCCTTTGAGCTCCTAAATGCAAACAATCAGTATTTCCTGGTGAATAAAACCCTCCGACGAGTGCAATAGTTACCTTGCTGATCTGGGCCGTAATAAGGCTCCTGTCCCCTGGGCCCCACCATCCGTCCAGGCATGTGAGGCCCTTGAGGTCGTCCAGACTGGGGCCCATACCTGTGATGACTCGAATGGTGCTGACTCATTCCTCTTCTCCTCGTTGGATCATCCTCTTCACTATAATTTCCTTCACTAGCCGAGTCTTTCGTGATTTCTGGAATCCCTGGGGGAGATTTACCAAAAATACTTTTCATTCTTACGTCTACGAAGAGTGAAATTAATTTTAGAAGTAAATAAATCACTGAGTTAAGGAGTAATTCATCCATTCGCAGATAAATACCTTGTGGAGCTAATAAATAAATTAATGAATAGTAAATTGGTGGGTAGAATCGGTGAAGGAGGATAGAGATAAAATGATAAAACAGAGAATTTTAATCTCACCCATTTGCGATAAACTCTGGCCCGGATATATCTCCTTATCAGACAAGTTCTCATCAGTCTCAATAATAATTTGTCCATGGGCATCAACCCTGGGTGGTCCATGTCTTCTCATGTGCGATGGCATCGGTGCACCGGGATACCTCTGTCCCGTCTGCATTCTGTGATGATCCTGCATCATTCCCTGCTGCATCTGTCCTTGATCCATGTGACCTCCATGCACCATAGCACCACCTCTCAGCACATTGCAGGGTATTGCTGTTGCACAGCTGTCACCTGACTGGCTCTCACGACTCTTAGTTCTCACAGTTATAGCTTTTGGATTCAATCCCATCAATTTGTGAATATCAACAAGTGCATGATCACCAGTTGGACTGTCAACGTCAGTGACCTTCTTGCCATCCGCGTAAACCGCATAACCGGTGACGGCCGAACCGTTTAGGGCAACAGGCTGCCAGGTCACTAGCAAAGTGCCGTCCTGCGGTCCAGCCTCCACCTGAATAAGGAAATTAATAAAATGAAATTTCACTGAATACTCACCCCTCATTTCGACTTAAGGAGATCCAAAATAAAACGCTAACTCGATGGATAAATCAACACCCAACAGGAGCATTTGGACCAATTGGTTTCACTACTCTAGGGGCTAGGTAAAAATAAACTGAAAAAATGATTGAATTAAAAAAGTCAGTGGAATAATTAATTGGTAAATAATGTGGAACTCCGAACGCTAGAATCTCCTTAAAATTCAAATCTACACCTACAATGAACCTTTTAAAATTTATCCACTGCCCTCTGAATGAACATTTGACAAAAGCATTACATCTACATCAATGACATGATCGATTGAAAAAAAAAATGGGTAATAAATAATTCTCAACCTGGATATCGACGGGTGGATCCGGCAGGCCCTTTTGGAGGGTCTTGAAATGTACGTGGCAGGCAAGATTATTGTTGGACTGGGTGCTTTGGTCCTCGAAGTGTGTTGCTCGTAGATTCTTGGCTTTAACAGTGACACGATAAATCGTTGATGGTGAGAGGCCAGTTATAGTGTGACGATAAACGCCTGGTTTAACTGTCCTAACTTCAACATTGTTAACGCACACAACGTGCTGGTGATTGCTGTTACTGGGTAGCCACGAGATAACTGCACTCGTTGCTGTTACATGCGATGCTTTAACTGCTGTTGGACCTATTGCAACGTCCTTACCGATCACCATTGTACAAGCAGCATCACGAGATGTTCGTCGCGAATGAGTTACTGAACGAACACTTATTCTGTGAGGCTGCAATGAATTATTATAGCACATTAATCGTTATCATTCACTTATTCTTTCGACAGATAAATAACTAACCCGAGTTGAGTCAACTCCTTCCACAAGGGCTCGTGTTCTTTCAGTAGCTTTAACCGTCACCTTCAGCACCCCATCAACGTAGACGTGATAAGACTCGAGCTGGTGGGAATTATCTGGTGCTGTCCAGTTGATAAGAACACTCTTGTTGAGTTGTCGCTCGAGGGTGAGATGCTGGGGCGCCGGTACTAGGTCCGAAAACAGGTAGACTTCTTCAGGAGGAAAAAGACAAGACAAAGCCTAGCTGTAGCTAGATACCTTCTTCTAATCTAATCACTAAAGCGAGCGCCTACGAGCCATCGAACAACTCAAATACACGGGAACAATGAGACATCGATTTATTGTTCTTTGGTGATTTTTTTGTCAATCTGCAAGGACACATCTCACTGCTGTTTGTCAAATGTGAGGAAAATCAAAAAGACGTCAAGCTAGTGGGGATTGCATGCCCTTGGCCTGGCCCATCATCCTCTCGACATCTCTCACGTCGAGGATTCGGAGAATTAACGAGTACCTAATTACTTATACTCAATCCATAACATTAATCACTCTGGAAAAACGTGCAATCAGGTAAAACTCCAGCACAAATCAGGAGTTCGTGTCTAGAGGAGTGTCCACTGAGAAAAAAATATTCCTCACTACATGATATATCAATATATTTTTTTTGAAATGTTAATCTTCCAAATCTGTTTAAAAATTATTAAATTTCGATGTATAATCGCGTTGATAACAAAATAAAATGTGAATGAATTAATTTTTTAATCATTTTTTTCCGAATATTGGAATTTCTACGCAAATTTATGTCTTGAGTCCTAATAAATTTATAAATAATTTGTTCTCAGTGGAAACAAGCAAGTGGACAATTTTTTCCATATATTCGTTAACAAAATCGTCCAGTTGTACATCCGTGACATTCAATTCCTCAAAATATATTATATTTCGTCACTATGCCATTGAAATTTGAAAATTTCCTTTCCGCCGAGTGACGAATATTTTTTTTCATTCAGTCTATTCGGTCGTAACGCATTTCCTCACTGACTAATTAACAACAAAATCGTAATCACGAATTTCTGGCGGTGCGACTCCGAGTTATACCAACCTGGTGGCTCCTGTTCGTCCTCATCCGCGATGTTGTCCAGCTCTGCGTAGGCGGATAATTCAGTGTGACGATTTCTGTTGCCCTCCTCGAGTGCTGCCAACTCCAGATCGATATCCTGGAGGTAGCACTGAAAATTAATATGTTAACACAATTTTAAACGTGATTTAGTTGCGGCAATTTTCCAATTATCCGGGGATTAAATTCTCGAGGAGGTGGAAAAATAGATTCTCCTCGGGAAACTAGTGATTTCACCTCAAAACCTGCACTAAATAATAATCGAAATAATTTATCAGAGGAATTCCTATAATCATTCGTAAAATCATGACAACAACAACTCAAATAAATCGAGTTATCGCGGAATATCCCTGAATTCACCAGAGATATATCTCATATCATTGACGATTTAAATTCTGAGAGGGTGAATTTTCTGGAGATGTTGTCTTTGGAGGATTACGAGGTAGAGATTAAATCGAACGAACTGCATAAAGCACTCAAGGAGTTAGAGATTTTTATCCATTCTAATGGATTTATGAGCTGTTGCATTGAGAGGATGTAAAATGTATTCTCACTTGAGGGATATTCGTGGAGGCGGCATCGTCGACGTCCCTGAGGCCTAGGACAGCCTGATGAAACTCGAGGAGATCATCGCCGACGAGTTTCTGCACGAAATTAGCTGGAACGAGTCCCCTACGTCCGTCGAGGGTCTCAGCATCAAGGATTCCGTCCTCATCGGGTTGTCCCCACACCAGGAGATAATCACCTCCCTGTACCGGCAGCTCAGCCTCGGGATTTTCATTGGGGGAGTGCTGAAAGGGCTCGTAACTGAATCTCGCGATGTAAACGTAGCACCTCCCCTTTCCTGGAATGTCCAGCATGTCGACCTGGCCCTCTGGCAGTATTGTCTCGTTGGTGAGACGATCCAGAGGATTAGTCAGAATGCCTGTGGGTACCTTTGGCATTTGCCTGGGACCCAGGAAGTGATGACCTGGAGTTGGTGTCGCTGTTGGGGAGCTTGCTCGCAGACTCTGTTGAATCTGATGGATTATCGCCTGCTGGTGGAGCTGATTGGCCTGTGATTGGGCTGACAGCTGTTGCATTGCCTGGAGGGGGTCACCTATCGCTTGGAGGAGACCGCTTGATGATGAACCTGTCGATAATTGATCAATCGATTTCTTCAGATTTTCGTTTGACTGAAACCCGACCTCTTCTACTCTCTAATTCCACCATTCTATTTTTTGATCTTTCAGCGAAACCACTCGACTCAAGAAAAAAATAGTCAAGTGCTTTTTTATAGCCCATTAAATTTCCAACAAAAAATACTTTTTCACTTTTTCTCGTAAAATCAATAGATTTCGCGATCAATTGGCTTCAACAAAAACAGGGAATTCAGGCGCTAGAGGCAAAGTGTAAAATGTCCACTTTTTCTTTAGTAATTTTTTATGAATATCGTGGAATCTGAGAGAGATAGCGAAATTGTTGTAGAATATTTTTTGTAGGGCGGAATGAGAGCTACAAAAAAGATGGTGACACAATTTTTCGTATCTCTTCTGTATTCCAAGATATTTCTCGAGAATTCTTTACACATCATTTTGTAAGTAGTAAATAGCAGCTCTCACCTGAACTGACGCCAGATGTGCCAAAAGCATTGGTCCCCACTGTTGAATACGTCGATGGAGTCGTGGAAAATGTGCTTTGTACACTCGAATAAGGAAGCATAGGCTGGGGAGTACTGGTGAACACAGCAAGTGCCGGATGGTACGATGATGATGAATACGGCGTCAACGTCGCCAGAGTAGTTTGTGGTAAATTCGTCTGGGTCACCGTGTAGTTGTGCTGACCCAGTTGATGAGCGGTAGCATAACTACTGACTCCAGATGTGAATGTACCATTTGGATGAGACGTCAGTGATAAATTTTGATAATTCGTACTCTGCAAGATGATTTTTCCATTTAAGAACATTTTTCCATTCATCACTCGTTAAATTCCATTCAATAATAACATCAAAACCTCTTTTTATTTTCTCCGTCCAGATGAACCAATAAAATTTTATGAGAATTACCATTGAGGGATTTCAAGCAGTTAAATTTTTATATCTCTAGTTTTTATTAGAAAATCCATAATGATAAAATAAGATAAACAATTGATACAATTGGATTTATCATCTTGTATTAATGATATTCACCTGGCTGCCATTGAGTTGATAATTCTGTCCAGCCTGTGCCGTTTGGCTGTAATGAGGAATGACAGTTTGACTTGTTGAACCGAGATACGAGCTAGACGAAGGCAATTGTTGTGCCTGCGTTGCTGTTGCAGGCTGCAGTGGTTGTTGATACGTTTGCGTATGTGGATAACTCTCCTGGTACTGATTGCCAGTGAAGTGGCTGTGCGTTTGTTTCTGTTGTGACTGGCTCTGAGAGGGTAGTGCACCCTGTGAATGAGAGCTGGATAATTCACCGTGTGGTTGATGTCCATGGGAGTGTTGCTGCTGATACTGCTGGAGCTTCTGCTGAAAGGCTGGCTGAGATTGGCTCGTTGACAATGACGGGGCCGGTGGGATTGGCTCGTTGTAGTGATATGGTGGTCCATTTGGTGTTAATGGTGGACAACCCGGCATCAGGGGTGTCAGGGGCATCGGCGAGCCTGCGTACTGCTGGCAGCCACAAGATATTCATTGTCCAAGTAATAAAGGATTATAAATCCCCGAATATCTCCCAATCTAACAGTCATACCCAAATTTACCATCGAACATATTTTCCAGAGCGGAATGAGAGCTACAAAAAATGTATCGCAACGATTTCTCTCTTTCTCTTAGATCCGGAGATATTACCGAAAAACTCAGCCATCAGTTGAATTAACTCAATTGATTTGTGGCTTTTATTGTTTCATTATTTATTCATATTGGGCGTAATTGGAAATTGTAATTTTTTATGGTGACTGATAAAATTGAAGGAACTTGAAGGGAATTCAGGGAAAATTAATGGGATGTTAATGCGATGGTAGAATTGAGAGAAATTTCGCAATTGGAAATGAAATGTTGATTTTTTTGAAAACTCACGTGGGAGGATTGAGAGGTCATTCCTAGGTTCAAGGCGTGAGGATGTGGTGGATGTTGATGGGCCAAGTTTGATAGGTTCTCGGCACTGGACCTGAGGATACCCGTCGCTGACGGCTGCTGTGTCGTCACCGTACCTCTCGCCTCCAGCTCGTGGAGAATCCTGCCACTGGTTATTTTAATTTAGAAACAAACCAGTGAGAAATGATCTCTCTATTTTACCTGCTGTCCTGCTCGATCTTAGCTATGATCCTGTCAATCTCTGATCCAGCTGGTGGCCAGGTTGTCCCAGTGATACTCGATGTGTGCGATGCACTTCCTGGGATACGACTTCTCGCTCGTCTGACGTCCGTCAACTCCAGGGACAACTCCTCGTGCTTCACAATCTGTAATTCTTTCTTCTTCTCCAGCTCTCGTATTTTTGACTGGAGTGCCTCCACGGATTCAGGCCCCTGGTATCTACCTGCTATCTTATCCCGCAGCTGGTTCTGTGCTTCGGCGTGCTGACGCTCCAATTCTCCCCTGCGAGCCTCCGTCTCGCGCATTTGCTGATTAATTTCCCAGATTCAATGACAGATTTTTTATAATCTCTTATAATTCCCTCAGCCCCATAATAAAAATGCCCGACAAATTTTTGCCACCGAAATTCGCATTTTGGTAATTTTTCTGGAAAATTATCGATGGGATTGACGTGAAAAATCATGACGTCTTTCAATTTTAGAGATTTCACTTGAAAATTGCATGTGTCATTAAACAATGACAACAGAAAAATCATTGAGATTTTGATTTCGTGTCAGTCATCGAACGAGTGAAGAAAATTCACTATTTCCACCGGAAAAATAGGATCGTACGATTTTCTGGGGGAAATCCTGACAGTGCAACTCTTTAATAAATCCGACATTTTGCTTCTGGGGTTTTTCCGGTGATGAAAATTGTCTGCGTGGCATTAATAAGGGAAATTGGGTGGTGGAACTGAATCATTATGAAGGAAATACGCCGCCAGCAGCTTGTGGACGTTTTTCCGTTTGTTTCTATGACTTTTTTCTCAAATGTCATTGTTTTATCTAGTTCTAGATTCATTGCGAGTCCTCGATAATTGGTCTCTTGGTCTCTCTAGATTAATCCCCGATTCTGAACAATCCCGATTTGTTATCGATTATTCCTATTGAATTTTTCTTATAATTTAATTTTTTATTCCCCGAAATAAATTGAATGGAAAAATCACATCTTGAGAAACAGAAAACACGGTTTTCCATTTTTCTTTCAAGATCAATATTCTCCCAATTTCTCGAATTGTTACCTAATGATGCCTTTTAACAAATACATTTAAATAAATTTATTAATTACTGCATTTATTCGTGCGCAGATACAAAAGAATTGAAATTGCAACGGAAAATTGGGCGACAGAATTTTCGTCGATGACAGGCGTAAAATTGGAATGAATTAATTTCAGTATTGACTCATCATTCCCGGTGTACCGGTAATTTATGAGTCTTCTAGTGGATGGGAAGAGATATTTACCACCAGGATGGTTTCCATCTCTTTGTCCTGCATGACGGCGTTCCTCCCGGAGGTTCCGCCGAGGACAGCCCCTGTACCCAGGTAATGAGTGGCCTGAGGTGCCGTGGACCCGCCACCTCCAACGCCACAGCACTGAAACAGAGGCTCTAGGTGTTTTTCAAAATCATCAAGAGAATTTAAGAAAAAAAAAGCGCAATTACCTCTAATTATTAGCATGCGACAATTTAAATGGATTGAATGAGTTTTTTTTTGAGAATTTTCTTGTGCAGAATTTTTTATTCACAGCGCATGGAAAATAATTTCTACCAAGTGGTTTTTCATCTTTATGACAAAATTTAATCGATAATTGATGACACACATCCGCCTGAGAGAGAAATATTGAGGAAATGTTAGGTCTACGAGCTACACTATCGCCTTTTTCCTTTACAAATTTATTCACAGCGACTTCTACATTCGATTAATCGTTTTTAATCGTTTCTGTGGGATTCTGTACTTTACCACTACTCATTAATATGATCACTAGGTTTTTTCTAATTAATTAGCCGAGAGTTGTGGAGATCATTTGGATTGCGTGAATTGATTCGAATCATTTGCGTCAGTGATTCGAAGGGGAATTCACCGACGAGGTAGAGGTGGGAATATCTCCGGAGTTTGGGGAGATAGAGAATTTTTTGAGAGGACTTTTTTGTGGAGCGAAACGAGAGCTATGAAAATGGTTCTCACGAGTATTTTCATATCTCTCGCCGTTTCGATGATATTCTTGAAAAAGTTCAGACGTTTTTAGTCTGAAATTTTTGAAATTAAATGGAAAGTCTCTTTTCGTCGGGGATTCCCATTCTCTCCGCTAATAATTCGTTCCACGAATTTTAGGTGATCTTCGGGGTCTGACCTTGTATACCTTGTAGGTATATGAAGTGCCGAACGACATATCGAACGGCTCGTCACCCCTCGGCCCGTGATGATCGTTGTTCGCGGATTTTTAATAACAGACTGGGCTGAAAATAAATAATCAAAAAGGAAAAACTGCATCGAGGGACATCGAATTATTTTCCCTAAACAACAGTCAAACTCCCGACTCAAAAACCTGAAAATTTTCGCTGTAATTATCCCCTCGAAAAATTAACTCGACACTCGTTAATTTAATTAGCAGAATTAATTTTTCTCAGCGCCCTCCCTCCCTTCCCACACCACCCACTAATTATCACGGCAATTCCACGGTTCGTCAGTCCATAAAAATAATTTTTCACGACGACAGTGAGAATTAAATCGACAGAAAACAATAATTAATAATTTAATAACAAACTCGTAAAAGTACGGACAAGTCCATTTCGACAATCGCCAAGTTTTCCGTGAATATCTCAGAATCCAGAAAAGATACAAAAATTTTCATCACCACCTTTTTTGTAGAACCAATCAAGTGCTCCAACAATTGTCATTACAAAAAATCGTCTATCTCACTCAGATTCCCGGATATTCCGGCAAAAAGGCTCAACGATTCAATTAATCTCCGAATTCTTACGAGATCGCTCCTTAATTGCGCCGGGTAATTCGATAATTAATCAAATCGGCTCAGAAAATTGGAATACAATTTTTCCTGGGGCTCGACTCATGGCTGATGAATTGAAAAATTTTAATGCATCAAGGTGGAATGAAAATATTGTCCGATTAACGCGGAGCCGTTACCACTGAGTCGCGCACATCGAGTTGTACTACTGTAACCATCCATCTCCGTAATTACAGTACATGCATGACCGAGAATAAAGAAATAGAAGAGAACATTGAAATACTATAACATACAATCGTCTTGTTTGTTCTCGTCATTCCGGTCGTTATTGTCGTCAGAGGATAATCAAGTGCACATGATTCACTCGCTGTCATCGCGTGATTTATTAATGAGTAATTACCATCAACAAATTAATTAATTCCACAAACCAATATCCCCGAAACGCTCCTGAAAAATCCTCAGAAATATACGAAACATAATAAATAAATAACATAAATAAAAAATGGAATATGACATGACGAAATTAGAGTGAAAATATCCGCAATTGGGGCAATTATTTATTTAGACAATCCTTCCTCCATTTGTCCTTGAATTACTGATAAAATACCTCCGCAAATTTAAAATATGATCTTGAAAACAATTTTTCATACTTTTTAGGTTTCAATTCTGTTCGTTTACTGGCGTTTGAGAAAGGCTTCAACTGACGGATGTAGAGAAGACTTTAGACAATTCAAAAGGATTGAAGTAAATTTTTCCCGGAGTGACTCGACTGTTCATCAAGCCCCAGACATTTTCCTTTTCTCCAAAATCTCATCACTCGTGTTACCATTTTTTTTTTATTCACCGGGTAAACCAGAAAGAGGGCATGACACACTTGGAATCCCCGAGGCTCGAAGGGAGTAATCGACTCGCTGAGATCGATCGGCCCTTCGAGATTCCCCGAAAATCAACCCCGACGTAAAAACGATTGAGTCAGGAAAATCCCTTGAGTTTACCACCGGGAAATTCCGGGGTTAAACGTCGACCGATGGAGATTAGCCCAGAGCATTCGTACACGACTGTCTAAAAACAGTTTCTATTTAAAGTCCAAACGGGATGATACTGAGGTCAAGAAAAACGAAAGGTAACCGCAAAAATCGGCGGATTAAAAAAAAATCGTTATCCCCCTAGAACCACCAGATAAACCCGAAATAAACGGACAAAAGAGGAAATAAAATGGCAAAGGCCAGATGACATTTTAAAATCGTATAAAAAATAAATTATACCTGCAAAAAAATCGGTAAAAAAATTGGAAAAATGTATTTCCCGGGTGTAACCTCTGGAAAAAAATCGGACTGATCGATTTTTCTTCAGAGAAATGGGGAAAATGGGGAAAAATTGTTGAAGAACCGGGAGTTTCACTAGATATTTTACAGTAGAAGATATAAATGGTTAAGGGAATTCTAGGGGTTCGTAGTGGGCCCTGAATGGTGACGGCACTGCTTATTGATCTCAACCACCAAAGATACGTCGAGTATACATATACGAAAGTCTAGCCGGGCGTCACATACCACTTTGCGTGCCACCACCGGCCACATCAAGTCGCACCCACTGGCCAAACATTATTCTCAACAAATGAATGTCATCATCTCAAGAAAAAAATGGGATGGGAACTGAAGATCCACCCCCAGGGTGCGAGAAAATGTCGAACGAGAGGAATAACGAGTGATAGAGGTAGCACTCCGGGCGGCCATGTCCCTCGTCTGGGGCGAAAGCCTCATCTCAACATCCATCACACCGAAAAACAATAACCGATATGAAAAATAATAATAAAAATAACCGAAGAAAATGACTATTTAAAATGCCAGAGCCAGTGCTCCATGAATCTCTCACACACTAATTAATAATAATCATTAAATAAATGGCACTCACGATGACGGAGTCGAAGGGATTGTGGCAGGCCAGGGCTGCTGCTTTGATGTCAAATGATAATCCTCTACAATGATTCGTAAAAAAAATGTGATCTCCACTTGTGCTCCAGAGGTTGATTCTCCCTGGAGTTGGTGATACCAGTGACTCAGATCAGCCAGAATAACAACGAAAAAGAAAAAAAAAAATAACTAAAATAAAGTAAAATAAATCACTTCACTTCCCTTAGACTTTTTCCCCCAGGTATATTCACAACCTCACAAGTGCAATCATGTTGGGGGGAATTTATGGTGTGCCGTCTGGAGGGCCGCGGAAAAAAGGCAGGGCCGATGGAAACTCGTCGGGTGGCCTCTCTCACGGGTTTGTGTGACGATCCGTTCCCCGCGGTGTGTAGAGAATATATGGGGAGGGGGTGATACGAGGGGATGGGAGTTTGTAACGGGTGGGCGGTGGGCTGTTGGGTGGGTTTGGCGAAGAGGAGGATGGAAAATCAACGGGTATACGCGAGCAAACGAAAAAGCTCTCCGTCAACGCACATCGGAGACGATGCGACACCTACAATTCAACCCCGTGAAAACCACCAGTCGGCGCGATTTTCAACCCCTTGTATTGTAGAGGGGGGATGCGCCAGTGGTTCTTGGAATTGTGCGCGATGGAGGGGTGAAATCTGAAGGCTGTTATATCGCCTGCCGCCGGATATGGGTCACTCGTCGATCGATCAGAGTGGGAGAGCTCCCGGCCCACACTCTCAAAACTGTACAACTTCTTTCAGTGAAGACCAATCAATAACACAACCCCTCGCAATCTCCGATCATTTCCCCATAAACCCCATTTTCCCACCCCCAATCACCGATCATCCCCCACCGCATTTTCAAAATTTTTATTAGTTTTATTATCTTAGTTGTTTTTACTTTTTGAGTTGTCCGGTGGATTCTATGGGGAACGATTTATTTTTGCATTTAGCAATTTTGGGGATCGATGTAAATATCGATCAGTAATCGATTCATTGATTTTTGAGAATTCCTCTTGGGGCCTTCCCCGCGTTTTGGGGGAGGTATGTAGGGGGTATGTGGGGGTTGTAATTGGGTGTGTGCGAACATGGATCTAGGGGTTTTTTAAAGGACTCTTAAATAAATGGGGAAGGTTAATAATTATGAAGGAATAATCAATGAAAATCAATGAAGTAATGTGATAAATGATAGATAAAAAATCATTCTTGAAATACAATTTTATTTTCTAATTTTGAGGAATTAACAGGAGTGAGGCAATTTGATTATTAATTTTATTCAGTTTATCCGTAATTGCTGATTAATCTCCGAAACTATGGATTTATTACAAAAACAGTAGAACACTTTTTTCGAGCGAATGAAATCCCCGATAAAAAAGATCTTTTCAATTTTCATCGTAAAATCGTTAATTTCCGAGATATGGTGCTAGAAATGAAAAAAAAAATCCACATCTCGCGAGACAATAATTTCCCATCAATTTCCCAACAAAAAAATTTTGATTCGTCGTCTCAAATGACTGATTAATTTCGATAATTAGCAATACGGAAAAAGGTGATCGGCTAATTAGTGATTACGGGGGTCTGACGGTGGCATAATTTGTCACAGCGAATGAGAAAAATCAATTAGCGACATAATAACTGAACAAAGGAGCGAGGATGAATGCGCTAGTGACTGCTAGTGATATTTTCGATGGGGGGACAACGCATGCGTGATATTTGAAATGTGTTGGGAGGGGGGTTGTAGGGGGGTGGGAGTCCCTCGGGAGGTGATAAGGGCGCAGGCGTCAAACCCAGACCCCGGGGGAGGGTACGTAGGTGGTGGACAAGTACTTTACCTGCCTCTTCATGCCGTGTGACGTCATTGACATAGGGGGTTGTTTGACGTGCCCTCTCCGTCTGTTCGACGGTGGCCCAGGGGGTGAACTGGCCGGTTCGTACGTCTCGGCTTATCAATGAACGTACGTTCAGCTTCCGGCGCAAGCCTCTACTATTCACTCACACCAAAATACATTTTTTAACAATCCACCAATCCCCAATATTCAATAACAATTACGCCATCCACTCTGATCGATATTGCATAAAAATCACCGATAAACCACGCGAATTACGCAAGCGAAAATTATTTCTGAATTTTTGTAGAAATACGAGGAAAATCATAAATTTTCTGATATTTTTTTTTATATTTTTTTTATAAACAAAATATGTTTGTCTCATTTATTATTATTGAATATATAATTATTGTTTAATGTGGAAAAACTCATTGAAGTGTCATTATCATGCCGTCAATATTTCCGGCGATTTGCATTTCACTGGTGGAATTTTTCCCTCTCCATCATAAACCGAAAAATGTAAAATCACCTCGCGATGAATGAACCGACGCAATCACTTTCCCTTCCGTAATTTTCCTCCGACCTCTCAATGTTTTCCTTCGTCTCATAGTTGCGTAAATCTGATTATACCCGTGCAATTCGACTACAACCGGTTTTCCGAACGATCCCATCGTCATTTGGTGTCAGTCACTGAGCCCCAAAGGACATTAAGTCAATCATTGGATCAATCATTCCGATTGGCATTCAAAAATCGACAAGAATTGACATACCCTGGTGCTCTAGCAGTTAAACTATCGAGACTATTAAATCTCCCGACGATTATCGACTATCAATTGACGTGAAAAGTTTATGAAGATCGAGAATAGACCGGTGTAAGACGGATAGTCAGACATTATTCAGTGGAAATTGTACAGTCGAAGGTAAATGCAATCGATGAATCGATCAGTTCAATTCCGATGAACATCAATCTAAAAAAGACCTACCTCCCTGCTAAAAACCGATTTCCTCAATTTTCAAAAAAAAAAAAAAAAAAAAACAAATACCAATTTGATTGATTTAATTAAAATCATCCCAAAATATTCGTTTAAATTCCCGTAATTTTCCGAATGGCGAGATAATCGCGTCGATCATTCTAATTAAAAATCAATGATTATTTGATTATTTAGGTTTCTGTATTGTTTTTGAGTGAATAAAATATGGAGTTGGGCCACACGATTGAGGACTCGAGAAAAAAATATCCCGAATTAACGAAGGAATTGCTGACGGAGTTGCGAATGTACTGCGAGGAAAGGGGAATTGCACAAGTGCCAGATGAGAAACTCGCGTTGTTTGCCCACAGCTGTTACTTCGACCTGGAATCGGCTAAACGATGTATGAATGTGTACTACAAGCTACGTTCAACAGTCCCAGAATTTTTTGCCAACCGTGATCCCACCTCGGATGACCTACAACATTCTTTGAAGGCACTGTGAGTTTGTTATTAAAATCCTTTAAAAAAAAAATATATATAACGTCAAGGAACTTCAGCCGAGGAACTTTAGCAATTTATTCGCAAGAGGAAATATGAAAGATTTTAAAAAACCCTCACCGAGATCCTTTTCTCGTTAACATCAGACCGTTTTCATTTTATTTAATCAACTTTATTTATTTCTCCCATTTCCGATGTTAATTATACACGTCGCGCTTGGTTAATTAACTTTCTCGAGTTGAGATACTAAATAACTAATTAAATAACTCATTTATCTTCATTAAGAATCAGGGATTGCTATCTGTTTTATTTAAACTTTTCAATTTTTTATTGAGTTTTATTTAATTTCATTTGGATTACGAAGAAATGGAATTTCGATTTTTTTTATTGGTGCCTGGAAAATAATTTTCAGATACAATTTTTGTTAAGAATAATTCTCTTGCAAGTGGAGTGCTGCCATTGATATTTTATTAAGTTTGACAATTGTCAGAAAAGAGTTGAAATCTCGAGTGAAATAAAAGGTGAATTGAAGTGACATGTCAATGTGTCAGTGGCAGTGTCTCTTATCACAATCTCGATATCTTTCGCAGTCAATTCGTGGGTCTACCGAAGCCAGATAGAAATGGCAATCGAATAATCTTCCATCGACTCGCGGATTATCGACCAAGCCAGTACATATTCAATGATGGAGTCAAGTTACTGCAAATGTCGGTGGATGCGAGTTTGTACACGGAGGGCTGCACTCCGGGTTATATTTTTTTATTTGACATGCAGGGGGTACGATTGGGCCACTTGACAAGACTATCGATAACGAGCATTCGACGATTCTTCGAGTATCTCCAGGAGGGACTGCCAGTTAGATTGCGAGGAATTCACGTACTCAATGCTGTCTGGTTCATGGATAAAGTACTGGGATTGGTTCGACCTTTCATGAAACGAGAGCTCTTCGAAATGGTGACTAATTATTTATTAATATCATCATTTAATTATAATTATCCGAAAGAAAAGAATTTGTGAAAATTCGCGGAAAACCCGGAAACCAACCGACACCAGGTAAAGACGTGTAATTGTCTCGAAGATAGTAATTGCGTTATTATTTTTTTTTTTATGTTGAATTACTCGAATTATGCAATTATATTATTATACAATTTTACCTCGTCCTCGTTGGCACTGTAATTAATTAACAATTAGGCTTTCAACGACCCTTTGATGGGGAGGAATCAATGGTGACACTCCTCGGATTGTTTCGATTACTCAGTACTCCGGGTAATTCTTGGGGAATTACTAATTGCTGGTTACGTACGTAGTCTGGGCAATTATCGAATTCCGTGTTTATTTTGTGTTTAGCTCCATCTCTACACGGGAGATGTGTCTGACATCTACGAGCACATTTCCCCTGAGTGTCTGCCGAGTGATTTTGGAGGAGATTTGGAATGTCTCGAAACACTTCATGGTAATATTTTATTTAATTTAACCCCATGTCAAATGAATTTTATCAGACGCGCAATTATTTAACTGACGGATTCAATCTTATTCTGATATTACTGCCAATTGTTCCTCAGTTTTTTCTGAATATCTCGGAATCTATCGGAGATTATCAAAATATTATAATGATCTTTTTTGTAGTCAACACTCTGTTCTATAAAAAAGGTCATTATGGGTAATGCGCTATCTCGTTTGGATTTCGCGGAAATTCAAAAGATGTGATGTACATGGGGATGAATTTTTTTTTTTTAGAGAAACACAGTCGTAGATTGCACGACCTGAGGGACTACTTCCTGGAGGAGGAGCGGTTGTATCGCTCCTGGGGATCTCTACACACTCTGCCTCCCACTCCTGAACCTCGGGAAAAATGAAAGAATGAAAATTTCCCAGAAGTTCGGGGGAATTAGTTATCTCCCGTGAATTGTCACTGTTTTTTTAATTACTGGTTTTTGCAATGTTTGTCTAACTTTTTTTTATTGTTATCACTCGTTGATTTAGGAGCCGAGACGAGGGACAAAATTATTTCATTCCATTTTAGGAGAGGCCATTTCCTCTTCCGGAATACATTTATGGCTGAGTTATGGACGCATAAAAACGTTATGACAATTTTATCACGAGTCGATCATACCGAATGAAAGTACTGATAAGATTTTTTTTTATTCCCTCCTTTAATTCCCATCAAATTATAATTTTTATCGAATTCATTGCACTGGTGATCAATAAATAATTACTACAGCATTATCGATTTTTTTTCAATATAAAAATATTAATTGCTGATGTAATAGAGAATCGGAATTGTAATTGGAATAATTAAATAATGAAGACCGGGAAAATAAAATAAAATTAAATATAATAAGACAGAATTTGGGAATCTGGGAAGAAGTGAAAAATTTGAAATCTCGAAAACATTTATTTTTATGGATGGGGTGGGAGTAAACCCCCGATATCTCCATTTCAAATATTTACCGATGAAAAATAAATAATGCATGGCACGTTGTGCAGTGGCTGAGCTGGGGCAAAACAGGAGGGTAACAATCACAGGGTGAAATTGGATTACCCAGGACGTGGGGTAAAGAAAATGTATGAATTCGTAAATACAGGAAAAAGTGGTTTTCCGCACTAACGAACGAGCGCATGACCTGCGCAAATTGCATCAGGAAACGGTGGATGGTACATTTAAAAAGTCAATTCAATTGAGTAATCCATATATAATTAAATAATTCAAGTAATTTCGGATATTCAATTATCTAATTATCAATTCATCTCATAAATTGTCATTTCCATTGTAAACTGAAATCTAGATTTAATTATCAATTATCTTCATTCACATTTGAAATCAAATTTGACAGAAGTAATACCTCGAAAAATTAATTAAGACAATTAATCCGCATTGAAAAAAATTTTTTTTTTATTGAGAATATTTTTTTTTATGTGGAATTAGGATGAACGTGGCAAAATGATTTTCTCCACTAATGAACGAGTGCAGGACCTGCGCGGACTGACGGGAAAGTGAAGAAAGGGGGTGGGCGGGGGTATTGAGGGGGAAGTGGGTGGTGGGAGGGAGTTGTGGTGGAAATGTTCGTGGCTCGCGCTGGTTGGATGGATTCGAGAGGCCGATGTTGCCCCGGCTGGTAGTACTCCAAACTCAGTCATGATTCTCATATTCACTGGACAATAGAATAATTTTTCTCGGTTCATCAATGAGATCTCTCCATTTCTAAACTTCAAAAATTGAAAATTTGTTCGTTATCCGTTTTTTAAGAATTGATTTTCATTCGATAAACTGTCATGGGGTCTGTGGTACCGGTTCTGATTGTCGTTGGAGCTGTCCTGGGGCTCGGATTTGCTGAGGATTGCAAGGGCTGTGTGCCATTGGATTCTTATTCATTCGATAAGGTATTGTTTAAACAAAAAGTGTATAAATATCATTAGAAAAACTTGGGGAGGAATTGTGCTGCATCTGTGAGATCATTACAGTTTTCATATCGTAAACAATGCATCATCCGATGAACTTACTGATTTGTTATTTAAATTTATTATTGAATCCGAAGATATGGAGTTTCAAATTTATTTCTATCTATTTATCTCCGGAATAATTAGAATATAAAATTAAATAATCAGTGCAGGCACGAAAAATAAATGCGGATTCACTCACAAATCATTTTTAATCATCGTAAAGAGAATATTTATTTACGATCTCATTGGGGATCCGGGACTATTTTTCTCGCAGGTAATCTCGAAGTTCAGGGCAGCAATTGTGAAATTCGATGTGGCATTTCCGTATGGGGAGAAGCACGAGGCATTTGCGAACGTGGCTGCAGAGATCCGAGACACCGAGGACCTTATCCTCGCGGAGGTTGGTGTGAAGGACTACGGGAACAAGGATAATTCGGACCTGGTGAAGCGTTTTGATATCGACAGGAAGGATTTCCCCGTGATCATGCTGTTTAGCCAGGGGCAGAGTCAGCCCGTCAGGCTGATGGACGGCAATGAGCCGGATTTCACTGTCGAGCACCTCAAGAGGCTGATCAGATCCAAGGCTGGCATCTACGTCGGCCTCCCTGGATGTGTAGAACAGCTGGACAGGCTCGCCGAGGATTTCAGAACGGCTCAGGAGAAGGAACGACAAGTCAGTGGATTCTCCAATTTTTTTTATCGAACTCCACTTACGACTCTAAAATTTAATAAATAATTTAAATAATATTATACATCCTCAAAATTAATAATCATTATTGTTCAGAGGATTCTTCGGGGGGAGATTGAAGGATGAGAATGATAATCGAAAATGTACTCGTTGAAATGGCGAATTCATTTTTTTTTCAGGAAATTCTGAAGAAAGCTAAAGTATTCCAAGAGACTGTTCCCGAGGAGCACAGGTCAGCAGCCCAGGTCTACGTGAAGATGATGGAGAAAATCCTGGAGCGTGGGGATGTCTTCGTCCAAAGTGAGCAGACGAGGATCGAGGGTCTGCTGAAAGGGAAATTGTCGGACGAGAAAAAGCGTACGATGGAGAAAAAACGGAATATTTTGCTGTCGTTCCATCACAGGGACGAGCTCTGAGGTAGCAATCAGGGGACGATGAACATAATCAGGGTGAACGCACTGTTGACTTGAATTTTCACGAGCTCACTGATCAAGATTTTTCTATTCACTACCATAAATTACTGTTCACGTTCCAGATCTCATTTACTTCAGATCGAAAACCAAAAGTCTGAGTTGTTGTCACAAATTTATGAATACAATTACCAATAATAATTAATTAATTAAACAATTAATCAAATAATTCATTAATTGATCAATTGCTTGATTGAGAAATTATGATCATACAATTGAAATATCGAGTATTCGATATCCAACGATTGAAAAACTTCTGTAAAGTGTGATCCAAGTACATTCGTCTCGTCGAATGAATTTGCTGTAAACTAAGAAAACCTGCAAGTCTGTTGATTAATTATATAATTTGAATAAATAACTGCCCACAGTTTCAAATATTAAATTTATTTCTCCATTGGAAAAAGAAAACTGCAATTGCATACGGCACACTTATAAAAAGAAATCACAGATAATCATGCAAACATTTATTATAAAACATTCGTTATTCCTCATCATCTCACACGGGAAATAATGAAAATGCGTTTTTAAAAAAAATGCTCCGAGAGACGATCGACGATTTGTGGGTTATAATTGAACATAAAGAATTGGTTATTAAAATTGTGAATTCAGTTTCACCTGAAGCTTGGTAAATTCGTATTGTAAAATTTGTGTACATGGGGAATGTTATCATCTAGTGACGGTCAACGTTTTGGCCATCGTTACTTGCTCTCCTTGCTTTCCTCTTCCTTCACGTCGAGCTTCTCCAACTTCTGCGTAACTTCATGAGCTTTATCGTCAGTATTATCTTTGGGTTTCTCGTCAGCTTCTTCAGCAGTCGTCTTCTGGGTTGGTGATTTTTTGACATCACTCTCTTCGTCGCTGTCATCGCTGTATGTCACGTAGGAATCGCTGTCGCTGTCCTCTTCGTCGGGATTTTTCTTTCCTGAGTATATAGAGCACTCGGTTCCAACGATTTTCTTCGCCTTCTCAAAAGCCTCTTTCCATAATGATGCATCTGAATTTTTTTTTGCAGAAATAAAAATTGAGTTATCACCCGGAAAATAATTCAGAAGTTTCCAATTTTGTCTGAAGACAAATTTTATTGGAAATTTCATGAACTATAAAAAAGACCGAGTCATTTAATTCCGGTAAATTGGTAAAATAAAATCGTACTCTCAGCATTGGCGAATCGAATGGCCAAGAGCTCAGGCTTTAGCAGTTCATCAGCATAATCAGCGAGGACACTCCATACCCAGGCGCGATCACTTCCGCAATTAGGTTTGAGTTCCATCCAGGGTGTGACAAAGTGATTGGCACAAATCTTGAGGGTTTTGTCACGTCGCATAACGACGCGGACTGTGTGCTTGGTCTTGTGTCTCAGGAGTTTGACATCACCAGTTCCACGTTCCTTCCACTCAGCCGGTTCACTCGTTGAATCGTAACGATAGAGCTTAGCCCGCCTGGAGAATAAAATAAAATCTCATTAATCCACGAAAAATCCATGTAACCACGAAGAAGAGTTTCTTGACAACTTGCAATTTGATCATCTCGACCTCGTCCTCCTCGTTACTCGAGACATCGATCAGGGGAAGGCTTACTATCGGCTCGAAATGCACGTCGACTTCCTCAGCCTCCTCCTCTCGCTGGCCATTCGTTTTCTCTCCATTTGCTTGAAGCTAGAAGTTCACAATAAACAAAGCTCCTTTTTTTCCTCACAATAAAACCGATGGATTTTTACAGATTGTCATCGTCTGATGAGTAACTTGTCAGAAGTGAAGAACAAATACTTCAATACTGATAATCGAGGCAACCGAAAAAATGTTTCGAACCCTCGCAAAAAAACCATGAATTGTCTATTTTTCCTGGGGAGTCCTCAGGTCATTAACGAGTCTAATTACAATGAATCTTTCAAAAATATTCAATATTAATCATCTATTCCATCGAAGGTCCTAAAAAAAATACCATAGATCCCGAAAGAATATTCGCGAAAGAAAAACAGAAGGTGTAAATTTGCGATTCTTCCTGCCATGCTCTAACCTAGAATCCCCGAATCCCGGAGAATTCTCCCTGGAAAACCCCAAGCCCTGAAAAAAAACCCCGAAGACCCGGGAACTCACCATGTTCTCCGGCATAATTCCGTAGCGTAGGTGAAACAGGAAAAGTCTCCGGGAAAAACTGACGTTACCAAACTCTGTCAATCGTTGTCACCAACGGATGTAATAACGGCGGGTTTATCTCAAACGTCGTCCCCATGGCCCGTCGCGACGCGCGATTGGCCGATGGCGTTGATAGTGTTGCCCCAACGACCAATGACACCTCTGCAAAAGAAAAATCGTTCTGCCCGTTAGGTGCCAGCCAATGGCGTGACAGTTGGCCCTGACGATGGCGCCGTGGCTCAACGGTCGTCTCCGTCACTCTTTCGAAAAATTCCCAAAAAAAATTCAAAAACCTGGCAGATTCCCTCGAAAAATCCTCAGTGCTCCAAAAACTGAAAAAACTCCCTTATCACCAGCTGTCATCAAAAGATAAAAAAAATCCACAATAAAATCAAATTTAAAAAAAGTGGCAATTTGAAAACTGGCGCCATTACCAATCTGCCAGTGCAAAAAACCAATCCAAAAATCCCCTACCTCAACAGCTGTTAGCGGGCACTCAAAAATCGAGGAAAATTCAATAAAAAAATCGAATCAATTCTTTATTAAAAATAAAATTGACAGGATAAGTGAAAATGAGAGAAATTGGAGATGACAGCAGCTGATTGGTATGTGATTGGACGGGGCTTGATTGGATAGTCGCTTGGCGGTAGTATTGAAAAGGCGGCTAGAGGGTCGGCGGTGGGGAAAACGCCAGCAGTTGGGCGCAGGGTGTAAAACTAAACTAAATCGAAAAGAGGGGAAGGGAGTGCGCGGTTGGGTGTCCGGGCGGCCATTGCGTGTTACCTTGTTCCTCCGTGAAAAGCCGCGTAAGCGTTACTCCATATACCGATTAAAAAAATCCACAAAAAATTGTGCGATCGTGACCTCCCGACGACCGATCAGCCAACACCACCGTCCCGAGTCCGTCACACCAACCCCAGGATAAAAGTCCGTGTGCTCGTCAATCCGATAAATCATCAAAATAAATATAAATCAATTGAGGTAACTCGGTGGCGGGGGGACTGGGCGGATAATTCACCAACGAAAATAAAAATACAGTAGTCATCGAGGGAACTGTTAACCCACCAAATTTCAACAAATATAAATAATCGTCGCGTGGTGGAACGTGAGGCCCGGGACGCAGACGATTAAACGGCCCGATGGCTGAAACCGACAAATTGAATATTGACAGCATCATTGCTCGTCTCTTGGAAGGTAACTTTATTATTATTATTCCATGTTTATTACGTTTTTATTTCATTCAAGTTGATCTCCCACCTCCCCCTCCTGCCCACCCAGTGTTCCCTCTTCCCTCAATACATCATTCCCTTGGATTCTCGTCCTTCATTTCCGCTTCGTCTCTGAAAACGCGTTTTGCCTCCCAACTCCACCTCCCCCCCTTTCCCCGTTCATCACTCCTTTCCCTCCCCCATCCTCCCGCACTCCCCCTCTTACTCTTTCATCCCTTCCTCCCCTTCCTCCCTCACGTCTCTCATCATGTCGTACTATCGCAATACTCCGCACTGCGTTGAGAGGTGTGACATGTCTTCAATTTCTCTCAGAGTGCACTATTGTTTTAATTCAGATGATTTTTTAGCTGAGCTTTTGCAGTCTTCGGGGATTGAGGAGATGTTAGATGGATGGTGGGAAAGGGTTGCGAGGGTCTAATGTGGCAATTTTGTTGGAGGAATTGCAATAGATGGATTTGTTTACGAGATCCGTTGACAACCGCTGAAACCTGACAGTCGATTTTGGGGCGAGGTCCACTGAATTATTGTCAAAGAGGCGGGAAATTTTGAATGATTAATGTCTGTCCTTCGGTTGGGCTTTTTCAAGAGTGGGAGATAATGGATTTTGGGGTTTATCGAGCGGTTTGGGGAGGATTCGGTGTGTGTCTCTGGTGGGAATTGATGTGGGGAATTGTCGTTATCGTTTTTCGGGATTGAGCTTGGGATTCTTTTTTTTTTTTTACTTGCCGGATTGATATTGCTTTGAGATAGCTTGTAAATGGAATTTGCATCTTTGAACTCGTGGGAGATAGCGATGGATTTTTGCGGTGCTCGGTGAGAGCTGCTGCGTCTGGAGGAAAATATCTTGATCTCTCCAAGGAATATTTCGCTGAACGATCAGCGAAACGATGAGTCAACTTGTTGCCATTTAGTCGCTTCTCGTTTTCAGTGCAACGCAGTTTCTGCGTTATTTTCGGTTATCTAGAAATTTTTCTGTTACCAGAGTAAAAACATTTATCTCAATTATCCATCTCAAAACCTGTCAATTCAAGATGGAATCGTTAAATCACCTGTTGCTCATTAAATTCCATAAAATCAATACTTATTTAGATAACTTCAATAACCGAGAGGTAAAAGTAAAAAATCGCTTCTAATCGACTTCTCGAAAATCTCAGAATCCAAAAGCGATACCCCAATTTTTGTAAGAACATTTTTTAAGATCTCATGGCGCTTTAAAAAAAAATTCCTGGAAGTAATTAGGCTATCTCCTTTAGATGCTGTGATATTCCATGGGAACCAATTAACTAAATTGCTAGTACATTAAATTCTAATTTGTTTGAGTGTATTGATTGCTGTGGAGTCGTAAATCTCGGTATTCTACAATATCACTCTGTAGTTTTGACGACTAGGAAAGAGAAAAATGATGTGACGTTGCTCAATCGATTTGTACGTTAGAATTCGTGCGTTGACCTTGGCACTGACGACTAGTTGTACTTGTTAAGGTCTGACTTCTTGGCTGCAAATCGATTACCTTCAAAATATCTTACGAGAATAACACATGACAGTCAGATGGTGTAAAACTCAGTTAATTATACTCAATTAATCATCTGTTGACAGTGCGAGGATCCAGACCAGGAAAAAATGTCCAGCTGACCGAGATCGAAATTCGGGGACTCTGTTTGAAGTCACGCGAAATTTTTCTGTCTCAACCAATTCTCCTGGAATTGGAAGCACCCCTGAAAATATGCGGTGAGTTTAACCACTTGGTGTTTTTCTATTCACGTACTTATATCGTTTTGCATCTGTGTCGTATTTTTTCTTATGTAATGAAATACAAAAGATTGAAATGCCGGAACTCGACAGACTGGTGCAATTATTGGTTACAATTAGCATTGCGATCAGTGTCATTAGCATACTTGGCACAATTACGTTTTAGAATTACCATAAAACGTCAATTGTATGACATTCTGATGCTTGCTGAATTTTTTGGAAACTGCGGAGCAACAGAAATATTTTTCACTTTTTTTTTCTCGTTTTTATATATTTTATTCAATGAACTATTGCCAAAAAAAATATGTTTAAAATTTGATGAATACATTTTTCTGTCTCAATAAAATCCAACGACTCGACAATTGATTTCTCCGTTAAATTCACTAAACCTTGACAATTGCGTTATTGAGTATAATTTCAATTTATTGATTGAGTAGAAAATAATTTCGAGTGGCGGTGATATTTAATTGGTGTTTGCTCGCCAGTAAAATCTCGTGATTTCTCGTAAAGCTATATTTATCCCGAATGCATGACTTTTAGGTGACATTCATGGTCAGTACTATGACTTACTCCGACTGTTCGAGTACGGTGGATTTCCACCCGAGAGCAACTACCTCTTTCTAGGTGATTACGTTGACAGAGGCAAACAATCGTTAGAGACAATATGTCTCCTGCTGGCATACAAGATCAAGTATCCCGAGAATTTCTTTCTCCTTCGAGGTAATCACGAGTGTGCCTCCATCAACAGGATATACGGATTCTACGACGAGTGTGAGTGAATAAAAATTGCCAATTCGTGTCTATTTACAGACACTATTGTCCCTCATTGATTATTGTTGTTGTACAATAGGCAAACGTCGTTACAACATTAAGTTATGGAAAACATTCACGGATTGTTTCAACTGTCTGCCGGTTGCTGCCATCGTCGATGAGAAAATATTCTGCTGTCATGGTGGTCTCAGTCCAGATTTACAGAGTATGGAACAGATAAGGCGTATTATGAGACCAACTGATGTACCAGATCAGGGATTACTCTGTGACTTGCTCTGGTCGGATCCGGACAAGGATACCATGGGATGGGGTGAGAATGATCGTGGAGTGTCATTCACCTTTGGAGCGGAAGTTGTTGCCAAATTTCTACATAAACACGATTTCGATCTCATCTGTCGTGCCCATCAGGTAATTTATACTATTTCTCAATATTCAATGTCATTTTTTCATTTATATCCGGGAATCTGAAAGAGATAGCGAATTTTTTATGGGAACTTTTTTGTAGTTCATTAAATTTCCGAAATGAAAGGTCTTTTGTTGTTTCCTGATAAAATCATCGGTGTTTCAGATAAAACGACTTATGTTAATGTAAAATAGCGATTCTCTCCAAAAAGTGTCTTCTCCCCCAAGTGAAATCATAAGCTCGTCTCTCGCATTAAAATATCTCAACATTTTCTCTCCGCATTTCTCCCCCAACTTTCTAAACTCGTTTCGATCATGATTTGTCGACTGCGTCTCTAGGTCGTGGAGGATGGCTACGAGTTCTTCGCAAAACGACAACTGGTCACCCTGTTCTCAGCCCCAAATTACTGCGGTGAATTTGACAACGCTGGTGCCATGATGTCCGTTGATGACACCCTGATGTGCAGTTTTCAAATATTGAAGCCAGCTGACAAGAGGAAATTTACGTACGGTGGCCTGAATTCCGGCAGGCCGGTAACGCCGCCCAGGGCGCCCAATAATAAAACCAAAAAGAAGTGAATTCATAACTGAGGTCGATTAACAATTTTTTCATTAACGACGCGGAGACTTTAGGAATCTTAAGACCTCTTCAGACATGGATAAAAAAGAAAGAAAAACAAAAATAAGAAAACCGAGAAATGAAAATAATCATCTTTTCCCCTGCATCAGAAAGTAAATGAAAACTTATTCCTTTTCCCTTTTTCGTATACGGAGAATAATCATTGATCATTGTCAGGATCCTCCATGGAGTCCATCATCACTTTTTTAATTGATTGGGGGTGGCAGCTCCATGGAGAGGACGAGAAATACCGGAGCGTAATGTTTTTTTTTTCCCTCATTTATATTTTTTTTTAAGGCACATTTCAATGTAATGGAGGGTGATGATAACCGGGTGGTCATCAGGATGGTGGGATAAAATGGGGTTATCCATAGACGAAACCGAACCTCGGGGATTGCAATGAGACTCGGTATTTGTGAATTCAGTGTGAAAACTAGATGAGTCAAGCCAACTTCAGGAGGAGTTTATGATCGGTATCTCGGAATCTCGGGGAAGTGGGGAGTTCTTCGTGAGGATTTTTTCGTGGATCTCGAGTCGAGCTACAAAAATGGTCTTACGAAGAATTTTCAATTTTCCGTGGTTTTCGAGATGTTGCCGAAAATCGATCTGTTTTGACATGAAACTGACAATTGAATCGATTCATTTTTGGGAAGAATTTCTCTTCAATATCTCGGAACCTGAGACAGATGGAGAATTTTCTATGGGAGCTTTTTTGTAGAGCTCAATAAGAACTACAAATGAGATCCTACGGAAAAATTTTCATCTCTTCTAGATTTTGAGATATACTGAAAAAACCGACCGTGCTCTAAAGTAAAACTGGCTCATCCTGATATATCACTTTGCTACTAAATCGTGGAAACTATTCGTCATTGTAGATGATAAATTGATACTTGTTTATGTAATAAAATCATCAGCCTTTACCGAGGACTCGATGATAATTGTAGCCAGGCTGAGAAGAATAGTAATAAAGTGAATTTTGTTGTATTCGATGTGTGAAGCTCGATCGAAAAAATAATTACAACTCGTTGAGAAAAATTCAATTCCAAATAGATATCGAGTGCCTCCGCATTTCCACTTTTCCAGAAAACCCACTCTGGGGGGAGAACTGGAAAGTCAAATGGGAATGAGAAGAGCCTCGACAAATTTCCATCAAGTTCTACGTAAAATCCATGAATAAACCACGAAAATTGACAATTTTTTGGGTATGGTGACGTGACGTATCTTGGACGACGCTCAAAATGAGAACGTTACGTCATTTGTTGCGAGATTTCGGCCTCGTTCCGTGCGTTCACCCACGCGCCAGCAATATGCCATACATAAATACCAAAATAATACACAAATAATAAACACAATGAGCTACGAAAATAGACCAATTTAACGAGTGGCTGCGCCGAATTTCCGTGGCTCCTGTTGGGAATCAAAATTACGCCACGACAAAATTGATTATTGAACTTCTTCTGCACTGAAGTTATTAATTTAATAATTTCTGCCAATATTTTATTCATTTACTTGAGAGAATATCAATTAAAAATTCCTTTTACCAATTATTAAGTTCATCCAAATTTTATATTCTGTTGAGAAAAATTATTCACGACTTAATGTTGATTTATCTTGAAAAGTAACGATTTCACGAGAAAAGACGAGAGGACTTTTCCGTAACTGATTGAATTTTCCAGAAAAAAGGTCTCTCGATGTTTTCTCCTAAAATCAACGGCCTTTCAATTAATTGATGCTTAACAAAACTGTAAAGTTTTAAATATATAATTTTACCAATTCATTACACAAAAAATAAATTCTCCCTTCAAATAAACGAATATTTGGCAAAAAAGAGATTTTTTTGTGTGAAGATGAGTAAAAATGGTTGCCTGGAGACCAGGTGAAAAATGCTGGCACGTGAAAAATCTCTCGCAATGATCTTAACTCCAATAAAATCAATCGTACACTTGAAAAATCTAGAGTAATTGCGATAAAACTAAACGATAAGTGATGGAATTAAGGTAATCTCCGGATCTCGTCTTCCGATCATTGTAGATGTTATTTTTTTGTACATCCCTCACATTCTCGAAGGATCAAACCACATGTAATCATCAAAGTAATGTAAAAGCTACCCCTGACAATTAACCACGATAAATGGTGGAAGAAAGTTGATCATATTAAATAATCATCATTTCATAGCATTATACCGACAATGTTTTACTCCTTTAATCTTTATCATCGAGACAGAACAATCATTCACCGTCATTTCAACTCCATCAGCTGTCCTCGATTTAATTTTCATCCACGAGTTTGCACTGTTTTAATTTAATCTTCAGAACATTTATGTAATGGGATTTATTTAAATTAATCGAAGTACGAGCACAGATATGTAGCATAGACCCTCGATAACACACTAGTTATTACAACGATCGATAAATTGTGATGATAAACGTGTGTCGAGAGTTATTCTGATATAAAAATTTCCATCAATTTAATGCCACCTCGCCCTCTCCCGTCCACACGAACTCATGAATGTACATTAAAATTTTCTTTTTTTATATAAAAAAAAAACAAAATAAAAACAAATCACCTGAAATATTTTCAGAGCCTATGGTTTTTCGTTTATTTGACGATTTATTGTCGCGTCATTCATTCTCATCGTCATTGAGGGCTTATTTTTCGGAGGGAATGTCATATTTTTATTTCGAGTCGTTTGAATGATAAGGGATTCAGGAGATAATGTCAATATCCACGAACTTTTGATAAGTGATTATTACATAACATAAGTGAGTTCCTGCAGTGAATCAAACAATGACAGAGAGAATGAACCTGAAATCCAAAGAGATGATCCCAGAATTAAATTGCAACACTAGAGCGATAAATATCGAGAGAAAGACAATTCCAACGTCCATAGTTTTACATCTAAGGATTTATTCCCGATATCTTCTCATTTTTCATGTTTATTTCAAATCCGAGAAAATCGTGAATTGACATGAAAAAAAAATATACCGAACTTAAAAATTTGTCAGTCATTGAATAATAATAAAAAGGTGTATTTTCTCACGTCAATTGCATCAACTGTATCTCAGAATTGTGTAAAATATTTTAAAACGGAGAAGACATCGGCAATGAGTAATAAACAATTTAAAACCGACGACTTTAACCTCAACTCTTGACTCCAATGTTTTGGAAGAAAATAAAAATAACGACGCGGGTCGTCGGACGGACCTAAGACACTGAATCAATACAATAATCAATAAAAAATACAATACTTTTTTTAGATAATTAAAAATGAGAAGAAAAACGAGGAGAACCCTCTGAACTATAACAGTACTCCCTAGAAACTGTAGATGATAGATTCAATTATCTCGGAATCCAGGACCCAGGATCTAGAAAAAATCATGCATTATTATTAAAAAATCAGGATAAAATCGACGAAATCAATAAACAATCAGAGTACCATCGAAACTCACTGGAGAATGAGCTTTTCTTTTACAAGAACAAAACTTAAGTTTAAACAACATTTTTAGACTAGAGAATATACGTAAAGACAGTCACGCCCAGTGGGCTATTAATATTATAATTATGGAAACATCTTATTATTGGAATAAAAACGTAATTATACTAGTGGTTGCATTCGAATAATTTCAAGTCGATAACGAAGGGAACATCGAGGAGGCATTTTTCAAATAAGTGGGACAGCTCCAGTGAAATTATACTTTCACTCGCAACCATTTGCTCCACAAGTCCCAAAATTCTTTTTCATTGATCAAATAAAATATATCAGGACGAATTATAACCACAAGGAGCCATGGCGTGAGTATTTTGTGAATAAAGATGATACATAAATGAGATATGGAAGATTTTCCGACTTCAGTGAAGATTTTTCACGTATCTAACCTCGAAGCAGGTGTCAAACATATGTTTATAACGGGAAATTAATTTTCCAGCTCGAAAATCACATTTAAAATCACCCTGACGTCCGATCCGAAGCTGCCCTTCAAGGTGTAAGTAAATTCTTGTGATATAGATTTTTTTTTATCGAGTAAATGTCGATCCCCGATTCTTCTGGCTCAAGATCAAACGTAAACTCGACAGATCTGTCACTCAAAATTCCTGAGATATTTATCAGGACTCATTTTGAAATAATCTCCATCCTCGTTGACACTAAAAAAATTACTGAGACCTCGGAGTTGATTAATTCATTGCTGAAGTAAATTTATCCAGTTCGACTCTCAGTTTTTGAGGAATATCTCCGAATCTATTTGATTTCACAAAAAAGGTCATGACAAAAATTTGGATATCGGTGATAATTTTCGAGATATTCATTGAAAACTGACGAGTTTGACATGTTGGAAAACTTGAAGAGAAGTGTCAAATCACCTGTACTGACCCCGTGTTTTTCTTCCGGAGCAGCTGAGACGTTGACCATTTGCCAGAAGATGAAAGGGACTGTGGTGGGAATGAATGAAGAATGGAAGATCAGCTGTCAGAGATCCTGAGAATGTTCGACAATTACGTGAGCCTGATCGAAAACCCTAGAATAATATCCCAAATGACCCCTGGGAATGTGCCAATGGCCTTCAATTGTTGTCGTTTCATCGAGAAAACAATGAGACGAGTAAAAGAGGAAAATAAAACTAGAGAGTTCATGAGTAATCTGCAAGGCCACTGGTCCCTGAAGAATCGAGTACACATTTACAGTATTGAGACCCTGGAGAACGCTTGTGATAAACTCGTGGAGGTGCTGCTGAAGACATCAGAAGTTCCTGCTGAAGTCGTCGACAAGCTACTGACCCTCTACGTGGGTGACTGTGGCAGGGAACGACTGCATAAATTTCTGGAACATCTTTTCAACGAGTCCCTGATGGCCAACGCGACTTTGGAGTGCATGACAGAACTTCGTTTGGATAAATCCCTCGTCGAGAACGAGGGGAGACTCTTCATCTGGCACTCTGAGGCCTCTCGAGGGAACCTGGAGGAGGTCACCCGGTGTATCGACAAAATGATTGAGGATGGTTTCATCGGGGAAGTTATTGAGAGTGTGGTGAAGCTGGAGGGCAGTCCTGCTAAGAAGCTTGTCATCCAGAGTTTAGGGAATCGATTGAATAATTACGATGAGAATGTCTGCTGGGAGGTGATGTCGACCAGGAGAAAGATCCTTGAGGCACTCACTGATGACGAGGACTTCCTGGTGAACTACACCGATGTTATTTTCTATTTTGGGAGGAGCATGAACTTCGAGAAGGGCTGGTGGAGTGGAAGCCATCGATTCTCCTTCGACGATATTGTCAACGGCCTCAAGGCCCTCATGGGGGTCAGCGAGGAAATCTGTCGGGTTGTTAAAAAGCGGATTCTCTCGGGGAAGGAATTGATCGGGGGTGGGATCTGGGGGGACGTGGAGGACGCTTGTGTAAACGAAATGTATGGAATTGTCTCGTGATTAAGGATTGTCCCGTGATTTTGTTATTCTCATGAATTTTTTTATTTAGGCGACTTGAAGATAGGAATTAGGTTTATTGAGCCGATTTATTGATAGAATGCAGGCTTGATTTATTTTTTATGAAGGAAGTTTACAGAAATCGGGGAATTAATTTGTGAGATTTATTTAGATTGAGTGTACCTGAGAATACACCGTTCACTGCTGTCCTGAAATTCGCTGCTGAGGAGTTCAGGGTGACACCTGCTACGTCGGCAATTATCACGGATGATGGGGTGGGAATCAACCCTCAGCAGACGGCTGGTAATTTTTTTTCAATCATTACACCACAGTAAATACGTAAATTGAGAAAAATCAATTATGTACTCAATATCGATATATCCAAAAAATGATTGATTTCCGGATAAATGACCAAGAGACATTTTTCGTGGGGAATTTCATGAGCTATAAAAAAGTCTCCGATGACTTTCCTCCTAGAGTTAACTGTTTTGAAGATAAATCAGTAATTTAAAAAATAGGAAATATTATTTCATTTCTCAAATTGAATTTTTTTTTTTTTGCTGAATTATTTTGGTGGATTAATTAATTTGATGATCCATCGTTTCAGGCAATGTATTCCTGAAACACGGCGCTGAACTCAGGCTGATACCCCGGGATCGTGTGGGCAGCAGCTGAGTTGAATGAATAACCGGGGAATAATGAATAAATTTGTCTCTGTATATTAAAAAACTGAATAATATGAATTTATACGATTATATTTCAATGCCTAAGCCTGATAAAAATCAATAAAACATTCCGTTAATTGGGAACAATGAGATAATGAGAGTAAAACCATTTGAATATTAAAGCCTCCATTGTTATTTGGTAGAAATATCTTATAGATGAAATACATGGTAAGATATAAAGTCGATACAAAGAGACGTCACTACTACGACAAAACTACTCTTGGCGGATCACCATAATCTTCTCGTTTTCTTCATTATTTTAAATTAAGACATACTGCAGTCGTATGTCCACCAACTCCGAGGTACGTTAGGCTCCGCAGATGTGCCTCTTGTTATTGCATTATTCGAGGAAGGACTTCAGCAAATCAAGTACAAAAAATATTGGTTCACAAAAGGATTTAAAAAATTACTGAGTAATGTATCGAAGTAATTGTAATTAGGTGGAACTGTCTCGAGTGAGTTACAAAATCAGGGGATATTTATTTTTTATGTGGAATGGCTCTCAGGAATGATCGAAATGCCTGGGTACATACAGGCCTCAATTTCGGGTGATTGATTTAAGTGGAAATTTCATTTTTTGGCACCTCGTTGGTCATTTCTCTGACAAGGAATTGGTATCGCCTAATTACCTGAATAATTAACACACATTCGACACTCTGAAATAATTATCAATGATTATTTTCATGAGCTGATCTGTTTTGAAATTCAGTGGACGAATCAGTGTTGATTAATCTGGACATAATGCAATCACCACATTAAATTACATTACTCTGTACAATACAGTTAATAATGTTACGACATTTAAAAAATGTAAAAAATTTTACATCACGAAATAATCCACATTTTCTCCCACTATTTTACTAAAATATATGCGTAGCAAAAATCGTTGGAGTTCCCTCCAATCATCGATGAAAAATAATGACTTTGTCGATTATATTTCAATGTAAAAAGTGTAAAATTGGAATTATAAAGATGTTATCGTTACTCTATTTGCCGGTGAGATCCTGAGAATGTTTCCCCCGAGCATAGGAATTCATGACAGTCTCTTCAATCATGAAAAAAAAAAAACTGACTTTCAACGCTGAACACGCTGATCGGGGCACAGAGAGCTCCTTAATTAGGATAAATAATTTATAGCGTTATTAATTTCCCAGATGATTCAGGAAAATTATTTTTAAATACTCGATATGAATTCACCCCTTTCAGATTATTCAACTCGTCATGGATTAGTGCATTATCCTCAACTACTCTCATTGCTCGTCACTCTGCGTTCTTCAATGACTTTTATTTATTTTTTATTCATAAATTATTGATGAGTGTGCGTGCAGGGATAAACGTCGGGGGAAAACAGTATCACTCAATAAATATCACACACCCGTGATCCTAAAGTAGTTATTCATCAGAAGATTTCGGTTCCCTTCAATTTCAAATCAACCGATTTGTCGGAATTCTCTCAGACTGAGCAACTGAGACTGCAATTATTTTTTATTTACAATGCGTTGATATCAACAAATTATCATCAATTTCACTGGAGAATCAGTTCTCAACTATTTACTCCATAAATAAATAAATTCACAAAATATCTCAATGGTCGAGCTATCTGCGCGATTAAATAATTTACGAAAAATTATCGTGATGATTAATAAGTTAATCATCAAGGTTTTTAAATAAATATCAAGTTTACATCAGATACATAATAGTGTCGACAAGATCGCCTCGAATATCGAAAAAATTGAAATTACGCAGAATGAAATTCAAATATATTCTCCCACCCGTTGCTACAAAACGTAAAAAAAAATTCTCTGCACGAATCCCAGGATTTCCCCCCTATATTTTCAGAGAGAAAATCCTCTCTCTAAACTCTACATGACAATTATACTAAGCCATTACCATACTTATTATCGTAAAAATAATGAACAGGCGAAAAACGACGAGAACGTATTTCCTTCTAGACTAGATCTATGATCACACGTTAATCCTCGAAAGGGATGCGTTCGAATGAATAAATTAATGCGTCTTGGCTAATGATAAATGCATAATAATTCTGCAGTCAATTGATAAACCAGACGAACAGCATTCACATCGATCCGAATTATCAACAAGAATATCTCCCGATTGAGAAGAGATAGCGACATTTTCGTATAAATCTTTTTTTTAGTCCGCGTTACGATCTACAAGAAAGGTTCTCATGAAAATTCATCTATCTCTTTTAACTCACAAGATATGGGGCTGTAAAGGGACCGATGGGTAATGCAGTTATTTTGGTTGACAATTTTTTAAACAGAATTGAAATAAATCTCTGAATGTGGCACGCAATGTGGAAAAAATGCAAAAAAAAATGGAAAAAGTATTGGGCTGAGTAGGAGCAGTTAGCTATGGCTTACAGGATAACGATGGGGAGCCAGAATGACCGGAGATGGCTATTCAGTGACACGCACCGAAGCGAGACGCCCCATGAATCATTTTCGGAGGTACTTCGACGCTTTTTAAACTGTTATCCCTCTTTTTGGATTTTTTTGTGGTGGCACTGGCGTTCCGCTCCAAGCAGCTGGTCATCCATGTGTGTTGTTTAATCGTCCTGAAGGGGAAAAAAACGTCTGGTCTAATTTTGTGGGTTTAAGTAACAAAATTATTTCTCTACATTGAATAATCGAATGACGAGGCGAGAGAACGAATTCAGTCTCAACGGATTTTTTGAGGGAAATCATTTAAAATAAAAAGAAAAAAAATTTACCCATTCGTGTTCCTCAACCCCCTCCATGTGGTCCTGCTCCAGGGAGCACTGGATCATCTCGCCGAGACTGTTGCTCATGTTCTTTTGGATCTACCACACAACATAGACACACACATGAAACACTCAAGCTCATCACCAATGACTATTAATTGGTCATCATTTATTGAATCGAATTTGCAATTAAAGTCCAAATAAAAATGGACAATTTTTAACTGAAGCTCAAATACTCAAAGACAAATAAAAAAATGATACAATTAAAATTAATTGACTTCCCCAAATGTCCTTAAGTATTCATTAAAATGGAAATTCTCTGAATCCCTCGACTGAGATAAACAGCGAACAATCTCCAAACGTATAAAAAAAACCAGACATGCGAGAAAAAAAATTTAATATCCCACCTCGTCATGTTTAGCCTTGTACCACTCATTGGAATTCATCCTGCCAGAGGGCTGCTGAGACACAGCGAATTGTCCCGACTGTTTCGCGGAGACTGGAGCAGTGACGATGCCAGATCCTTGATTATCAGAAAGACAGTCCATCCCAGGTGGTTTGAGACTGATCCTGATGGCCTGCTTGTTAGCACCAGCGAACCACTCACCAGCACTCATACTGGACTTCCAGGTGACCCTCGTTGGTGGAAAAAGATCGTCCTGAAAGAGTTCACTCTTGATCCTTGGTACAGTGAAGCTCAGAGGCTCTATCGTGTTGTTAGTGAGCCTGAGAGCACTGGCAAATTCAACACTGGCAACATCACACTTGTTCTTCGCCAGAAATGAGAGGCCCTGATGAAGGCTAGCACACCGATGATGACTGAGTGGGCAGATATAAGGTGCCTCCTCAGTCACCTCAAACGCATAAATAGTCGAATCCCCACGCCCAGTGAGGAGAAGAGTGGAGCTGTCCTCATCATAAAATGGCATGAGAATTGCGGGTGATACATCAAGGCCAACAGTATTGAGCGGTGATGCGAGTTTATCAGCTTTGAACATCATAATCTGTCGTTCAGAGACTTTATCAAATCCAATGGCCAATAGAAACCTTCCATCGAGGGCCCAAACGACCCTGGCCCCCCTCGTGCCAACAGGTCCCTTCCCCTCATTGACAGCCCCATCACAGGACCTGGGTTTGTAAACCCTGAGCTTGCCATCCTTGCAGGCAGTCGCCAGATACTGTCCACAGGGTGACCAGGCCAGGCTAAATATCTGATCAGTGTGCCCTCCTAGAGTAATCCTGGCAACAGCCCCACACTCCACAGTCGAGAGATCCCAGATCTTGACTGTTGTGTCATAAGAGGCTGATGCAAGCACATCAGCAGCCAGAGGATGGAATTTAATGAGATAAATCTTATCTGTGTGCGCCTCAACTGTGAATTTTGGTTCATTTGTTGGTTCGACGAGTCCACCACCTGGAATTTCCCAAAGCCTGATGATACCATCGTCACACGCCACAGCTAGCCTCTGATTGTCGAATGGATCCCAGGCAAAATCCATGATAGTTGCCCCATGGACCAGAGCTGGCATCACTCCATCAGGAAGTCTTCCTGTTTTCTTCAACTCAAGAACAGCAATTTTACCACCTGGACCACTCAGTGGTACAGCAACTCTCTCTGGATTCGCGTGAAAGCCATCGCACTCTCCTGATATCTGTCTACTGATATTCCTGATGTTCTCGATGTGCGTGGATTTGTGACCCGGTGTTCCCTTGAGGTGTCGAAACTTGGATACTCTACCGAAGACAGTTGACGTGCGTTTTGGGGTAGGTGTTGTTATGGGCTCGGGTTTCTCGAGACGTGGATCCATGCTCTGCTGTCTCAACATGGGAATCTTCTTCTCGTCCTCCTTGATAACCTCGGACTTGGATTTAAATGAGTCCCGACGACGAAGAGCTGTGGGTGAACCCATTGCCTTCTCCGCGAGATTTCCATCAGTCACTGATACCGATCTGCTCTCGTACAGTCTTCTGCGTTCCGCTATTGAGCTCCTGTTGTGACCACCGCGTTCCAAATTCCCCGGCTCATCACCCTCTGGTGATTCATCCTTCAATTTCGTCTCGAATAACTTGCGACGCTCTGCTGTACTCGGAGTCTTTGGCTTGTACCCAGAGTCACTCGAGTTGGCATCCTCCTCCATCGACGAGGAGTCACTTTTTCCATTCTCTGATTCCTTCATTCGATCGTTCTCGTAGGTGGGAGACTTGTCTGACTCTGGAGGTGTGTTATCCAGGTGAGGCTCCTGACTGTAGCCATTGCTCTCAGTATTAGGAGCCACTGGCACTGAAAAAACTTTATCGAAGGAGAACTCTTGACTCCCCGATTTCGCTTGGAAGGGCTTTGGTCCCAGGCGAGGCTGTAAACCAAAAAAAAAAAAAACAATCCATCATCTACTCCACACTCTCTCATCCCAAATCCACTAATCCTAATTAAACAATCATATTAACAAGTGATAACGCAAACACAACTTGAATAATAAATAATAATAAATGAAAAATAAATAAATAATAAATAATAATAAATTCACTCGTTTTATTCCAAAACACGGTCAGGAAAATTCAATAGAAATTTCTCTAACGGTGTGACTGCATTCTTGGAGACTAGAAATAATAAGTGGATTGATTAAAATAATTAATTGGTAATTAGGTTGATTACAGTGAATGATAATGAATGGGGATTTAACGAAAAATAAATGAAACGTCGTCTACTCTATTTCATCGCACGCTCGGACCTTATATCCCCCAACCATATTGGGATTGACAGAAGTGACGACTGTTCCTGAGCTTGGTGATGTTCTTGGTCTGGCCACAGGCTTCGGCTCCTCCTCAGAGATGCTGTTGGCTCTGGATGACCTGGGCAACGGTTTCGGCGGTGTCTGACCATTCTGCACCTTCTGCTTGTCATCGTCATCACCTAGCCTCACTGTCTCGTCATTCCTGTCTGGTTTATCCGGTTTATCGATTTTCTCGATCATCTCGGGATCAATTCGCTTTTTATCCTCGATGGACTGCACCTTGGGCTGAGCAAAACCCTTCGGCGTGGAATGCAGACTCTTCGCTGCCTTCGCCTGCTCAGCTTTTATCTCCTGCTGATTTTCTTTCAGTTTCGCCAAGTTTCCTCTGTGTATCTGAGTATTTCAAGATATTCCCGGGTTATAATCGTTAGGGATTTCTTCAGGATGCCATCACAAAAGCCAACACAAGTGCAAAAACAACGGGTAACAACAGAAAACATTAATCCAGGAGAATTTTTAGTCAGGTTGATTATCTCGGAAGCTAGTGATTTTAGGAGGAATCGCTAAAGAACTTTTTTTGTAGGAAATTTAATTAGCTACGAAAAAGTCTTCTGGTGTTTCTACTGGAGATCTGCAGATTTCGAGATAAATCGATAATTGAGAGACTTTAATTAACGAGTAGAGGAGTTGAAGTTCAGATTCAAAGAATTTAAATTAGAACAAGAAACGAGGTCCTTGCCCTCGATCAGCTCAGGAAAGGCACTATTGATCGGCTTTTTTCTAAACCGACTAGATGTTCACTCCTTATCCCACGTAAAATGTTGTTCGATCTCCAATGACTTTTTACGAAGCGACGGCGAAGAGTGGAATGCCGTGGCTATTCTTAAAACTTGCATGTACATCGAATTACATCAACTACAGACACTGATCAATCGTTCAATTCTCTCCGAACGTGCCAAAATAACTGCTATCAATTTATCTAAACAAATAATAAAGAGATGCCAGAGAAAAAAATATGGAGCTGAAATAAAAAATGCAAAACAAAAGTTCATGACTAGCAGAAAAAAAGAAATTCAATATTACAAATCGCATTGATGAGTGACTAGTGTAAAAATAAATTCTTCCTTTACAGGAAAAGTACATGGAACACTCGCAACTACTGTCGATATATCTGACAAATGTCAGGGGTTGCAGTTACGATGAGGTGATGTTATTACTTACTGTTACAGGCTCCTCTCCTTTCCCACGTTTGGCAGGATCTAAGGATATTTTTGGAACTGGGGCATTGTGACCCTTGATCCACTCTTCGGCAGTATTTTGAGCAATGCAGCCTGCAGTGTCTGGGTAAATGTCACCATGAAAATCTCTGTACGTCTAAAATTAAAAAATTACACCACAATTATTTATAGCTTTAAAAAATGAATAAATGAATGATTAAATTATAAGAATTTATTCATTCCAATTATTGATATGTGTATTATTTTTATAGTATAATTGTGGAGGGGAGTGGAGAGATAAATAAAAATTGAGGTAAATTACGAGTTATGACTCACTTTTCTGGGGACCTGGTACATAATAGGGATGACCATGTTGGAGGTCAATTGCAGGACCCTGTTGACCTCAGCCTGCATGACATTGAGGGCTCGTTTTGGCACGAGGGAGACACCCTTGGTCTGTTCCCCACTGTGACGAATTCCCTCGACCAAAAATGGATCCTTATCAGTGACTTCCATATAGAAAATTGTGGTGTCCCCTTTACCAGCGAGAAACAGCATATTAGTATCTGGATCGAACAGTGGCATGAGAATACCAGTGCTGCAGTCGAGCTCCAGAGTTTTAACTGGGTCAGATAAATTTCTCAGGTCTCGAATGTAGACCTGTCGTAATCGAGCCGCATCGAAGCCAGTTGTGAGAATTCTGTCTGAATTTCCCAGCCAGACGATGCGCGAATCTTTGATGCTTTGGTGACTCGAGCAGGTGTTCACCACTGATTTTGAGCCTCTTGGATCAATTATGCGAACCTGTTTGTCCTTGCAGGATGTCGCCAGGAGGGAGCCATCGTACTTCCAGCTGACGGATTGAATCACCTCTGAATGCTCATTGAATGCTGTAAAAACCCCACGATATTTCGTGATATAAATTATTTACTCTACCCAGTTATACCATTTATTGAGGAAAACAAATATATTCTTACAGAAGAGTTCCTGCTGCGACAGGACATCCCACAGTGACAAGTTCGTATAAGAAACAGTAGTAAGAAGATGTTCAGCAGTTGGATGCCAGCGTACAACCTCGACTCTCCTCTGTCTGTGTGAAAAAGTTCCCTCAGGATTGCAAAGTGACTCCTCGAGTCCTGCCTCCGGGATGTGCCACAGTTTCACGAGACAATCTTGAGAGCCAGTGGCCAACAATCCATCGTGAAACGGTGAAAAATCCATATCAGTCACCGTATCAGCATGTGCATGAAGTAATGGCATTGTTTTGCTCTTTCTGCCACAATCCTCCAGTGGCAGAACAGCCAGACTAGATCCTAGTTCACGATATAAATCGATTAACCCATTGATTAAATTTCAATAAAAAAAATCAAGTAGGCTGCATTACCATTGTGATCAACATTGAATGCCATAAATGCAGCGGATGCTGCGATATTGTTCCCATAGGTCTGATAAGAGCCAACGCAAATGTCTCGAATGCATGCCTCTGGTTTTGGTACTATCGGCGTTGCATTCTTGTACTTCGATGCCTTGAATCTCCAAGCCATCTTTGTAACCGGTTAGTTTAATTGATCGCAAGTGCTTCACATGTAATCTGAAAAGAAAAACAACCCAACGCTCAATAAAATTATTCGATGAAAATATTTAAAAAAAAAGGACTTTAATCAGGACAAGAAAAAAAAAGAAACCGGGAAAATTTCAATATAATAATTCAACAGCAAATTAATACTATAGTTATGATAATAATAATAAATATTTCTACGGGTTTTAGATCTTTGAATGAATTTTGTGGTTGATTGCTTTTTAATTCCTGAAACTATTAGATGTGATTAAAGAAATAATTGACCGGATCGTGAGTAATCGTAAAATAGTCGTAAATCGTAAATCGTCTAGGTTTACCACTTCGCTAGTGAAGCAGAAGAATTCAACAAATTGTCCACTGGTTGTTCGCCTTTCACTCAAACTATAAGTATAAAACAGACTGTTGTCAGCCCGATTCCCTTCTAAAAAAACAGTTATTCACTGGAGAAAAAGGAAAAGATAGAATTCGCAATGTTCATCCACTGTCAAGCCCCCCAAGAAAATCGGAGGTGACGTCTGCCAATTATTGACTATCGAGTGCTAATTAAAATTCACTGTCCTGGAATGAGCCTCGACGAGGAATCACAAAAACCGAAGGCCTTCACTAATTAAAATCCAGAATCACCACTTCACTGACGTACAAATAAATCGAAGAGACAGGAAAAGCCCAAAAATCAATAAAAAATC